TTGGTATACTCAATAATGTCTTCCTGTTTAAAGTATTGCATTTAGGAGTAGAATAGTCAACTACACTTTTTTTCCTGGCTTTTATATTAACTTTATTATTTCTTAAAGACAATTGTTTGTTCTTACATTTTATTTTATTTTTAATAATTTAGAATACCCTATGATCGGGGCATTATTTTGTCTTTATTAGTTTTATTATCTTTCCAGTCAGTGTTTAAAAATAGGTCCAAGCAAAGCAATTTGTATAAATATTTTGGTCTATTATGTTTAATGGAATATTGTAATCGACTAAGGAAAAAATATTAATTCCTTCCTTACATAATACATAGGAACTACTTATTTCCATATTGTTTTAATATTTCTTCACTAAACAAAATTATCTGTGAATTTTTCGTGCGGGTCAACTAGTAACTTTTAAAAATAAATTTATTTAAAAGCTTGGAAGTATATTTATTTCTTTTTTTTTTTTCTTCATAAGAAATCCAATATTTTATTTTTATTTTCATTTTATATTTCTCCTTTTTTTTTTTTTAGCGGTGTCGGTTATGCAGTGATTGTGGGGCTAGAACCCCTGGAGGCGGTCTTTCATCAAGATGGCACTCCAATTACACAGTTTGTGACTCCTGCTATCAGCAAAGGAATAAAGGCTTTTCCTGTCCGGTGTGTCACAAAGCGTACCGGGCTGCCGCACTCAGGGAAATGGTCAAGTGTTCGCAATGTCGAAGGTAATTTATATCACTCAAACTGAATTTATATCATTCAAACCAAATTTATATCATTCAAACCAAATTTATATCACTCAAACCGAATTTCTTAAGTCATCATGTTCTTTATACAATAGTCATAAATCAAAATTCTTTGGGAAATATATTTCAAGAAGTACTCTGATTCATACTTCCTCAGGGATTGTAGTTTCATGATTGTGTATGGCAGACACTAGTTAATTTTAAGCCCATTTTTTAAACTTTTGTTTAATTTTACTTGGTTTTTAGGTTTGTACATGGGACCTGTGACAAAGAGGCAGACTTTGTTAGTTACCACAGAAAGAAAGAAGCCCATCCTGATTACCAGTATATTTGTTTATCATGTAAAAATAATTCAACCATTCTCTACCTGAAGAGGAAAGATAGTAAGTGTTAATTAGCCTGTAAAGCAATGTTACAGTGTTACGTTATGTTAATTTTATATTGATGGAAATAGTTAAAGATAGAGTTTTTCCAAATTATAATAAATGAAAAAGAAATTTAAATGTTTATTATGTGCTGGTAAACACAAGATGCCAATATTTTTGAGCAGTTAGAAATAACAAAAAAATTTGAATTACTAATTTTCTAGCAAATAATTTTTCTATTGTTTTTAAAATCACATTAAAAATAAGCAATTTTAATGTAACCGTTAAGGCTTTCATTAAAATATACAAGTAGAATCATTATATTATAAATAGATCAGGAAATTGAAGAAAAATGTGTTTGTTTTTTTTTGTTGGCATTTCACTAAAACAGCCACAGTTCATTTACTAATTACAAATTATTCATGAAGTTTATTAGTTATTTCATTTATACAATCATTATACTATATAGTTACACCGTTTTACTTCTTTGTTTAGGCACTGAAGATGTAAATATGGATTCTGCTTTGAATATATCTCAAGAATCTCTAGCTACGCCAGAGGATATAGACGTGGATTCCGAAAGGGTCTGTTTCTAATGTATTCTAACGCTCTTAAGTTATTTAGCTGATATTATTCCTAAAATATCATTCTGAATATTATTCCTTGTTTCCAGTAGTTCTGTTTCATATTTGGCAGAATGATGATCCTGTTACCGCTTTTTTTCCTAGATCCCTATTCCTATCTATTGCTCTATTGTGAGTATCTAAGACAGATTTTATTACTTTTAATTTAATATATTTATCAGTTAATTATTATTTCTTGTGCAATATATGCTTTACAGTATTTGCCTAATACAGGCCGATCCCAAGTATAAGTTTAGCCCCCATTCTAAAAATAATTTTGGAGAGGAAAAATTAAACTAATAACAAGAAATCATTTTCCAAATATAACGGTGTTGACTACAGAACTATTTTACGAATTAAATTAAGAGACTTTTCCCTAATATTACATACTTATTAGTGAAATAGTGTTTATCATGGTTGGGGATTGCCAAACTAGCTACTTTAGGACTTTGATCAGCACTTACACTGAAAAATCTAAGTTCAAGTTGTTTCTATCAGAAGAAATTTAATTTTTTTTTTTTTTTAATCAAAACTAAAAAAAATCCCCATTGTTCAAACAATAGAAAGTATATATATAATCATAAAAATATAAAATACTGTAAGATGATACAAGTTTCGGACATCGGTTAAAATGTAGTTTGTAGTGATTCCGTGGTGGATACATTGTATTAGTTCAGTCTGCAAAAACGTGCTTTGTGTAAGCATGTACTACACTACTACCTTATGACATTTTGAGAAGCCTAGTGGTGCAGTTAAGTTTTATTTATTTCCATTGCTTATTTGAAAATTCTTGTTTTCATGAAACTTTTGCTTGTGTCTCAAGAGTAGTGTGCCGCAAGGTACATGCGCTGTCCATGCTGACTGAACCAACACAGTGTATCCACCAAGGAATCACCACAAACTAAATTTTACCCGATGTCCCAAAGTTACCCACCCAGTCCCAAAGTTACCACATCTTACTGTATATAATTTTCTTAGAACTGTTAATATGTTACTTACAGTCCATATGTTACTCATAGGCCGTTCTGTCCTCTGTCAATTCTTAGATACAAATCAAAGTAGGCGGAAAGCACCACATAAATTCTAGTGTTGTTTTTAGAACTCAACAATTTATGCTTCCGCTTTGCTTTTTTGTTTTTTCAAATTATTTTTATATTTGTGATTGTTTTTTATTTTCTAAATAAAATATTTCTCTGAAACGCACTTATGTAAATAAACCTATCTGTGGGTTTTTTGTTTACCAATAGGTTTTTGCTATTTGCTGAGTTTGTGAAATGTGTAAATCTGCTTCTAGTAATTTGAATGGTCCTATTAGAATAACAGCAGAGATATGTACATTTTATCTTTTGGTAAGATTTGATTATCATGAATGTCCAAACAGTGAGAACTCATTTACTGTTGGAGATTTTTTTTATTAGATTTCTGCTATTCTTTTTTTTTTTTTTTTTCCTCAAAGTTAAGAAATACTATCGGATAATGATGAAACTATTAAATTTCAGTTCAAAACTGAGATTTGATGCTTTGTTCTTGATAAGATAACATATGATGTCATTTTTATAGAGTGATTCCCGCCGATTCTTTATTCTTTTCCTAACCTATTTAGTGCCATTGTAGTTTAGATACAGAAGGAGGGGGGGGGATTGAGACGTGCTGCGATGATGTCATTCAGCCTTCCTCAGCATCTTCTGTAACCCCGCAGGCAAGATTTAATCATTACTCTTTGAGGACTCACTCCAACTCTATATAATGTTTTGAACTGTTCTTTCAGAATCATATTTAAACATTCTTTATCAGTTATATGATTAGTTTAAATTTATCATTTTTTTTATTGTAGTGAAAACTTAGTTTTAATTGTAGGTAATTTGGAATTTATTTGTCTGCGAATTTGATTAGCTGAAAAAGCAATTATATCATTTTAAATATAAGAATGAAAATCTAGTTTGTTCTAGTTATAAATCGAATGATCGAACGATTAAATAGTTTTATCCTTCTAATATATGTCCACTTATTTACCTCGATTATACAGTTCCACTAGAGTTGTACATTATTGCAATAATTTTTATCTTATTTAAAATTTGTTATTGTCGTTGATTTTCTAGATTTGTCTTTTGCTGCTGTAAATATTATGTTATTGTTTTCCCTTCCTCCTCTCTTTTTTAAATTTTAATTATAAAAATAATTAGCATTAAGAATTCTATAATTAATCTCATTATTTACTTATTAAAAAATTTTAAATGAAACAATATATATACATAATTACTAGTTAGTTAATAATTCAATTGATTTAATAATATAATTAGATATAATACTTTATACGTTTTAATACTTATTATATAATAAGTTATTTACTAAATAGATTTACATCTTTGAATCTCGTTTATAAATGAAATATTAATTCTTGAATACAATTTTTGACGAATATAAATGTATTTGTGAACAAAAAAAATTATTTATAAGTAATTAAAATTATTATAAAATCACAATTATGAAATGAATTTTAAATCCATTTTCCAGATACAGTTATTAGTATTTTCACAAAAATTCAAAACAAAATCTATTTTAATAAATAATTTTTTTTTCCTCTATAAATACTATTGTATTTAAATCAAAATTAGGAACTGTATTTTAAATTAATTATCTGTTTACAATTATTCATATTATTCTCACTATAATGGGGAAAAAAAATTCTTCGTAATTCGTAAATACTTCACTTTATTTGTCATCTAGAAAGTTTTTATTTCATTTCATGAATTAGTGAAATTTTCATATTGAGATAAAATTTGTAAAATGTTTTTCATAAAATAATCGTTTCAATTTCTAGCTATTTATAACTTTTTTTAAACGGTTAGTTTTGTTTATTTATTAAGTTTCTTATTGATTTCAGAAATCAATTTATTCAAATAACTAAAGATCAAGTTTGCTCATCAATTTAAAAAAAAAAAATTGTCATATACTGTCTCTGGTTGAATACCAAGGAATTTAGGTGAAATACTTAGTACTTGGTACTCAAGAGTAATTTTTGTCTATCTCCTCTGTACTAGAAGGCATTTTAGTAGCGATAATTTTACTAATTCAAAGTTAATGGATCCAACTTACTTTTTGTTCGTTTATTTGTTTGACTAAATAATTATTATTAATACAAATAATTCTATCCTTCTGGGGTAGAAGTTTAATTTTATCTCTATGAATTTCGGTTAAAATTTTGAAATAGAAAATGTATATCTATATATATATATAAAACATGTCAACACCACTCCAACATCAAATAGAATTCATAACTGTAAAAGAACTGGTTCATAACTAGTATTAATAAATTATATGTATGTAAATGTAATAAAATTTTCCTATTTTTTGTTTAATTTAAATTATTTATTCTGCTTTTCAGTCTGATGATCCTCCGTTTCGACCATCTGGTGTTGGCCTAGGCAAAGGAAAACCATTCTACGCCTCTAAAATAGCAAAGAAAAAACTCGGGTTAGGCCCAGGTCGGCCCAAAGGAAGTGGGAAAATGTCTTCTATTGCGTTATCTCACTTTCAAAAGAGACCTCGTTACGCAGATTTTGGTAGGAAGCGAGGTGCTAAAACGAAAATGAGAGGAATATTCGGTGTCCCCGGGCTTGGTTTACAGGTAAACCACGATATAAACATTTTACATTACTGTTCTAAGAAATATATTTTTATTGGTATTACAAATTTTTCTAACCATCAAGGTGTTAAATTATTATATATATATATTTTTTTTTTTTTATATATATAGACATCAAATTATTTGTTCAGTTTATTTATTATAGAAATAGAAAAATCATCTTTATTCTGGGACTAGGTCCCTTTAGAATAACAGTATTGTTCATGTTAATTAACCATAAATCTGGCCAAAAGACTTATTACAATGAATAATAACAAAATACTAGTAATAAATTAAGTATTAATTAAGCTCTTAGGATAAATTAACGAGAACAGTTGGGAATAGGGGTTCAGTACTACAATATTGGAGCTAAAACAAAAGCATAATAATCACTGAATGAAATTACAAATCAATACATCAATTTTATAGGCAAAGCATTGTAGTGATGGAACATAAAAAAATAATAATAACTGTTAATATGTAAAGAAAGAAATTGTAAAAAAAAAAAAAGATATACATATGTTCCCTAAGATATTAAAATGAAAAAATAAAATAAAGTATACATATATATACACATAGCGAGAAATGTGTTGAAGATAATTTGAAAATTAAATACATTTTACCGAAATACAATTTCATAAATAAAAAAATTAGAAATTAAGAAAAACAAATTTTATCTACTCAAATGCTTAGTGAGTGGTGATGAAAATGCATTTTCAACACAGAATAAAACAATAAAAAATAAGAGAAAAAAAAAAAAATGTCTAAAGAAAATTAAAGCCTTATTACATAGTATGGATTTAACCAGCGTCTGGTTGGATTGTGAAGAGGAATTGGAATAAGAGGGTTTTAAAGGTGGATAAGGATGATGCATGGCAGATTTTTAGTGGGATGGAATTCCAGAATGCAGTGGAACGGACAACGAAGGAATGTTTAAACGATGCAGATCTGTGGAAAGGGGTGTAAAGGTCAGAAGGACAAGATCTTGTGGAGAGGGTGTGGATAGATGATTTGAATTGTAGGAGATTGTATGCGTAGGACAGACGATAATTATGGTATTTATTTATTACATATTTATTATATGTTGTAAACTTGAAACAGAAGGAATCATTTAAATATAATATATAAGCAATGGCATCTATATGTGGATTAATAAAAAATATGAGTGATTTAGATACTAATGTTAACTACGTTTGGGTCGGATAGGGTGTCAAGTAATGGTTCTGTCGTGGAGGGAAAAATGAGAATAAACATGCCTATCTGTTTTATGTGGGAGGATTCGTGTTGATAATCTCCACAACCCGATTTTTTCTACAGATTGAATTATTTTTACAATGCATTATAGGCTTCATTAATTAAATAAATTTTAATTAATTATTTTCTATAATTGAAAGAAAAAGTTCATTTTGATCAACGTATTCATGTACATGTATTTATCATTAAATATACTTGAAAAAAATTGATTGAGTTTCTACTCTAAATCTTCGCTTTTACTGATTTAGTATAAATTTTCAATCTAATTTTCTTCAAGTGTTATTGCTTGTTAAAAGTTAAAAGACAGTGGACTCTCATTAATCCAAACCACCTATTAGTTAAAAAATCGATGATTTTATTTTATTTATATAATACATATATACATACATTAATCTGTATTATCAGCACCTTATGTGCTGTCTTTAATAATCAAGTTAAAATACCAACTATTTTTATTTATGATAAAATCCAAGTATGCACTTACTAAAATTTGGAAGCTTATTTATTTTCTCAATTTCTGTATTGCTGGATATAATTAATATTTTTTATTCGATTAATCTTCAGTGGGACATTGTATTTTTAGTACAATGGTAGTTTACGCTATTCAAAAACGATTAACTATGAGTTTAAAAAAAATACTGTTTTGTGATCTCAATTTTTCCTAATCCAAACCCCTTAGTTTTATCTATTTCGGATCGATGAGAGTCCATTGTATTAGTATATATAAAATTTTAAAAACTGAACAATTTGTATTTATGTACTGAAGTAACAAACTGTGTTAACTTTTCATAATTATTAGCAATATTTATATTGTTTACTTATCATGAAATGGCAATTATTCTTGCATCAAACATGCTTTAATAAGTCTTAACTTATAACTTTGTTTTTATCTCTAAATGCCTTTAAAATTTATAAATGACATGTTTCAAATAGATCATTTATGTTTCTCATATATTATTATAAAAAACTTGACGTAAATAAGGGATTTCATTTAATGATAAACAAAAATCTTTCATCGAATGGAAAAGTCTTTTCTAATTTTGTTACTTTTAGTTTAACTTAATTTTAATTTAAAGACTGGTTAGTAGCTAAATTATTTAGAGTTAAAAAAATAAATACTGTTAAATTATTGAAATCTAACAATTAATTTTTTAAAATGTTTAATGTAACCCTTTTTTTTAAAATATTTACATACCAATTATATTCTCACAATTGTAAATGACTTGACTTAAACATGTAGTTCTATTAATGCTTCAATAATATTTTGTTATTTTAAATCTTATTTCTATTTTTTTTTTTGAGATTTATAAAAAAAAAATTAAAAAATCTGCAGTTTAGTAATTTTTGTACCATTTTTAAAATAGGATTCATTGAAAAGGGATATTCAGGTATGCTGCACTTAAATCATTAAGTGTTGGACAAATAATTTTATTTGAATTAAAATAATATTCAAAGTAGATAACACCCTTATGAAAGCATGTTTTTTCCCCTCTGAGCAGTTACCAAGTGCATTATAATATTTCATAATTAGATGCATGTATTTACGAGTGAAACATATAATTATGAAAAAATATAATTATTGAACCTTACCTTAGAGTACAGTTTACTTGTAAGTACTTGTTGCATACTGCCAAGTATTTATCACCCTTAGTAGATAAGTGAGAACCTTTGATCTTAGTTGTCTAATATAGCCATCTAAATTTTTGGTGGAAAAATGTTACTTTTATTTTTTGTATTTCCATATTGCAAATTTTATTTATTTATATTATTATTTCAAAATCATAACAGTTTAGAAGTTATCTGACTATTTTTCATTTAATTTTTTTAACATGATAAACTTGATTGATAATCGATTGATTATAAACAAGTTATAATTAACTTGTGTAAGTGAATTTCTATTTTTTAAAAAAATAATTATTAATCTAATTTTAATCAAACAAATAATTTATATTTATTGGCTATACAGTGCTTTGAACTAAATTATTAAGGTGTTACATAAATACCATTGTTACAGTCTTTTGTGGTATTGTTATTTTTAATTTTTTTTTTTTTTTCAGAGACCTTTAATGGATTCTAATACCAAACCTGAAGACGAACCAGGACTTGAAAATAAGTTGGTTCTTGTATCATCTCGTGACAAATACGTTTTAAGTCAAGACGTTTGTGTTATGTGTGGTGCTCTAGGGCAAGACCAGGAAGCATGTCTTATAGCTTGTGCACAGTGTGGGCAGTCGTATCATCCCTACTGTGTATCAGTTAAGGTAACTATTTCATACGTATATATATATATATATATATATATATATATATATATATATATATATATATATATATATATATATATATATATATATATTTTTTTTTTTTTTTTTTTTCACCATTTTTTAGAAAGTCATTAAAAATTTTTAATCTGTATTAAAGCAATTTAGACCTTCTCCATTAAATCATTTATTCAGTCCTGACTATCCTGTGATATCTCCGGATCATTAATTCTGTATCCAGACTTCACTGTAAACTATTTTTGACTTATATTACTCGATCAGCAATATATTACTTTTATTTAAATCCTTATATCAAAGTAATAATTTTTTCTTTGCTATTTTATGATCTTATTTGTCTAATGGATAATAATATAAAGTATTATGCTGTTTACAAATTATTAGTAAAAAAAAGTCCTTGAATAAAGAGTAATTTTAATTATTTCTGTGGTTCAGAATTTTTTTGTTGTAGTGAAGGTGGCAATTTATTATATCCCATTTATTTGGACTGTTTAATGTTTTGGGAAATATTTCCCTATCCTTAAAAACAAAATAAAAATTGTAATTTTTATTTATTATTAATAAAAGTGATAGCAAAATTGTTAGTTGTGTGCACAAAATAAATATATTTATTAACTCTAAGGCATTGCGTTCGAAAACAAGCCAAGCCCATTTTCCAATTTTTTAAAAATTAGAATAAAGAATTAGTTTTTGTATTAAATTATTGTGAGATAAAGGGATTTAAGTTAAATCTGAATTAAGTATATCGTTGGTCTGTTGCAAAAAGTGATTGTATCTATCTATCTCTCAGATGGCGCTACAGCAATATGATGGGTTCTGTCCTCCTCTATGAGCCTCCACCATTCGGCTCAATTTGGGGCTGCTGCCATCCAATTTCTATACTTGTCCAATTCTTTCAGGAGGATACGAAGTCTTCCGGTTCTATGTAAAGTTAAAATGTTCCAAAAGGCAAGTCGACAGTCCATTTGACAGTTTCTGTATTGGCTAACATGAGGCAGTCCGCCATTATCTTGTTGAGGTCTCACGATGTAGAGTTTTCAAAGATGAGGGTTATCAGCCCTTGCCCTCCTAGTCAGGTTGAGGAGCTGCCTCCTCAAATCCTCCTGACCTGCTCCCACATCCAGGGTGGCTTCCTATGGGAGGTGACAATAGGGTATGTAGTGTGCTGTATACAGTGTACTGTTCCCCCAATCTACAGGGCCAGTGGCTGTCTGGAGTTCTAACAACTGGGTGATGGGGCTGCCACCTCCCTGCCGAAGCAAAAAGTGATTGAGTCACATTTAATTACCTTAAACCACTAAGAACTTAGATAAATTTACCCTTTGTGAAATCAGAAAGTTGTATGCTTGTTATAATAGTAATACACTTATTATTTTTTTATATCGATAAATAAGGTCAAACTTATGTAAAACCTGTTTATAAGTTTAGCTCCATGAAAAATGTATTTATTGGCTTTTTGCAATAAACCGACGATATATAAAAAACATTTTTATTCTTTTTGAGAAATACATTTGGCAATTAATTAAATAGTAAAATAATCATTTCTAATTTCTTATATGTTTTTAAAGTTAAGTAATAAATATTTATACATCCTCAGGTTACCAAAGTGATGCTTCAGCGTGGCTGGAGATGCCTTGATTGCACGGTATGTGAAGGCTGCGGCCAAAGAAATGACGAAGGACGATTAATATTATGTGACGATTGTGACATTTCATACCACATCTATTGCATGGACCCTCCACTCGGTGCCGTGCCTTCAGGTGTTTGGAAGTGCAAGTGGTGAGTTATTTTCTCTTATATTATAAACAAAAAAAATTCTTTAGGATATATGGGGAACTTAAGTTATGTTTCAAGAAATTTCGAACCTTAAATTCCTTCAGCAACTTTAATAAAAGTCATTGATAAAATTGGGAGGTTTCAAAACTGTGATTCTTGCCGAAAGCCTCTTTGTATGAGATATTTATCACATTTTTATTTATTTATTTAATCTTTATTTGTTTTGAGGGAAGAACTCCATACAAATAGAGTCTATTTTTGTATTATAAACATTACTATCCTTATGGTTATACGATATTTTTCTTTGTAATTTATACATATTATAATAGAGTTAAGTATAACTTAAAACTCATATTTCGTTAAAAATCAAACAGTTAAAATAATACATAATAATTATCAACATAATTATAAAATTGCAGATAAAATAATTATCAATATCAATATAAAATCTTAAATTGTCTATAAAGCACAAAAATAACAACAACAAAACAATAAATACATTTTATCTTTTAAATATTAATGTTAAATCATATTTTAAAATTAAATTAACAATTTATTTACATATATTCATAATATTCAAAGCACGGACAATATTTGATTATTTGATTACCCCACCAAATCTCTGAAATTAGATATATTACAGATAAAAAAATATAATTGTCTATAGTGGTTGGCATAAATATTTCCATCCCATTAAGATTTTCCTTCCTGGTAAATTCTTATTCTCAAACAATTGTATATTGGGCACTTAAATAAAACATGATAAAGTGTCTTTTTTTTCTTAGTGTTGTTCATTTTGCACACTCAAGTTATGGAGTGATTTTTATAATTTTCTTGTTAACTGGGACTTTGATACTTATCACATGCTTAGGTTTTTAAAACTAAAATATTGTTATTTATGATAAGCTTTGAGAAACAAAAAATCAATTTGAAAGGTAAACGGAGAAAAATTGCTATACGATGGCTTGGGCACTTGAAATAATTTAGAAAGAAACTTATTAATATTTTTTAAAAAATATTCAAATATGGCTTCTATACAAAAGGGAACTACAAGTCTCTTCCGCACCAAACAAATACAATATTGTCTTGAGAAAATACAATAATGGATTAGTATAAGTCCTGGGATAACTGTGTCTTATTGTGTTCAACTATTTAATTAGATAGATATACTCCAGTCGTATAAGCTAGTAAATTTTTACTTAACAGTGGTTAGTTAAGTATAAAGTTTCACCAATTATTTTTGATGAATAGACTATCTTGATAACATTATTTTGTATTTACGAATAGAGATGTTTTGCTGATATTTCTGTATGAGGGGTATAATAGTCTAGACTATACAGAAAATAATTTAAATAAATAATATAATAATATTGTTGTTATTAATTTTAATTATTGTTTAGGTGTGCCCATTGCCAGACCTGCGGATCCAACAGCCCAGGTCCCAATGCAACGTGGCAGTCCAACTTCACCCAGTGCGGACCTTGTGCTTCAAGAACTGTTTGTCCAGCTTGCCTAGAGCTTTATACAGACGGTGATCTCATAATTAAGTGTATTCACTGTGATAGGTAAGCCTTCAAAAAATTAATATATGGGCATTAATTTGCTTTTGTTTAAACTTTATTTGATTATTTATATATATATATATATATTTTAGGTGGTTACATTGCCTCTGTGATACAATATCTAACGAAAATGAAGCGGAAGCGTGCTGTGCGCAAGGTTATACTTGCATCCTCTGTAGGCCAAATAATGCTGCTTTGGTATTACCTGCTACGACACCATCAAGAGCTCCATCACCTGAAATTAACTTAGGTGAATTTCTTTAAATAATATGATTTTGTTAGGAAGTTTTTTTTTTTGCAGAGGCAAGTAATTTGGAAATAGTTAAACTATCAAATATAGTTTTATATATGTATTATAAAATATAGTAAAAGTAAAGCGTCATATATTGTTACTGTTAGTGCAAAAGGTCGTATATAAAAATTTAATTTTTTTACAAAAGAGCATAAAAACTGGTTATTTCTTTATGATTTATTAGTAAAATTTCATTTTTAATACCCTGTAATATTTTCCATAGTAGCAGTCAATTTGTTGCAGTTGTATACTATAAAATATCATCTTTAACACTAATAGAATTAAAATAGAAAATTGTTTTGGCCTTTTGCACTAACTGTCGATTTTCGAGAGTGTAATCCCACAACTATCTCACAGACAATAATACATGGATTGTTTACAATGCCAACTGTAGTACCCTCGTTATCCATCCATAAGTCATCTCAAGATGGATATCCTGATCAAAATATCTATACTTAACCGCAAAAACCACTTCTGAATGGTATTTTAAACAACTTAACCACACCATACACAACATAAATGTTATTTGTAGTTTGTGCCGCATTTTTTTCTTTTTTATAAAAAAGAAAAGTATAAAAGTTCAGTTTGACAAACTGTGTGTACAGAGCCATGATGAAGAAATTAGGAATGTAAATAAAGATACTGAGGATTCAAGATATATAAACAAACATTAGCTTTGTACTTCATTATAATTTAAAATAATTAAAATATAACCTGTTTAAAAAAAAATTGTAATTAACAAATAAGTTCTAAAAATAAAAAATAACTCTTGTTAATTTGAGTATCGATTCAAAATATCTATTACTGGACAAGAACAGAAATATAGGAGATTATTATCCTTAAACTAAATTATGTATAGGATTGTCATGATTTTTAATTTAATATTTTTTTATATAAGATATTTCAGTATTATATTTATTTATTTTTTGTGTGTTTTTAGAAAGCAAAGCTACAGACTATTATGTAGATGGTGTTTGCCTATCCGAAACCGGACTGCAATTAATCAAAACTCTTTCAATGGATAATGGAAATCAACCAGTTCGGCGTAAAAGGCCAGGTTTCAGAAGGCAGGATCCCTCCGTTGACCTATCTGTAGATGGTAACTAACCCTAATTAATATTCTTATTTTATTTATTTTTAGAGTGACATTATTTATTTTATAATGTTGGAGAAAAAAAAATTATGATTTGAGGATAACATATTTCTAGTTTATTTCTCCTCAACTATTCTCCTGTCAATTAATGAGGACCATTCAAACCTGAGCTAGAATAAATGCTATCACTCATTCGTTTGATCTCTAGTTGTCGATAATACATTATTGGGGAAAAAACTTTAAAAAGTACTTTCGTAGTTGATATATGCTACAGTTTTTCCAATATGAAATGGTCTATCTAATAGAAAATCTAAGACCTTAATTATTACGGTGGTAGCAATTAAACTATTTATTGAAAATATTATGAAGCCTCGCACTTTTTTTTTGTTTAACGTATTGACAATTTAATTTAACATCCATAGTCTTTGGCTTATCTACTTCTTCTGTTCCAAGTTTTTCTGTTTGGATTTTATGTTTTGTAATATTTTTTTGCCTGGAAAATTTTCATTATGCAACTTAGTATAGTAACGGTTGCAGTAAAATATTGACTAAAATAATTCATATTGTTTTAAAATTAATGTGCCTAATTTTTCAGATATAGAAAATGAAGGGAAAGACGCAGTCTACAAAGACGGTATGATCTGGGGCTCTAAAGAAAATGGTCCGATCCCAAGTCCACCTGAAGGCTTTACATTGTACACCCGGGAATGTGGAGTCGTCGTCTTGAAACGGATAAAGAAGAGAAATCTTCAGAGGCTTGGTTTGTGTTATTAACATTGACTTTGATATATAAGTCCTTGTGTTTAAGGTCAGATTTCTAATTTGTTTTGATTTTTTAGGCATTGGTGGCTTCACCACTGTAAAGATGAGGAGCTCCAGGTTCAAAGAAGATGATGAACATCTTTATCCTGAAGAAAAACCCAGGAGGAAACCTAGAGTTCCTAAGAAGAAAAGCAAAATTGCCGAGAGTTATCCTAGACATCTCCAAGTATGTTTTTTTAATAGACATATATTTATTTTCTTTTTAACATCTGCCTATTGTATGTTTATATGATAATATGTTTATGTAACAATATGACATTTTCCTTTAAAAACATGTGAAGGGTATTCATGCAACCTGTGCTAAGTATTGTAAACCTTTTAAATGTGTTGAAGTTGAGAAACTTATTTAAGAAATGTGTGTTAATTATGGCTGCTAGCACACTTGATTTTAGCGAAGTATGGAGTCCTTTAAAGTAGTGCTAATTTCGTAAATAATTCGAGAAAGTAACAATGAGGCTTCAATGTCTTGTTTAGTTCTTTATACCACAATAACAGTCTACCATTACAAGTCTGTACAACACCACAAATAATTTGATCGGAATTGGATGCTGTCTTGGTGAAAAGACAAGATGGTCTTGAATTTCATTTAACATAAAATTAAACTGGTATCTAACAACCCTCACAATCTGGCTGGCATCATCCATTTAGGGGAACACCTCTTGGCACAAATGAGAGGCTCAATTTCAATCTTTATTTGTTTTAAGGGTAGAACTCTATACAAATGGAGTCTATCTCAAAATAAAAAACATTATCCTTATGGAACTATCAGACAGTTAAAATAGTTCTAATTATCAAATTAATAGAAATTTGTCAACAATACACATAAAACAATAAATAAACATTTTTTAAAAATATTAACATTAAACTGTGTTTTAAAATTAAATTAAAAGATTACCCCTATATCCAAGAAAAAAGACCCTGACAGATTACATGCCAATGTGCAGTATGGAAATTTTGCCATAATATGCAGAGGAAGAACAATATTCCAGATTACCCTAACAATTCTCTATTATTTGTTTATAAAATTGAGATGAAAAAATATAATTTTTTCATATCTTCTGCAGTGGTTGTCTTAAATATTTCTATCCCATCAATATTTTCCATACTTTCATAAATTCTTAACCTTAAACCACTGCTAATTGGGCATTTAAGTAATATGTGATAAAGTGTTTCATTTTCTTTACTGTTGTACATTTTGCACTCAAGTTGTGGAGTAATTTTCACAATTTTATTATTAACAGATATCTTGATTATATATATCATATATATATTTTCCCGAGAGGCAGATCTGCACTAATATTTTCGTATATTTGAAATTATTTGGCGTCAACAAATACTGAGGAATCTGATTATTATTAAGAACAAAAGTTTAAATATTCACTATAAGATGAGCTATGCAATATTATCCTGTCACCATCCTGCAAATGTTTATATTTATTTAATATCCTGTTAATATTTGTTCTAATTACGGCTGAGTTGGTTTCATAAACTGGATTGCCTTTCCCAATAGTATCTAACAATACTTTTAGCTGAGAATACCAATTATATTTCGATAGAGCAGGATTAGCTGAGTAACATTTATTTCTTAGCGTATTGAAACATATTTATATATCTAAACTCATCCATTTGCAGAAGCTTAACCAATCTATTCAATTAACACTTCATAATATTGAAACCAATATGAGTAGACCCTAAATGAGACTCCTTCACTGGACAAGAAAGAAAATTTATACTACATCTCAATGACTTAACAGCCACGATTTCATTTATCTTTTCATCAAGTTCTTTGCCTTGTGAATCTGCATCCATGCTTTCTATTGAATCATTTCAAATAAAAATCCAGCAACTGTGCTTGAAGCAGGAAAATTCACAAACTTTGTTTACAATACAATCATAACCTTTCTATGGCTAGCAACACTTTAACAGATTAGAATAATGGATCATTTAAAATTTGTGCTGACTGCTTAGCGTGATAACATGTTAAGCATTTACCACAAGCTACATGAATACCCTATTATTTAATTTTTTGTTATATTTTATTTCTATACATACAGATGGACTTATTTGCTATATTTTTGAAATTTATTTATATGCCTTTCTGTTTTTCAGGAAGCTTTCTTTGGCAAAGAATTACTCGATACAACTAAGGAAACCTCCCAAGAATTAGAGAGCACTGGTGATGAATCAGATGAAGGAAAATTAAGGGTAAGTTTATTCATCGGCAGGTCAGATTTTTTGCACATACTCTGTTTAGCTCAACGCTTATTCATTGTTGCACCATTGTTATTTGTATTGTTTAATTTTTTGTTTTGCCCATTTTTAACCTATTGGTGTCATTTATAGTGTAGTATATGTTATTGTTATCATGAATGTTGAATATATTGATGTTTAAAATTTTTATTCTCAAAATTTAATTTTCTTTGTTGATTTTTTTTTTTTTAACATGTTTTTATTTATTTAATAATAATTAAAAAACTTCAGTTGTCTTCTATAGTATAGTAGCCTTATACTAAACACTTGCTTTAGTAGCCTAAACCTCACGTTCATTCAATATTTACTCCTTTTCTTTGATTTTCAGTATGTCTCAGAAATATATATTAATAGGCTAGCTAGTTTACAATGCAAAATGAATTTACTGTAATCAGTAAATTAAAAGTAATTATTATTGAATTTTTTGGACATTTTATTAGTGATCATCAGTATTTATCTTTCTCATACATATTAGTAATTTATTCAATCCTAATCTAAATCTTAGAGGTAGTTGAACGAACTAATAATTTTTATTTAACTCAAAAGTTGATATTACGGAATATAATTAATTGGGTCTTTTAAATAAATAACAGAACTTGGTAAAAATAAATGATATTTCTCTTCAAGCAATTCCCAAAAAAACATACTCAACTAATTATTAATTGTTTAAACTTGAATAGAAAATAAAGCAAGTACCTTAACACAATAACAAAATCTAAATGTAGTAAAATTCTAATGAGATATATTTGACTAATTGGTTCTTATTTAGCGCTTGTGGGCTTTCGGGCTGAAGCAACTCCAATAACAATTTTTTTTTTCAATGGTCCGTATTTATTTCTGTGACTTATCTTCCCTAAATACTTCAACCATTAAAAACAAGTCCTCCGTTTCATTTATAACACGGTTACTAAACGTAGACCCAAGTCAAGAAAATATATTTAAAAATCCCTAAAACCATTAATTTTTCCCTTAACACTTTCTTTTATGTTTTTATTGTATTTATTACCACTTAAAAATCATATCATATAATTTCTTTCGTTTTCTACCAGAATAATTACTGTTAAAAAATAAATCCACTACTATGTAGTAGTTATTTATTAAAATAAAAAAATAAATTTAATAATAATAATAATAATAATAAGGCTTAGCGAACCCGAAGGTTCGATGCCGACACCACCAACCGCTTGTTACACACCTCCCTCCACCGTTCGCCGTCCAAACCCAATCCCTTCAGATCGGCTTTAATACAATCTTCCCACCTTCGCTTCGGTCTACCCCTCGGACGCTTACCATTCGGCACAGCAAATATTAACCTTTTAGGAATTCTCTCGTTACTAAGCCCAACAACTTTACAAGCCCATTTGATTCGCCGCAATGAAATTACCTCAATTATATTACCCGGATACAGCTCACGCAATTCGGCGTTGTGTAACCGTCTGAACTCTCCGGTTAACTCATCCTTCTTCGGTCCGAATATTCTACGCAATACTTTATTTTCAAAAACCTTAAGACGCTGCTCATCCCTTAATGTAAGCGGCCAAGTTTCGCATCCATAAAGAACTGTAGGCAAGATAATTGTTTTATAGATTCTAATTTTTAAGTTTCGGGACAAGAGGCGCGAACTGAGTAGTTTTGTCACAGAAAAATAACAAGCATTCCCCGCCTTCAGTCTAACTTTAATCTCTTCTTCAATTTCGTTTTTTCTAGTTATCGTAGAACCTAGATACCTAAATTTATCTACCTGTTCAAACATATTACCATCTATATCCATATCACCACTAGTATCGCCATTTTTGCAGCTAACCATATATTTTGTTTTATCCACGTTTATTTCGAGTCCTAGTTCTTTACCGGCTTTCATTAACGTTGTCGTATTTAGTTTTATAGTTTCAACGTCTTCGCTTAACAGTACCAGATCATCAGCATAGCCAAGCACGGATGTTGTCCCGCCCAGATCCAACCCTTTCTCGGTTCGCATTACCTCCCTAATGGCATGTTCTAATGCCAAATTGAACAGGACAGGCGAAAGAGAATCACCCTGTTTTAAGCCCGAACGAACCTCAAATTTTTCGGACAAATTATTACCGATTCTAACTTTATTGAGTGTCTCCGTCAAGCACATCCTGACTAGATTTACTAGTTTTTTTGGAATCCCCTGCTCGATTAGAATATTATACAGTTTCTGGCGGTCAATAGAATCGTAAGCCTTTTTAAAATCTATATACAGCTGGTGAACAATACCGTTATACTCCAATTTTTTCTCTAATATTTGCCGTAAAGAAAATATTTGATCAATAGTCGAACGATTCCGTCTAAATCCGCATTGGTAGTCTCCGATAATTTCCTCAGCGTATTCCGTGATTCGACTGGTTAAGATTAAAGTGAATATTTTATAACATACCGGAAGGAGTGAAATTCCTCGATAGTTATTACAATCCGTCCTCGGACCTTTTTTGTGAATCGGAATAAGAATAGATTCTTTCCATTCTTCAGGTAATTTCTCGTTCACCCAGATCTTTTTAACCAACCGATGTATTTTAGAAACTCCAGCTTCCCCGCATGCCTTAATTAGTTCAGTAGGAATATTATCGATTCCCGCTGCTTTATATGATTTTAATTTTCCGATAGCTACTTCAACTTCCTCTTAACTTGGTCCTTCTATTAACGGTTCAGCACTCTGGTACTCAGAAGGAGGACACATATCATAATTTCCCGTATTTAAAACATTGTCAAAGTGGTCCTTAAACTTATTCAATATGTCAACCGGATCGGTCAGAATATTGTTATTATCATCCCTAATTCCAGACGTTACGGGCTCTACATATTTACGTGATCTGTTTATACCTTTGTACATGTCTCTTACGTTATTTTGGATTCTATTAGTTTCTATTTCAATTATTTTATTTTTAAGATACTCCCTTTTTTTATTTTTGAGCAATTTTGTCGTTTCGTTCTTTGAGATTCGGAAGTATTCCAGATTGTCTTCGCTAGGATTATTTAGAGCTTTTAATTTAGCAGCTTTTCTTTTTTCACACATGTTTAAGCAATCTTCATCAAACCAGGGTTTGTTATTCTTATTTTCCTTTTTTCCTAGACACGAGTTACCGACCGCTTTAATATTATCCCTGATCTCTACCCATAACTTGTCAATATCCTCGTGGTCCTCTTCAGGAAGCTCTAAAGCTTCAAACCTATTCTTAACATCTACCTCGAATTGGTTTCTAATTGATGGATTTTTTAATTTTTCCAAATTAAAATTCTCAAAATCGAAACGGTTTTCTTTTCTCTTTTTTATATTAAGTTTTTGTCGAAGTTTCGCGATTACTAATTCATGATCCGACCCACATTCTGCTCCGCGATAAGACCGTACATTAATTATACTGCTTTGCCAGCTGTGTTGTATCAAGACATGATCGATTTGATTTCGTGTTTGCGAATCCGGTGATGTCCAAGTATATTTATGAATATCCTTATGTTTAAACGTCGTACTTTTAATTATTAGGTTTTTCGAGATGGCAAAGTTTATCAGACGGATCCCATTATCATTACTATATTCGTGCAAACTTTCTTTACCAATCGTCGGAATATAAACTTCTTCCCTTCCTACCTTTGCGTTGGCGTCACCTACAATTATTTTCATGTAGTTTCGCGGTAGTTTATCATAAACCCATTCGAGTTTATCGTAAAATTCACTTTTGACTTCATCGTCACTGTCTTCGGTCGGACAATGTATGTTTATTAATGCGATTTTAAACCAACGTCCCTGAAATGTAGCTACCGAAATTCTATCACTAAAGAATTGTACGTCCCTCAAAGCGGATAGTAATCTACTCCTAATTAGAAACCCGGTACCTAAACAATGATTCCCGCTTCCTCCGTACCAAATAGTGTACTTCCCTTCCCTCATCGAGCCCTCCCCTGGCCAGCGAACCTCTTGCAGAGCCACGACATCCAAATTGTACCCATTTACCTCATTCGCGACCGATTTTAGCCCCCCTGCTGTGTTTAAACTCCTTACGTTCCACGTACCAATATTTAAATCCCTATATTTCAACTTGCGGCATGAATCCCCTAAAGCAGTCCCCACCCGGAGACCCGAACGGGGGACTAGTTTACCTCCGGATAATGAGCGTTTTACCTTAGGGAGATCCATGACTTTTTGTGGTGTTTGGTGAACTAAAGATATGTGAGTAGGGCGTTCAATCCTACGTCACACCCTCCAGCAAGTCTGGTGGGCCCCTACCTCCAGCAAGTCTGGAGGTCCCCTCTCATTGTTGGTCAGCGAGTCCATCGGACTTAGCCGGGAGGAACTTCCAAGGAATTTCCACCGACCATCCCCACATCCGCCACCCGTGGGACGCTCCCCATACGCGGTAATGAGCCCGCGCGAGGGAAAAAAAAAAAAAAAAAAAAAAAAAAAAAAAAAAAAAATTTAGATATTGTAAATATAACAGTAATGAAAACAACCATAAAAACATGATGGACTTTTAGGATTATTAGTTTTGCTCCTTAAGCGGATCCTACACGATAAGTTATGAATGACAAGGATTACTTCAATCGTGATGACCCTTACATGTATCAATCATACTGATGCATTTTAGCTAAATTGACTTAAAGATAACAGGCAGTGGTCCTGTACGCCAGCCACTTCAATCAGTACCTTACACAATCAATCGGAACATCAATAGTGTCTTGGAATGCAATTCCGAATAATGGTGTAGAATCCGCGTTAAAGATTTTTTTTTTTAATTATTAGTGAATTCTCTTTCAACCAAGTTAATTTGATTAAATCTTTTATCTATCTTAAAATAATATCAAAAATTGAATTGGATTATCTAAGCAATGATGACTTTAGAGTTTTAACTTCAACCTTTTCAGTTGTTTCTAAATGTGATTAGCATGAAATGTGTTGCATGATTTCAATTCATTTTCATAATACTATTATTTGTTTATTCATTCATTTAGTGATGTTTTCTTAAATTTCTATTGAAATCGGTATTTATGTTATCCTTGTTTGTCTTTTTGGTGAAACTTTATTGTAATTTTATGGTATATGTTCTGTAGTGTATTATATAAATAAAGTATATATCCTTTAAATGTTGTAATAACACATGTCCTAGATGTATGTAGACTGTGTGCTTTATGTTTTGCACTAACTTAACATGCATTAAAGGTTGTCGAAGAAGAGAGCTCTAACCAGGAAAATGTTAGCGATAAAAGGAGGGAAGTCGCCAACAGTTCATCTTCAGCTAAAATAACTATAAAGGTATTAAAATAAAAGAAAAAACTAATAAAATAAATAAATTTCTTTAAGTGAACCCTGGAGTTCTGCAATAGTTGTGAAGAATTTCAGATTTACATTGCTTAATATTTAATAGGTGATCTATTTAACTGTGTAACTTATTGTTGATTTTTTTAATTTAGAGCATGGTATTGTTAATGTTGCATTTTTGAGAAAGGAATTAAATTATCAATATTTTTATTTCCTTAAATTACTGTAATGCTGGAATCATTTATCCGTTAATTTTTTGTTTTAATTTGTTGTTATCGCATGGAGTAGAATTTTTTAAAATTTATTTTTTTAATTCTGTAAACCAGCATATTTCTTGTTAGCTGAAAATTCAAGTGGATTATCATAGAAAAACAAATTCGAGAAGAGAGTATTTCCAAAGCAGCCTAGACCAAAAAATGGTGTCAATTACTATACTGATGTCGCTCTCAGAATGCATGGTCAGAAGCTGCCATCTAGAGGAAAAACTAACTGTTAGATGTAGTATTCATTCATTAGGACAATTACGCTTCAGTGTTACAATCCGAAGTACTAGCTATAAGTTATTGTAGCAGTATTCTTCTTTCAGAGAAGGGGTTAAAAGGCAAACTTATAACACTCAATACTGATAGTTATGTGGCGATAGGAGAACTTGAAACCCCGTCATACATTGAAGGGCAGCAAAGTACTGCTATGCTTGTATACTAAATAAGATAAAAAACAATCTTATATTAACTAGCTTATATAATAAATTATATCAGATTTTTAATAAAAAGAGAGACACATCTGTTCTCCCCGAATCTGCTTAATTGCCAAAGCACCTGAAGGAAGAATGCTTGTTGATGTTGAAAAGGAATTATGAATGCGTCGATGTTCAGTGATAAAACTCAAGCACCATTGCTTGAGTTTTATCACTGAACAGCTAAAAGACATAAGCTACAAAATAAAAAAATTGAGATTTTTGCTAAAAAGGGTCTTTAAGGGATATTTCTTTTATCTCATACGAGGTTAATGCAAAACAATTTTTGAATTGTTTTTCTTCTTTAAATCTTGCTTGAGATGAAATACCAATCTCAGTTTTTTTTTTTTTTTTTTTTTTTTGGTGCTTTTGTACTTTTAGGCAACTGAATTCATCAACCTTTTTTGTTTTGACATAATTTAAAAAGTAAACTCAAACTAGAAGATTTGTTCTCTCGTCCGACTTAGTGTTAACGAAGGATCACTGTATTAACATTTTAGTTTTGTTATATTGATCCATTTTTCTACTAATATCTTAATCCTTAAATAATTTTTTTACATTTGTGCTTTGTATTCTGTATATAAATAGTTTTGTTGTGGAATATTTAATTGAATGCAATGCCTATGAATTGTAGAGAGAATAACTTCAATACCTTTACCAATAATCAATTTTAATTTTAATTAATTGATTATTTGAGTTTATGGTACAGTGAATATATCAGTGACGTTTTTTTATTTGTTACAATAATTTAGTTTAATGAATATTGTGTTTAACTTTAGGAGGAAGAAGGTAGCGATGGTGAGACGTTGAAGGATATTCTACATCTCCCTGAAAATCTTCTTCACAATGATCTAGTCAACACAATCATGAATGAAAGTGCAGATAGTATCAAATCAGAAAATCTAATGTCAGGTATAATATTTAATTTTTTAATTGTTGTTTCTCATTAAGTAAGGCACTGTGCTTTCATCTCCCGGATTTCAAATCTGAATTGTGTCACATAATTATTTATTATGTACCTTAGTGATTTCTTGTGTATATAAATAACAACCATGGAGTCAGGAGATACCCCCAAGACACCCCCAGCCTCAATAAAGTGGTTACCCATCATAAGAGAAAAACTTGGGTTTGAACATTATTCTAGCTAGGGCATCTACTTGCATAACCATTTGCATTAGAAACAATAATTCATGCAAGTGCCAATTCAAAGATCTCTTTTCGTTTCTTGACACATCAAGAAAAAAAGATGCATATTGACCGGTCTAGTAATTTTCCGAGATCCTGCTTAGTGTGCACAGTTTAAGGTCTTAATACGCTTAAGATCTCTTAGCTCTTGTTTACTATTTTGAACTGTTTTCAAGGAAACATTAAGTATACAAAGCTATTTAGCTGCAATCCTCAGCTAAGTTCTATGTATCTATGCATTGTTACAAATCAGGAGGGGTCTTGGCATCCTTTTGGAACCTCCATGTATTGAACTTAAAGTGAAGTTCGACATGAAGAAAAAACTAATTAAACACCCCTGCTCTCATTTTCTATTTACCTCAAAACATTATGAATTGAAGATTTTTGATATTTATGTTAATAAAATAAAATTATCAATAGTTGAAATATTTTTAATGCAAACAGATTGCATTATATGGTTTATCATTTGAAGTAAGATTATATAACTATTATTTTATTTTCAGAGAGCGGACATGAAGGTAGTGGCAGCCAAAAAGACGAACTATGTGATATTCTCGGACCTCATTTTAATATAGAATCTATGGTAAGAGAAACAGGTCTTCCAAACATGGACAGCAAAGATGTTGAAGAAATTTTCAAAGGAGTTCTTACTGATGAGAGTCGAAATCAGAGCCATCATAATCAACCGTCCCCCCATCAACAGCATCCTGGTAATGATCTTAATGTCTCAATATTTAATACATCATTTTCCAAAAAAATAATTAGCCTAAACTAACGGGGAATAACTCAGAAAAATATTGAAATATAATACATTAAAGGGATCCATTTTTGAAGTGAAAACTTCTTTAGGCGCCGATTGAACCGTCCGTCAGATTCCGATGTCTAACGCTCAGGTAATTACTGGAGTCGATTAATTGAAGTGTTTTTGCATATGGATTAGAATATCTCAAAAACTAAAAATCGGACCTGCATACAGAAAGTGAGGGGGGAATGTTCATCATTTTATCTTCTTTGTAATGGGCTATTATTCACAATTGTATCTTAATGGAACGCCGTGCTAGATAGGCAAAAAGCAAATGATGAAGAGTTTTATTGAAGATATGGATTATAATATTTCAGACACTAAAAATCGGGCCTGCATACTGAAAGCGATGGAAATGTTCAGCATTTCATTCCCTTTATAATGAAGTTATTAATTTATATTTGATAATATTAATCTCATCTTGTTGATGTTTTCACATTTATCGTGTGGTCTAAAGCACACACCTTAGTTTTTTTTAACACAAATTTTGGAAGCATTAAGAAATATAAAATCACAATTCATAAGCTCCTTGCTAAGCAATTAGAAGAAAATAGAGCGGTATGATAATGAGATATTATCAACAAATTAGAATGATAAGCATTATAATTAATGTTAATTATTATTTTTTAAACATATATCTCTATATTTAAAGAAAAGTCTAATGTAATATCGAAACATGTAAGCATTTACAATATATAAATTAACAATTTTAGCAAAGCTATTATTTTTTTTAAATCCATTATTTTCTTTTGTTTTTCAACATGACACATTTTTTTTTCAGTCTTTGAATATATAATTTCTATATTTTTCACTTTCACTTACCTATATATGAAATATATAATAAGTGAAAGGTATTGCGATTATGAAAAATCTTAAATGCCTTCAGGCTAAAGAAAGAAATTTAGACTTATAGATAGATAGATAGAAAAAAAACTTTATTCTGGGACAAAGTCCTTTTAGAATAACAAAATTGTAAAAAAAAGAATAGACTACTACTGGCCTAAAAGTTTGAAACAATAAATAAAATTTATAAAATAAACTAAAAAGTTAAGAAAACCTTAGATGAACAAGCTATATACAATACAGATAAAACTATGTACAAAACTCTTAAAACTATGAACAAATCACTTATAACTATCAACAAAACTGTATATAATGGTTGAACAACAGAAACATACACTTTGAGAAATGAAGAACGAAAAAGAGATAGAATAGGTGTTATAAATTTTTCATGCTAGGAAGTCCAAGGATATTTATTTTTTAATTCTTTTACTTTAATTCTCTACTCATAATGATTTTTTTTTTTTAATTTAATAGTTCCTAAAAGTACACCTACAGGAATGGCTTCTTCTCCGCTCCAATATCCATCAGCTTCTCCATATAATTCAGAATATAGCAAGTGAGTAATTTGTTTTATTTTAAAATCAAATAACTGTTGTTACTTTGAATAATAAGGAAGACTTTTTTTTTTTTCTTTTATTATGGATTTATCATTTTTTCATTTTTCCTAGTAGCCCTCAGTTCAGTCCAGAAAGTTCGTGGGATGATTGTGGCTCTTATAACAGGACAACATCATTAAAAATGGAAGCAGATGAATCCCTCGGGAGAGACGCTACCATATCTCCTGTTCTGTACGCCAACATTAATCACCCAGAGTGGAAGAAAGAATATCCAAGTAATTTATTTGATATTATATTTTATTAAGTAATCCAAAATGAAATATGCATATAATTTTTATTATTTTAATCAGGGCTTAAAATGGAAAAAAAAACTTTTATTTTCAAAAAGTTTCGATATCACTGGAATTTTTATTGTTTTATTATTTAGAACAAATTCGAAGCCCAACTGCTGTTTATTTTTCATTTAACTGAATTTTTTTTTTTCCGAGAACTTTAATAAATACATGTTAAATCTTGACCATAAACCTGGAGCTTTATTACAAAAAAAGTTCCTTAGAATTGTTATTTTAAAACTTTTTTCCTAAAGAGTTCCACAGGAACTGTTGAAATGGAACTTTTTTCTTATAGAAACTGTTAAAATGTAACTGTTTGAAAAAGTTCCATAAAAGTTTCAATCCCTGATTTTAATTCATGGAACCTTATTATAACAAAGAGCAACCAGCTATCAAATATGAGACGACAACATAACACACAGTAGATGATCTACCTGCGACATTTTGATTAGAGGAAGCACACCATGGGCTTCTAAGTCCTATTGTCTTATGTTTGTTCCTATAAAACCATTTTTTTTTTTTAATTTGTGCTCCTTTCATTCTGGATGTGCGATATTTTATACGTAATAATGACCTGTATGAAGATATTTTATTAAAACTGTTTTTATACTGATATTTAGGTTGGAATGAACGTTTCAAACAAATTTTAAAGAAATGGCGTGCTCTACCCTCTGAAGAGAAAGCTCCTTATCTTCAACGTGCAAGAGACAATAGAACAAACTTTCGCAGTAGAAAGCAGGTTAGTTTGTTGTTTTATTATGTTTATTTTTCTTTTGTATATTTATATTTCTAAAAATAATTTTATATTTTTAAATTATTAATCATGATATTAGTTGTGTAATATTTTTAATACTGATTATAGGTATTTCACTTCTGATGTTACTAATTTAGGTCTTATGTTATTGGAATTGTTTTTATTAATGGAATAATATTTCTTATTTGAATGACAGGGTGGCCTGCAAAAACATATTTATGTTTATCATTTCGGATAAAATAAAAAAATTAAATACGGTTAAATTTACAAGTGATCCCCTACTGTAGATCAAGCGATTAAAACGATTCTAGTGTTTTATATTTTTCATTCTATGAAATATTAAAATTTACCTTGTCCCATTAAACTAAATAACGTTTCAATTGTTTTTTTCAATTATTTATTAAAATAAAGTTCTTTTAGAATTAAATTATGGATCAGACCTAATAGTAGGCAGTGGCATTTCAAAAGAACTTTGAGAAAATATATCTTTAAATTTTTTTATAAAAAAAAAAAATTATTTTTCCTTCATTGTTGGTCACCCTGTGTTGATATAAATTTTCATTAATTGTTATTACTTCAATTAAAATTGATGTCACAAATTTTAAGTAACTATTGAAATTTCCAAATGGAAATTGAACTTATTTTCTTCTTTTATTTGTTATTATTTATTTTATTTTTTCCCTCTGCTTTATTGTTTCCAACTGTTTTATTTTTTATTTATTTTTTTACTTTTACTATAGGCCTCAATAATGCCTTGATGGTTTATTATTCTTTCCAAATAAAAACCAAACTGTATTGTTCTATTCTTAATTTATTAAAGAAACAGTTTCTCTTGCTGTGATAGCAATAGTTGTTTATACCTGTTCATAAGACATGTATGGACTGTTCTTTGGTATTGATTGTTAGGTCTGTTTCATACTTCCAAAATATTAATGAATTTGGAACGTTATGGTTCATTCTGACTGACCGTGACTGGACATTTTTAAGTTGTCGACAGATTTGTTTATACCTCTATAAAAAATACCATTTTTTCACATCTATAACAGTTTATTTTATAAATAAATTTTTTTTATGTATTTCAATATTATCAGAAACTAAGGGACAGTCCATAAATTCTGGTCGATATATGCCTTAAATATTAAATACACAATACAGTCTGGTTACCTTCCCAAAGTTCCTTTCCCTTTGACATATGTGTTGTTCAAATGAGACAGTTCCTTCGATCTCTGCAGGATGAACCCTCGAAGGATGCAGAAGACGAGAGCCCTCCTGTGCGCCCGGCCCCTACATCCACAATCCAGTATATCCCTATATCTGAGGGGATCCGGGCGCTTCACATCATACCCCCTTCCCCTCGTTCCTCGTCGGCCACGTCATACTCGTACGACAGGGGAACGACTACAATACACTACCCGGCAACATCTGTTCTTATACAATCGGTCCCACCTCTTGTTGTCGCTACTTCCCCCCCTTCTGCAGGTCCTTCTCCACACGATAAAAATCTTCTACAGTTGGTCTCTACTACATCAACTGTTACTACTGTCCAAACAGCGACTAAATCTTTTTCTAAACAACACGCACAGACATCCACAGGTCCGTCCATCCAGACACAAACAGTACAATTTATACAGACAGTTAAAGCAGTAAATAATAACCATGAAAATTCTTCACCCTTATCAGACCAACATATTCGCGTCCTTACACCCTCGGAAATCATGCGCACACTGCCCTCAATAGGACAAGAAACCTACGACACTCCACCTTCTACGGTGAGCCCTTTTGCACGATTGTCTTTTTATTTTTTAAAATTTTTTGTTGTTTTTTTATATACATCTCTGTTGAGTTGTTGAGGTTCAGTGTATTTTTAATTATAATTTTTATCCAAATGATACTGTTTTTTTCTTTGGCGTGCTCCTTTTGCTCTCTCTCTCTCTCTCTCTCTATTGGTAGCTATGGAGTTTTATTTATCTTTTTATTTAACTTTGTTTTGTTTTTTTATTATTTTTAGTTGCTCGATTTCAAATGTAGTAAGTGTTTCGTTTTGAGTTTTTTGTTCTTCTTCTTCTGATTAGCTGTTTTAATATTTTTCAAATGTATTTATTTAAATTAACAACGTTTTAAAGATTGAATTCAAGTTTTATTTATAATTTATGAAATCATTTATGTATATATAGTTAAAATATATGTTCATTTTATTTTTTAAGTTTTATATTCAGTTTGTTTCGTCAAATTCCTTGGCAATAATTTCTACCTGTTTCCGCGTATAAATGCATATTCAATAAATGAGAGAGATCGACAGAATGTTTCATCTTATTTAGACAAGTTAATATATAATATATTTATAAGGTCATGTTAAGTGTTGCTTTGCATGATGAATTTATTTTGGCAGAATCATGCTGTTTTATTTATCTTTGGACAAACTGTTTTGTTTTTTCGTTAATATAATGATATTGTATTGCCCGTTCTTAAATTATTGGTTGGGATAATTGTTTTTGTTCCTGCCTTTATCCTCATCCTTTTAAGATCTATGTTTAAATATCCATATATAATTATTTATAACATTATTATGAGGCATTATTAGTATATATACTTATAGGTTTACGTGATGCTCTGAAATTTAATGTGCATTTTGATGTTATCATGAGATGTTTTTTATTACTTTTCATCAGTTAGAATTTATTTTATATATCAGGCATTATTTATTTTATGACTGGTGGTTTTAAGTTTTTTTTTAGATTATTGCATTCGTTGGTGGAAGAGCATTTGATTATTGTGAATATACTCAAGTATAATAGTTATATGTTTATGAATTCTGTTATTGCATGGTTTTTATTTTATTTTATCATTATTTGATATGGTGTCATTGAGCATTATAAATTTTTTGTACTCATTTATACTTAAAAGTTATTTTAAAAAAAAAGAATAAAATATTTTTGATAAATTGGTTACTATTATTTATTTATTGAAAAAAGACTTGAAATGAAAAAAAAAATCTTCCTTCCATCAATGTTTCACCGAGTTTTCATTATATTGACTCCAGATCAACCGTTTTTATAAGGTGAAGCTCTTTAGTGTAGATGATATTTAGATTCTACAGTGTATGAAGATTGATACAGGTAAGATTCATTGCTGGGAGGAACCGTATTAAAAATCTTAAGTTTCAAATTTCAATTAGAATTTTTATAATTAAATTATTAAATTAATATACTATGTTGTTGCTAATTTAATTTCAAATCTGGAACCAATAATATATTTTCATTAAGGATTTTTTAAATTGATACTATTAATTTTTTTTAATGCATATAGGAGCATGACAAAACATTAAATACCAAATCTTGCCGGGAAGCTGAACAAGAGCGACAGTGGAAGGAGTTGCAAGCTCTGAGGCAGCAGCAGCAACACATGCTATCTCAAACGAGGGTTCAGCAAGGTACAAATACAAAGGATAATTACGTGATAAGTAAATAAAATTATAAATATATTCTAATGATATTATTTTTTAAACTACAAATGATTCTCACATAATTTTATTATTATCCAGTGAACCGTGTCCGCCAAGTTGGTAATGCAGGACTTGTACAATTTTCAACAAATGAGCAGTCTCCATCTCCCCATTTGACGCAACAGTTACAGGTTTCAACTTCCACTCAGGTTAGTTCTTATTTATTTACTTATTTTTCAATAAATTTTTAATTAATAAGCATTTACATAAATATCCAGAATTCATATTTTATTTACATATTTTCATTTTATCTATGCTTAAACATTCATCTAATAAAACCTTACAGTCTGTAGTACAGACAAATTTTTATCAAATTATTAATATCCGCCTGAAACTTCGTGAATAGCTTCATCTCATCGTAACCTACAACTATTTTATTTATGAAAACTCTTGGAATTGAAACGTTTTCAATCTAGAGATCGGTAAACTGTATCTATTTAAGTAAATAGGTACAAAAATTTGTAAATACCCATTTGCTTTCCACTTGGATCGTTTGATAATTTGATCACAAAATCAAGAAAAAAATGGGCCGTTTGGCATAAATAATCTTGTTATTTTGACAATTTGGGGGTGCAGGTCACATCTTTTGCTTGATTTTGTCCTCAGATTATCTTACAATTCAAGTGGAAAGCAAATGGGTAGTTATGAGTTTGTAGTACCTAATTAAATAGACTAAGTTTGCCAATCTCCAGATTGAAAACACCCCAATTCCAAGAATTTTCATAAATAAAATAGTTTTAAGTTACGATGAGATGATGCTATTTACGAAATTACAGGTGGATGCTAATAATTTGATAAAAAGTAGTGTGTAGCACTGACTATAATATTTTTAAAAATACAATTCCTTTATTAACAGGGATTGAAACAATTATACATTTATATTTTTTACAAGTGATTTCAACTTTAACTGTTTAAAAAAAAAAAACTTAAACAATAAGAGGTCTAAGGTTTAAGTTTTTTCAAAACTGTTAAATTGAAAGTTCTAGCATAATAAAATTTTTACCTATTTAATACATACTTAAAAGTCATTAAAAAAAATATTTATTTAACTTTTACTTATTCCCTCTAAATTAAAAATTGTAAATTATAATAAAAGTTTATAATTATTATACTGCTCAGTTCTCGGAATGGAAAACTAATAAAGTTCGGTGATCTTGGAAAATATTTCAATGTTAGCTTTATAGAACATTATGCAGTGCAAAGTTTTATTTTTTAATAAGAATTGTTAATTGATTGTTAATTATTTGTAAGAATTGTTAATTAATTGTAAAAACTTGTGTTTTTGAATTAACGTAATACATACTACCTTGTAAATAATTGCTGTGTTAAATGCATAGGAAAATTATTATATTTTATATAGCTTATACTGATGATTAAATTTTCTATTAATAAAAACTTAAAAGCCTTTTTTTTTTTCATTTAAATCTATTCAAGTAAATGGTTTATAAAAATTTTTATTAATGAGGTCTGGAAATAAAAGTTAAGAAAATAACTGTTTTGAAATGGCATATATTGATAAAAGTATAAGTTCAATAAAAACGTTTATACATCTACATATATAGGTAAAAGTTGAATTTTTCCTTAAATTATGAGTTTTTTTTAGTGAACTGTTTCATTCAACCCCTGCTAATTAAAGTGCTAGGAATTGTGTTATAATAAAGCAGTTTATTGAATGTCAATTTATTATATATATTTACTGTTTAGGAGGCTAATCTAGGAGGTTTAGGATCGCCTAGAGCACAGTTTGCTTCTGGTACTGGTGGCACAGTTAAGGTCGCAACTCCTGGTGGTACCATTTACCGACAGGTGAGGCCGCCTCAATCGCCTTTTCAGAGCCCAAGGCAACCTGCTACACCACAGCAACAGCAGGAGGAAGTTAGGCAACTCAGGGATCTCTTACAGAGGCAACAAGTCAAACGTTAGTATTTAATACCAACCTTCACGCGAGGACTATCCACTTAGCAAGCATTTTTATGTGTCATTCCTAGATTTTCTTTGACTTAATATTTTACATATTGAAAAGAAAGTAGTACATGAAAAGGTTTTATGTAACAAATGGCTTCCTACACAAAGACCATGGATATCTAAACGATTTGAGATACTGCAACACAATACTATAAAAAATTCCGCCAGATACTTACATAATATAAACCCACTACGAACCTGTACAGCCCATCCTGACAACTTTTAAGGCCATGATCCATAGATTTACTGACTTAATCTTGCATATATGTAATGTTCACAGATTTGCTAAACTTTCCCAATGGCGAATTTCAAACTTATGTACTTGTTTAAATAAAAACAAAACAAAATATAAATTTTCTTCAGATAATGAGTAAAAAAAAAAATCCATAACTTTCTGTTTTAAGTATAGCATTATTAATAACTTAAAATTTTTTTTTCAAATATATAGTTTTAAAATAATGTTTTTTGTTAAACAGAAGAAGGAACGGAAACCGTCTTGTCTAGTGGTGTTCTTCAAGGAGTACAAATGAGACCTCAGCCCCCTAGGAGCAGCCTGCACCCACAGGTTGTTCATGTATGTCCTTTGAAAGTATTTTTTCCTTTTATTTAGTGAGTAGTTATTATTTTTAAAAATTCGATTTACCTCCATGAAAACAAAATCTGAATTGAATAGTTTGTATTCAATTATAATACAGGGATTGTTCTATCCATTTAGTTAGGCAAAGTGATCAATTTTTTATTTTAACAATGGACATCTTTAATTGACATTTTTGTCCTTCATTGATTAAAGTTATCTTCATTTTAAGTTCCCGATATATCCTTCAACATTTGAATAATAGCATATTCAAAATTCAACATATTAGAGAAACCAAAACTAGCATGGGATATCTACTAATGAGGAAATACGGTTATAAATCAGAGATATGTAAGACCCGGAAAAATTGAGAATTATTCATGTGTTAATTCATATTAAATTCTGTGAAAGTCGTCATGAGCTCTCATTCAGAATATCTTCCATTGATTTCAACTTTAGCTAAACTTTGTGTAAGGAAGTTTAGCCAAACAGAAAGAGAAATATATGTACAGCTTAGTAAGTACTTCCAGTTAAGTAATTTAACATCTTAGTCTCAGGATTTTTTTTTGTTATTAATTTTGGTTCATTAAATTCCATAATGAACTTACAATCGTTTTAAGATACTTATAATCCAAAATTCAACTAAAAAAATTGCATCCCTGGTTTTTCTCCAAGATTACTTGGCCGTTTTTTTTTTTTTTATTCAATTCTAAGTCACATTATCTCAGGAAGTTTCTCGAAACTCATCTTCATCATCTGTCATTTTCTTTCAAGATTGGTGCCGATTTGAGGTTTCATACTTTTTTTTTTTCAATTATCTCCTACCACCATTTCTGTGATATGGGGAAATGGTTTTACTATTAAACCAGAGTGAATAGTTCGAGTTCCAATCAAGTGAGATGGATTTGAACCAGCATCACTAGATATGAGAGTGCTGTAGCGGGCAATGCTCCAACACTCACGACCTCTATAACTTTCATTCATGATCTTAACAGTTTTCTTAGAGACTAATAGGTTTTTTTGTTTAATATTTGCCACTAAGGTCACAGTTCAAGTCGGAATGTTCTTTGAACTTTTTTGAGAGAACTCAACATTTTTTTTTTCGAAAGTAATGGAAAAATAGGTATTTATTTGCAAACGTTTCTCTAATTAAAATTTTATTTTAGTTTATTATTGCATGTTTGTAAACATTTTGCAGTTGACCATTTTTCCTAAATTGTTGGGAACTTTTGAAAAATTCTTGAAAAGCCAGGAATTCTTATTATTAAAATTTGTTGGCAATGGTGTGCTACTTAGGTAGCAATGATTTCTTTCTTCTTCTTCTCTCTATTTCTATGTATTTATCTTTCTCCCTCTACACAATGCCTGAATAATTTTAGTTTCTCAAGACTAGGTAGTAATCTCATTGTTATTAACTGTAAATATATTGTTCTGGAAAAGTCATAAATACTGGATATCTAAACTACAGAATACTCATTTGAGTTGAGAAAGTTAATAATTGATGCTATTTTTGTACTGTTTTAATCTATAAAATATGATATATCTTTTCTCAGGGTATGGAACCTAGAGTCAGGTTAGTAGTACAACAACAGGCCTCCAGGTTTCCAGGAACCACTCAAGTGAGATTGGCTGCTCCTAGGACACAACTTCAAGATCAGTTCCTCATCCAACGGCAGTTCGCTGTGGCCGCTGCTGCCCAACATGCTCGTACGTTGATCAAATTAAGCTTTTTAATCTAGCTGATTTTTTAATCCAGCTATTTATTGAAATAGATGGATGTTTTATTGTTAGTTCACGATTTTACTTTTCTTATATAAACTTCATACCAGATCACATAAATAAATTCAAAAGAATAACTATCAACTTCTATTTTTTATAATAATATTCTCTGATGTTATGTTTTAATTTGTAAGTAACTTTATTTATTTCTTTTATAGATAATGCAAGTGCAATAATTAGGAATAGTAGTACTTTAGTTGATCAAACAAGATTGCAAACTCTGCCAGTCGACCAAAGAATCCAAACCGGAGGCCGAGGAGAAGGAGAAGAAATACCAGAGAGTGTTACTGCAGAACTTGAAAAGTTGGAGGAAGAAGGAGGTACCATTGGTGGTGAAGCTGATGAGGTTTCCGCAATCTTCTCTGACCTAGTGGAAGATGACGATGAATTACTTGGTAAACATCAACTATACTGATAATATGTTCTGTAATTGATGTTAGTGGCTTTTGTTTTAATCAATTTTTTTTTTTTTTTTTAGCGGAAATGGGTCCAGATTTTAACATCCTTGAATATGCTGATCCAGAACTTGACACTGTATCGGGAGGAGAAAAGACAAATATCCTTGATGATCTAGAAGACGAAGTTGAGAAAAAAAAACAAGTGTGAGTTTTCAAATAGTCTTTATTATAATGAAGAGAAGAATAGTTGGGATGATCAGTCAAAAAGGAAGGCAAAAATAAATGATAATATTTATTTTCGTCATATATAAAAATAAATATTATCATTTATTTTTGCCTTCCTTTTTGACTGACCACCCCAACTATTCTTCTCTTCATTATCCACGAAAGTCAACCAATTACCAATTATGAGTCTTTATTATATTTTCAATACTGATGGGCATGCATATATATGTATGTATCTCCCATATTCAGATCAGTATGGGTGGGAGTGACTTGGTTGTGAACAAAATAAAGAAAAGCGTTAGTAGTTACTTTCTTATTATATTTATATATTTATGATAAACTTCACCATTTTTCATCAAAATATTTTTTTTATATTCGAAAACATAGTTTGTTGCTATGCCTTTATCTAAAAATCTTGACAATTTTTTGTTGCATTTTTAAACAGCTTTTTGTCTTCCCTACTGTTATTGTTTTGTAGATGAGGTCTCACTTCACAGCCATCTCTTTCTCTCTTTATATAAATATATATATATATATATATATGTGTGTGTGTTTTTTTATTAGCTGTTTAATATTTAATTAATCGATTATTTTAGTGGGAGTTCCAGAAAAGAAGATACTGCACGAAGGAGGTCTGCAGAAAGTATTAATAAAGAGCTTACCGAACCTAGACCAGAAAGTAAACCAAGCGAAGAAGTGAATAGGGTATCTGTAACATCCACACCACCCCATCTACCTCAACAGGTTCGTAATGTTTATATAACGGTTAAATTGGCAATTGCTTCTTACTTCATTTATATTTTATGAAAAAATCGGAATCAGCCAGACTCTTCTATTTCACATTAATTCAAATATTGAAACCATATTAGCATCTTTATGACCATGCCAGAAACTTTTTTTTTTGTTACCTAAAATGAATTTGGTACTTTTAGTCTAAGGGGCCGTTTTGAAACCTCACTTCTTATCTATCTTATCTAACGTCATGTCATCATGTTACATAACCTCCCTCTTGTTATCCCGCCAAACTTTTGAGTTATTGCATTGTTTGGTTTTCAGTTATTCCCTTATTACGTTCACTTATTAAATTGTTTACTTTTGGCCCGTTTGTGTTTATTTTTAGTTTTTGGCCCGTTTGTGTTTATTTTACATTTTGTTTTAGTTTGTGACCCCTTGGTGTTTATTTTTCATTTTTTTTTCGTTTATTTTCGTCATATTATGGATCATCTTAGAATATGGGATTTACCGTCTTCAGAAGAACAGGCAATTCAGTATTTTCAAAATGTTGGGGTACTTGCCGACGTGAAATTGTGTGAACGAGGTCATCGAATGAAGTTAACCAAGAAGGCCAAATGGAGATGCTTTCGTAAGACTTGTGACACAAAACTTTCAATAAGGAAAGGAACATGGTTGGAGGGTTCGATGATTTCGTTTTTAACAGTTTTAAAATTGATTTATGGGTGGTCCCATAGCTTGACAACGATGAAGTGGGGCAAAGAGCAGCTGAAACTATCCTACGGAGCTATGGTAACGTGGAACAAATGTCTAAGAGAGGTTTGTGCCCATGACATGTTATACAGGCCAAGAAAAAAAATTGGAGGACCTGGCAAAGTGGTTGAAGTAGACGAAAGTCTTTTTTCTAAACGAAAAAATCATGTGGGGAGAGTTTTACCTCAGCAGTGGATGTTTGGTGGAGTTTGCCGTGAAACAGATGAATGTTTTATCGTCAAAATAATTTATAGAAAGGCAACAACATTATTACAAGCCATTAAAGAAAATATAGAAGAGGGAACGACCATTTATTCGGACTGTTGGAAAGGATACAACACCCGACAACTGAACGAAGCAAACTATGACCATTTCCAAGTGAATCACCGGTATAATTTTGTCGATCCATCAACTGGGGTTCATACTCAACACATAGAAAGATTGTGGGGCTCAGCTAAGTGGAGAAATAAAGTACATAGAGGAACTGCCAGACATACCTCGATTCATATTTGTGCGAATTTTTGTGGCGGCGGGTTCACAGAGAAGAGGACCCCGTTATTTTAAGTAGCATAAAACAATTTTGCCTTCCAAAATAAATAAGACAAAAGGAAGTGAATAATTAACTTAAAATAATTTGTATATATGTTGTTTACAGTGTTTATATTTTTTCTTTTCTATGTAAATATGTTCTTTTAAATTTGTTATGATGCCGATGTTATGATTATAATTTGTTATGATGTTTGATGTTTTATATGTACATATCTTCTTAAAGTGTTTTTTTATTATTTAATTAATATATTTGCCGTCAAATAAAAGTATTTTTGTTGTTATTACATTTGTTTTTGTATCTATTTACACTTTCAATAATACGAATTTAATGCAATAATACGAAGATGTGAAGTAGGAGAAGGCTTATCACTGCGTTATGGGAGCTATCAGTGTTCAGGTTATAAACATTGCCGTATAGCAGTCAGTAGCGGCCCCTTAGACTAAAAGTACCATGAATTTTTTATAAAAAATGACAAGAGATGTATTTAAATGGAGTTTGTATACATTTAATACTGATATATTAATGGTAAATAAGGGAGTAGATGGCTTTCTCTATAAAGCAATAAAAATATTACTGTTTTCTTCATACTATTTTAGTCCATAAATTATACCAGAATATTAAAAATGAAAGTAGGTTTTTTTAAATAGCTGCTTTTAAAATGAAAAATACTGTTTTAAACTTTCTGATCTGTCCTTGCCTCGTGCATATTCAAATGATATAATATTATAAAATAATATTTAATAAATTAGTTTTTTTAAATAGCTGTTTTTAAAATGAAAAATACTGTTTTGAGCTTTCTGATCTGTCCTTGCCTCGTGCATATTCAAAAATATAAACTTTAAAAGTTATTGAAAACATTTAATTTTTGTTTTTAACTTTTGATAAAAATCAAACAGATAATCAATTTCATAAAATAAAAAATCAGTTTTTTTTTTCCTCCTTAATATTTTTATTTTTTGCACTGAGCCGGCTTATGCAACTTTTATGTTAATATTTTAATTTCAATAATGTTCTTTTATAATTTAGCCATTGTAATTATTATATTAATTCATTTTATTTTTTTTATAGATATCACTAACTGGAAAAAGCGGCATTGGCCAACCAAAAATTATTGGATCAGGTTACCAAACACAATTTGCAACTCCAACTACGCCCCTCCCAAGGATGCAAGTTTTGCAAGGTTGGTTATTTATTGTGATGTTATTTATATTGATAAGTACTATATTTATATTATATTATATTAATATAAAGAGTATTATATAATATTTTCATTTAAATATCATTTATATTAATTATATTTTACTAAGCTTATTGCTGAAAATGTTCGATAAACTATAGTACCTTTAGAGTTAAGTAATACTTCAAAACTATTATTTTTCTTTATTCAGTAGTTATTAAACTATTTATTAATCTGTTACTGTTATTTATAAATTTATTTTTTATATAGGTGGAAATCAAGTGAGTCGTGGAGGCGCAAGCTTCGTCGGGAATCCTCCACCACCTCCCCCACCTTATCCTGGCCCCCCTCCTCCATATCCGGGGCAGCAAGCTGCGGTATTTAATTTTTTGTATATAAATATTTAGTTCTACTTATAAAGTTTATTAGTTTATATCATTTTATAAATTCTATGATCACTTATTTTTAATATTCAAAATACTTATATACAAATCGAGAATAGGTTTACGTAATCTTAATTGAGAAATTTTCTAATCAAATATTACTGTAAATATTTTAAATGACATCAAATTTTATTTACTTCAATAATTCAATATGACTTAGTAATTTTTATTTTCTTAAAATATCTTTCTTGTTTTTTTTCTTTTAAAAACCTTTAAGTTTAATATGAGCAGACAGAGTGTCTACCAATAAGGAAATCAGTGAATGTTAGGTATTTCAGGTAATAAACACTACCATTTTTCTTTTTTTCATAAAAATTATTAGTCAGCAATTGGGTTATCTGTATATATATATATATTTTTTTTTTTCTTCTTGAAGTGAAACCTTATTTAGGCGCGTTTTGCTGTGTTTTTGTGGAGGGTAAATTAGATTGAGTCGTCTGATCTCCGTTGTGTAACGCTTGGCTAAAGTCGATAGGGGTCCACTGATTGAAGTGTTTTCATATGGGTTAAAATATCTCGGAAACTAAAAATCGGATCTGCATACTGTAAACGAGGGAAATGTTCAGCATTTCATAATTTTGTAATGAGCTATTATTCAAAATTGTTTATTGTCCTGACACTGTATTAAAGAGGCAGAAGGGGAAAAATATAGTGTCAAAAACCAAATCATAACAAATTCCATATATATTAAATATGACGAATAACACTAAAATAATGAGAATATACGATCATCACATATTTTAGTTATCATAAACCTATTGTTTCATTTTTAGAGTATGATACAAACAAAGTACGATCAATCAGAGTTTCACCAGATCAATTTAATTTATCTGATTTAGATAAATTTAAGTTTATCAGAGCATTTTAAACACAAATATAATTTTAAATGTTATTATTTTATGAATATAGAACAAAAATAGTTTGTACACAATTATAATTGTTTATATTGTAAATTTTATTACTTTTTAATATAGAACAAAAAATAATTATATTTCATATTACTAAGTCCGTCTTGTTGATGTTTTCATTTATATCGTGTGGTCTAAAGTACACCACGTATTTTTTTTTTTTTTTAATTATACATGCCTCCTTTTTCAAACAAATGAGCCTACCACTATATGCATACCATACATACACACATTTAAAGAATCATTGTATAAGTTCTTACTAGAGGATACCAAAGTTTTTAATATTATTTAACAAAATCATAATTATAACTTAAAAAGGTCAGTCATTTGAAGGCTTGTTTGTTGTAAGATGGTAAGAAGTATTTATTTTTCAAAAATTAAAATTTTTTAAATTATATTGACACAATATTAAGATCTTCTGATCTGCTCGATTCCGGTTGCCTTTGGATAATGTTTATGACCTTTTGTATCGTTTATATTATTAAATATATACAATCATGTATAATAAACCGACATTAAACTTAAAATAAAAAGTGTGGGTTGATGGTTGGCTGTCGTGAATAATGAAGAAAAGGATGGATTGGGGTAATCAGTCGGAAATAAAAAGGCCACTTTACTATGTTGAGTAGACACTCTGTTGAAATTAAAGGTTGTAACTACGGCTTATAAGGTACAATATTTTCTTAATGCGAAGGAAATCTCTTATTCGGTTTTGTTGTGGTGCTTACTGTTTTAACAGTAATAATGGTATATTTCAATATTGTTTATTCAATTTAATTGTAATAAACAGACTAATTTTGGATCAGTCAACTATTTGATTTTTATATTCTAGAAAATAAATAAATAAAATAAAATTTAATTTGAATCAATATTCTTTCAAACAATTAAAATTTCTTGATTTTGCATTATTTTTGTATATTTATAGACACCAATTAATTATTCGTTAATGGATAATGAATTAATATTACTTATTTATAAACATATTGGTGCCATAATTAGATTTTTTTTTTCTCGATGTGTATCTTGAATTTTAGCATGAACTTAGTTTTTTCAGATGTAATATATTAAGTGTTAAGCATGAAAATGTAGATAATTATTCAATGTCGTAGAGTTTTTATGAAGATGTTTTTGTTTTGTTTTAATTTGAAGTATAAATATTTTATTTTAAGAAGGAAATTAGAAAAAAACAAAAACAAACGAATCAGTTAAATTTTAAATTTAAATGTTATTTTCTTTTCTGTTATGCACAATTATTTTAAATATTTTTTACTTTGAGAAGGCATTGATTATTTAAAATTTTCGGTAGATAATATGTTTTAAGTAGAAAGTATGAGTGTATGTGAGTGTTGCATGTTTGTCTAACTTGGGTCGGGTGTTAGATACGAGGAAGGGGTGTTAGATCGCACATCATCCCAGGCCCAGCATCGCAGGCTCAACAAAGAAGAACCTTGCTACTTCAAGTAAGTTTTACTTTTTTTTTTTTTTAATAATTTCCAAATACATATGAACTCTGTCCGCAGGGTAATAATTCAGCATAATGAAAGTAATAAAATTATAAAATTATTACTGAGTGATCTTGATGTAGTTTGAAAAAACTGTTAGATAATTAGAAATTTGATGCATTATAAAGATTCTCTTAAACATGGGTCTGTGATTGCTAATTATAGGTTTTAAAAAAATTATATAACATAGCTTGATTGGGTAATATTTTATACTTAGTAATTAAAAAACAATCCAATCCATTGTGATTTACTTTCTGATAATCTTTAATTATTAACTGTTTAGTTATTAGTGGTTTTTGTTCTGAAAATAAGATTAAAAAGCATTTATGACTTTTAAAATATTTCTACTTTGAACGTTTGTAGACTCATATTTACAAATATATAAATATATATTTTTTTCAGCATCAAATTCTTTATGTGATAGTAACAATTTTCTAACTACTTTTGGGCTATTCATTTTATCTATTATTGGCTTTTATTGAGAGTCTAGACTTATTTTTTAAAAATTAAACAAAACTTGATATTTTTGTATTTGTTTCTTCTTAGTTTATTCAAGTTTGGTTCATAAGTAGTTCTGCTAATCATTTGTGCTATCTGCTTGCATCAATTTGATGATTTATTAGCATAAACATCATCGGAATAGTGAGTGAGAGAGAACAGGAGTCGTCCCCATAAAATTCCTTTCCATCTCACCATTACCCCCTCAGTGCAAGCTATGATTAATAAGTCAATTTTGGCGGTAGAGAGGGAGACAGGTTTCCAAAATAATATAGAATTGTTTTTGCAAAACTTCTTATTTCTCTTGGTTTTAATTGTTTAAAAGTTCATCTAAACTTTATTAGTATTTCTTGCACTTATCACTATTCTTAATTAATCAGACATAGCCACTGTTTAGTTGATAAATAATATTGTATTTGGATTTTCACTCTTGATGTCCCATGTTACCAGGTTGTATTATTTGAAATGACACATATTTGGGTTCGAATTTATTACTTAATTAAAATTTGAGTTAAGTACAGTTTTAAAAGCTTTTTAATTATTGCATGGTCGATCTTAATTTCTTTTTTAAGTTTTTATTTAACTATCTCCCTTGCAATAGATATGCACATCTTTATCTTTATTCTTTGGAACAAACACAGAGTTCTTTTGTGTATTATTAGATTTTTATTGCGTTTTGTTAGCCATTAATTTCAGTAGACGAAAAAAAAAAAATACCATCAATTTATAGCAATAGAGGAGGAAGGGTTATTCTACATGTCAACAATATGTTCTAATCCGAGTCGGAATATCGATATTTATTCCATAATGGGTTTTTCACGAAATATATTTTAACCTGCCTGTGCCAGATTCAAACTCTATACTTGATGTTGCTAAGGTGATGACTTCACACTCTCAGCTGTTACATGCAATAAGCGTTGGAACGGCACAAAGTTGAAGTACTTGTCACTGGGCATCAATCTTGAATTTTGTTCTTGATTTTTTCTTCCACACTCTTAAATTCTCTGAACCATTAATATATTTGGTCACGGGACTGTGTAGTATTCCCAAAATAGCAAAGTGGCTTTTTATATTTTAAATACTTTTGTTTATAAGAAAATTTACACCTTACACAGAAAAAAAAATTAAATTCAATGAAAAAAAAAATTATATAAAGAGATTTTTGATATTTTCTCTGTACCTTATACCAATTTCTTTCGAATATGATTTTCAAACTTTCTTATGATTTAAATATTTGCATGTTTCATTTATGCACATTTTATCACATATTTAAGGATTGTTCTATCTATTTCTGTGTTGCTCGCTTCTTAGTTTGTTAGAAAATGATTTTACAGGTTCAATTTTTGATTCATTATTGTTGTTTCATTATTTAAGTCTTAATAGTCTTTGGAGCTTTATAAATAGAAATTGTAAGTGTTGTGTATATGTAAGAGCTTTATTCAATTTATTATATGAGCCGTTTGGTTGAAATGGGATGTCAAAAGTATATTCATAATAATTAATTACTGAGCCTATCAACTTCATGATTTTTAAATATACTTGATGCTGACTATTTTTAGTTGCAAACAGTTATTTCTCATCAAGAAATACGCATTATTTCATTATACTTAAATATATATAGAACTTGTTTGATACCTTAAAAGTTTTAGTTTTTGACTTCAACCAATTCAGCATTCAACGGCTCAAGTGTGCTTTATTGATTATATGTTGTTTTAGATTTAATTTTTCTGTAGTTTGGTAGAGTGTCAATTTTTTTGATTTTTAAACATTTTCTAGACTGGTTTTAAAGTGGCCCCTAAAAGAATATATAATTAATAATATTATAATTGAATCATATACATTTTATTTTGGTTACATTATCATTATTTTCTTTTTTAATTTTTTTTTCTGCTTCTTTATAATTAAAATATATTTCAATAGGAGCAACCACTACTGTTGGAAGAATTACTGGAAGAGGAGAAAAGGGAGCAAGAGAAAGCTTCAGTAACACCCTCTCCAGCGAGTTCCCTCATGAGTGACGCTGACTTTGAGATGCTGAGGGCCGATGTCCTCGGCTCAAGGACCACCAGCCCTCCTCAGTCTCAATCTCTCGGTGAGAACTTGTTTTGAACTTTACATAATCCATTACATAAATTTTAATAAATAATTTAGAACTCTTATATTTCATAGCTATCATATCAAATGCATTCGGCATACAAGCCTTATCAGCGAAATATGTTTATTCAGTATAATTTGCATTATACAATATAATATTATTATCAAGGTAGTCTGTTCGACACACAATTAGTTATTCTTCATACTTTTCCATGACTGTTAAAATAGCAATTAATTAATAAGTGATTAGCCTGCCCCATTAGAAAATATCCTTGCAGTTCACTAGTTAAGCAATAGGACGTATTTGTCTCCAGGAATTATATTATTGTACTCGCTTTAGACATGTTTTTTTGGTACAGAAGAGCTTTAGTTTGTAGTTTTCTCATTTACTAAGAAGTCTATTAGCCATGGAGACGAGGGAGGCGTTCGCCTCTCCTCCTCCCCTCCCCCCCAATAAAAATTTGGAGGAGGTCAGAATATATTTTTGCTCCTCCCTAATAATTTTAGGTAAAAAAAATTAAAACAAGCTACATGAATGAATAAAATGTATAAATTTCTTCTTCTTCCATTGGCTTGACAGACCATTACTGATCCCTTGCCTCCTCCAATAACTTCCGCCAATCTGCACGCCATTGGGCAGCATTACTCCAGTCCCTGACCTCTAGGATTGTCCGGGCATCTTCTGGCATGCCATCCATCCATCTAAGACTAGGTCCGCCTGGTACTATGAATGGCTTCATTTATTATTTTTTTTGGGATTTCATCTGTTACTTAAGAGCTTCGAATGAATACTCACAATGGTAATGTCAACAATTAGATAGTATTGTAAACTATAAAAAAGGTAGATTGGGAGGAGGAAAAAATAAACATATATACAAACCGTGTCTTCTATTTTCTTTCTTCATCACAATGCTATGTTAAAAGTGATTCTGATTTTTTCCCAATTCATATAAATAATAAATTAAAATACATCTTAAATATTAAATACATAGATCTTGTAAATGATAAAAAAATTAACTTAAAACAAACAATTTCTTTCTTTTTCTTTTCATCCCAATACTATGTCAAAAGTGATGCGGAATATTTTCCAATACATAAAAAATAACAAAAAATTAATAAAAATTAGCTAGCGTCTGATTGGATAGTGGAGAGGATCGGAATAAGATAGTTTTAAATTTAAATGGTGGATTTTAAGTGGGATGAAATTCCTAAAATATAAATACCACATTATATATAGTATGGATAAGTAAGACTTTTTAATTCAAAATTAATAATTAGTATTATTTTCAATGTCTATTTTATTATGATAGGCACTCTTAATCTTGTCGGACAACCTCCTCCGCCCCCTCCAGAAAATATCGTGACCGAGGCTGATAGGCAGGCCCAGATCCAATATGAAGCATGGCTCAGGACAACCGGAAGTGCAGTCAGCCAACAGATACGATATTTTGAAACAGAAGTTCAAAAATTAAGAAAAATACGCAAGGTAAGTAATAATAAATTTTTTACCTGTATTACTATTTAGTGCTTGTCAAATATAATTACTTCATTCATTATTCATTCTTAGTTTTTTTTTTTTGTTTTTTTTGTATGCTCTTATTCCAATTCGTATTCAAGTTCAGCCATAATAAAATTTAAAAAAAAAAAAAGCTTAAATTTGTTGTGTTTGCATTGTGGTTAGATTATTTATTTTTTGTTTTCATTATCAACAGTATTATTTCTGTGATGTATATTTTTGCTTGCTGTTTATGTGTAGTTGTTCTATGTTTGTAGTAGTATATTCTTAAAACTAATTTATTGTTCATTTAAATAAATCAGTAGTTTCGTAACTAGAATGCTTCAAACTAAATTATATGAAATGCATTTGTGTGTGTGTGTGTGTGTATATTAGATGAATCCTCATGTGATTTTGAAAGTAGTTTCTTCTTAAGTGAACACTCCATCAATGTGCCTCTGAATGTTATTTCCTTCACAATTTGATTTCATATTCTTTCAAACCATCCAAGGGGACTTAATTTTTATCAATTTAAAGTTTTCTGCTATAAGACTATTATTTATTTTGTTGAGCTGATTTATACTTAATTCTATTTCCGAAACATCAATCGAAAAGTACAGGGGATTTATGTTCTTCTTAGAGTTATGCGCGTTTATAAGATACTGAAAAAATATAATTGATCAACAATTTAATTATTTTGTGATTTAGCGTTAAGTGAGGAGGAATAAGAACTATAAATACCAAATGTGCCATAAAAATGTACTTAGTTTCAAATTTTAAATAACTTCATAAATTACACAAAATTTATTAAAAGAAAAAGATAACTTATGTGAACTTAAAGTAGGATAATTGAAAATTGGCATCCTGATAATTTAAAGAAGTTGGCTTTATGAAAAAATTAATGATTCTTTATCGTATCTGTTTGATGAATTATCATATTTTTTTTATTGAAGTTATGCATTTGTTTGAATTAAAAAAAAATAATAGGTTCCTTTTTTAATTTGAATCCACCTGTATACTCTTATTTTTCTTATTATTTTTGTTGTATAATATGGGATCAAAAATAGTACAATGTTTGGTTGACTTCTTTTAACACAAATCAGAAATCTGGGTCTAGACCCCAATAATTTCTGTAGTTGTGGCACAATACACAATTATGCACAACTATTAAAAAGCCGAAAAGTTATAGAATGTTAAAAAATGCTTTGACAAAACTTTATAAACCATCCTATCTGCTAATGAGTAATTGAAAATTATTTAAGAAAAAAGTTATGCCATATTCAGCTTTTAATAATGTATGTAATCGTTTCTTTCAAGTACACAAATATGAAGATTAAAAAAGCAATTGACATTAAAAAAATTCTTTAGTTTCTGTCATTTAGTCCTAGTAAACAAATTTAATATTATTACGAATTTTCTTTTCATGATTGTTTAAAGATTTGAAATATAGCTCAGGAAAATTTGGAACCATAAAAAAATTCATAAATTTATTTGGTAAAAAAATAGTATTTTCACGTCTATTCTATCTAGAAGACCTTAACATTAAATGACAAAAATTAAGATACTTGAGTGTCAATTACTATTTTAAACTGCAGTATGTCAGGTCTAGGTCTTGGTATAGTATGCTAGGAGACGTTCTTTCAAGACTAAAACCTTATTCGCTCATAATTTTTTCAATCAAAAAGAATATTTTTTTTTTTGTAATTATATTAACACACGAGTAATAAGAACTTTTCATCAACTTGAAACTTAAAATAAAAATACAAAATCTTGCAATGCAAATAAAATTTATCATGATACTCCTCACTATTCAGTAATAAAAATAAGAATAACTGCGGTCCACTAATAACTACAGGTTGCCATCCATAGTTTGCATCTTTGATTTACTGACTCGCGTTGGATAGAACAGGCCTGGTAACCCAACTTATATTTAGGTTGAGTGTAGTTATGAGTTAACTACATCAGTTGATGTGACAAGTTGGTTAATAGATAATTTCAACTCCCTCGAAAAAATAAAATAAAATTTGTTAAGCGATAAGTTGTTCTAGAGTTTGCTGAAAAATGAATCATTCTAAGAATATCTTCCCTGCTGAGCTTTTTACTTCTATTATTTCTGTTTGTTTACAAGTGTTTACATTTCCGTTTTGCCGATTTTGAAGAAAAAGTTGCTGTAACATTTTAGGTATATACTAACCTTAAATAAGCAATTTTATTATCGTACGACTATTCGTTTTTTTAACTAGACTGTCCACACACAGACTTTGTGTTTTGCACCGAGGGGACCTTAAAACGTGTATTTCCGTTGAAAACTCGGATTCGAAAATTTTCACCCTTGCTATATGCTTCATATACAGTTAAGTGGAAGTAAAAATTAAGGGAATAGGTATTATAATGTTTTGGGGAAAGTCAAGTTAGATTTTTTATAAAAAAAATTCTATACTGTACTTGAAGGATTGATTGACTTTTACTTGTTATGTAACAATAACAAAATTTATGAATTTGAGAGTAATGTTTTTTTTTTATTTAACAATATAGTTTTGAAGTTGTATAAAAATGTATAATAATTAATGTAAATTAGAATTATTTAAGAAACTGATATAATTATTTCACATTCACTACCCTCTTCACTGTATCAATGTTGCACGCTCTGGTTAGTCAACCTTTTGTGGCATTAATAAAATGTCTCTCGCACCTCAAACACTGCCACTGTTGATCTTCCATGAAGGTATGGTAGTGCCGTAACATTGCATGATTTCTTCAATTTCTTGGAACTTTCATTTTTTATCTCAACATATTGAGGTAAACAGTTCATTCCATTTTATCAAATGAAGCTGCGCAAAACACACGAGCAGCCAGTAAAAGATCCACCTGGTCAAATTTCTAAGTATATTCAATATTCTATTTTGTTTTCTAATATTACAAAACTTATTGAATATTTTTTTTTAATAAACCTATATATTCTAAAATCAAGAACTAGTTTAAATCCTGATGCAATAGAGTTTAGGTTAAGTTATTCGAAATACGAGTTATGGCCGAGTGTGGTTTAATTGAAGACAAATCAAAATTTGGCTGAGCATTTCATGGCTCAGGCACCATGCAGTCTTATTCGTCTTAGAATTAAAGATGAAGTGAAAATGGTCACTTTATTTGAAATTTTTAACATTTATGTGAACTACAGCTTTAGTTCTGATGGTGGGCTTTTGGAAATGGGTTTAACTGTCAGCAAATTTAAGATTTTATCAGTTTTTTTTCCTATGCAGTCAATTAGTTTATTATTCACTAAATAAAAATAGGAAATTCCGATAGTGTATATTGCACCAGTAATAGACACTCAGCTTTTGGAGTCAATTGGTACTTTATATAATTTAAAAAAAAAAATCAAAATAAATTCTGTACAGATGAATGAATAAAAATTTCAAACTTATCTCCTAAAAAAAATTTATAAGGATACCTTCCTGAAACAAATAGTCAGCCTTGCTCCTTAAAAAATTAACTACCAATCGCCTATTGTGGTACGATATCACTAGACATTCAGGCTGCACCTTTATAAGTGTTCTAGCTGCAAATCTACTCATATTTGCATGCTCTATTAGGTATATCAAGTTTACTTTTAGTTAATAAGTTGAAAACTGCCTGTTAATAGTACAGTGTCTATTACTGGTACATTTACCATAATGATCGATAAGATATATTAAAAACATAAATTATACAAATTAAAAATTTCTACCAAAACTCATAGGTATTTTTCAAACTTTGAATGTATATATTTTATAAAATAGAATCCAATTTTTTGTTCTCTAAAAATAAGATAAAAAAAAAAAAAATTGCTCGTCTATCTTTAGAGTTATGAAATAATAATATGCTGCAGTGTTTTTAATTTTTCGTCAATGAGATTAGATTATGAAAAGAAAAATGGTAAAAATCCTACATTTTCAAAGATGAGTACTATTAGAGAGAGGTGGATTGGACATTGTGGGATGATCAAGTTTGATGCATGCTACATCACATATCGCGAGCTACCTAGCTCAGTTCTGCAGTTTAGTCCAGTAAAGTTTGGGGAAAAATAGCCTTACACCAACATTACAAAAATAAAGATGAAACTTATTACAAATTGTTTATTATCTTCCTCATAATAACTGGTAAAAAGTCCCAAAGAATCCCGTATCAGGTTTTGACGGGAGGAGGGAGAGAAGAACAGGAAACTATAAGTTTTTCTCTCAAAGATTATTCAATACAATATTAAAGTACTTTAAAATCTCTATAAAAATGATCCTATGTATATTTTTTTTATTAAATTAACGTTTACGGAGATATTTATGAGATTATATGTATTGGATTCCCACTTCAAGCTAAAATTGCTTCATCCACAAAATTGACGTTTATATAGTCCCCTTTTTATCGAATTATTAACATCCGCCTGAAACTTTGTAAATAGTTTCATTAACCTACAACTATTTTATTTACGAAAACTCTTGGAACTGGGATATTTTCTATCTGGAGGGGAGCAAACTTTGTTTTTAGTACCTAATTAAATAGTAATTAGGTACTAAAAACTCGTAAGTGCTCATTTTCTTTCTACTTTGATCGTACCAATACTTCATAGTAAACTAGATTAATTTTTTCATTAAATGTAAGTAAATCTTGTCTATTTTAAAACCATTTAATTGGAAATTTTAAGCAGATAAACTACGGTAAGATCGATTTTTCATAAAATTAAGAATCCTTCGCGGTTTTTTTTATAACTCCCCAACTGGACTGGATATGCCACACTTTCAGAAAAACTTCCTTGTTTGATGAGCTTTTAGTCTATATTAATTAAGTTGAGTTTACATTTTATTGTATTTAATTAGCCATATTAAATAAATACAATAAACTAGCCCTAATTATATAGAAACGCCACATAAGGACTAACACTAGTACACATCATACTCAGGTAAACTTCCCTGCTCTGATCTCCACCATAGCTCTCCAACGCCCTATTATTTCAAGTTACAAACTAAATATAATCTTTTTTTCTGTTTAAAAAATTCTGTAGTAATCATATATAATTTGTTTATCACTTCAATTCCATCACAGCTCAAATTTTCACAATTTTTATTCATGCAATTTTCGCATTGTAGTTAATTTTCCAAGTGTTTTGTTCTTCTAAGATATATTCAGGGCTTTAGGCTGTATGAATAATTATATTGATCGATGATGAATCAGCGCTATTGGAAGTAGGATTTAGTTGATGGTTTTAACATTTATCTCAGTATAGCACTCATATTTTTAGTCACCGTTCCTTTATCGAAACTATATTTCATAAAGCAATGTTTTCCTAGTGATATGTTTATTTCATTGCGGGAATCCAAAGATGATGCATTATTTTGTTCTGTAATATTGCATGATTGTCTCTGTACTATAGTTTCCAAGCAGATCTTGCTGCACTTTCCATAGAAATTAATAAATTGCCTTGGGGCAAGTATCTGTAGGAGTGCCCTGAATTTACCATATCCTTTGGGAAGACAGTGTGGTCAGCATAGTGCCCCAAATTTAATTACTTTATACTTGTTAAATTTTTATTAATGTCTCTCTTTGTCAGTCCAAATAACTTTTTGTATACACTAATTGTAAGCGAAATTCATTACCGAATGAAATAAGGTATTAGCAAAAAATATTATTAATTTCTTTTTGTTAATTTAAGTAAAACTAACCAATAAATGATTTGTTTATATTTTTTACTTAATTACTTTTCGTTTCCCATATATTATAAATAACTTAAAGCTACTGTATTGAAATTTACCAAAATTGATTTTTTTTTTTTTTTTTTTTGGTTCTTGTGTCTAACCATGTCGATCCATTGCTTCTTGAGAAGATTCTGATAAATATCACTAAAAAAAAATCATAAATTAAAGGATACCTTACGATCCTTTCTCCACCCCTCCTCCCAGATTAAAATAAACCCATCAACAGTAAATGATTATAATTGTCTACATTGTTGTTATAAAATTTTCAGTCGTTAAATAGTAAACAGCGACAATTGAGAAAAAATGGCAATGAATTAAATGAGAAAGACGCTATAGAGCTACAGCGTGTAACCGGCGAACAAACAACTTTACAGAAACACCTGGAAGCAGCCCGAAAACAAAGCAGGCAGCATACCATGGTGATGCAGGTGAGGAACCACCCCAACATAACTAAACTAAAACTGTTTATTAATAAACGTTAAAAATAAATTTAAATATAAGCAAGGGAATTTTTGGCTTATAGAATTAATACCATAACTACATCAGGGGCTTTCTATTTTCTTCATTTCTCTTCTTATAGAAATTGCTTTGCATGTGTGGTTAAATTATGTAAAAAGGCATGCTTATTTTTTTTTTTTCCTTTCAACTTAATATTAGCATGGTAGTTGGTATTAGCATAAGTTCCAGTTGTTTTGTTTGCATTGGTATTTTATGGAAAAATTTTATAAAATATTTTCTGATGATTGCTTGTCTGTTGTTAGATTTTATGATATCCATTGTAGTTGATCTATTATATTATATACAGAATATATAAAGCTGATATATTTTCAATAAATATATTTAGTCAGCCACATTTGTATACAGATTATCTCAGTTCTTATTGATCAAATTCTGGGGGATGATTCTAGACAAAATTTTATTTGATGCATAGGCCGATTCCAAACAGAAAAAGAGTTAAGACCAATTTTATGTTTTTTTTAAGGTGGTCACGTTTTTTATTGAATAAAAAGGAATTGCTCAAAAACTGTTTTAGATAAATAATTATAAGTACACCATCGTACAGTAGACAAAATTTTCTTGGGGACAACAGTGATTAAATTAACGCCTTTCTCTTGATGTTAGATATATTTATAGGTTAAGTGTCACATGTCTCCTGCAATAATATCTTCTCTTTCTATCAATGTACTATGTGTAGTTTTACTTACCTATCCTTCCACCATTATTGTTTCTCAGCATTAATTAGTGAGGAATACTAAATGATTATCGTGACTCCATAAAGGTTCGAAACCTATGAATTAACATTCTTTTCTCTTAAAAATTAATGGCCTAATAACTTAATACACAAGATACCTCTGATTTATCGAAAAATGCATCTGTGCGTTATTAAACCTCCTGATACTCTCACTCATTAAATTTATTTACTGTTGTCTCCAAGAAAATTTCACGATGGTGTATTTAAAATTTATTTATCTTGAACAGTTTTTAGTGATTCCTTCTTATTCAACGTGACAGCCTTAAGATAAAGACGAAATTAGTCTTAACTCATTTTCCGTTTAGAGTTGGTCCATGCATCAAATGAACTTTTTTGTTGGAAGTTTTGTCTGGAATCACTCCCCTCCTCCAGCCATTAAGAACTGATAGACACCCTGTATAACAAATAGTATGTGGTCAATAGTCACACTTATTATATGGATAGCCTAGGTTTTGACCTGCAATGTAGGTGTAGTGGAATAAACATTCCTCCAATATATTATATGTGTAACTGTTGACTGTTGAGACAGATGAACTTAAGGACTTTACTTCGGTGTCCGAATTGGGCTTTAAGTGTTCAATCAGGACATTCAACTATATGATCGTCTATGTTTGATTTTCCTATCATTTGATTTAGCATCTGTTGTAGACTCACAATCATCTGATGCTTTTCCAATTAGGCCATATACTATGTCTAGGTTCAGTTAAAAATAATTAAAATTGAATCTGATCTCATGCACAACCCACATCCCAGTTGGAATCTATGGAGTACTGGTTGCAATATAGCACCACTTATTGAATCCATCCCATTCGCAGCCCATGGAGTATTCTTCGACATACATGATAGTCTGTACGACTAGAATAGTTTTTTATGGAACAGATAAAATGATTAATGAAGAAAAAGTGATTTCTTTTATAAAATGATATTCTGTGTAAAAACAATCCTGAACTTTGCCAATGGCCTCATCCTATCGTAACCTACAACTTTTTTATTTACGAAAATTGGGATGTTTTCAATCTCTAAATAGATAAACTTTGTCTATTTAATAAAATATATTAAAAACTCATGAACACCCATTCGCTTTTCATCTGAATTGTAAGAATTTGATCACAAAATTGAGATAAAATGTGGCTTTCAAGATTACTGGATCATTTGCGTGACCTCCATCCCCTACATGTGAAAATAACGAGGATATATTAATCAAATGGTCCAATATTTTTGTAGGCCACCCTTTTTCTCGATTTTGTGATCAAATCATATTAAAATTCCAGTGAGGATTTCTGAAAATGTCATCACTGATTTACAGGCAAATTTTGAATTCTCATCTGACACTTCTCTCACGTAATTAGTTATTTTGCTAATATTCTGGCCATTTCCTCAAAAATAAGTTAAATGCCATGATCTAAATCCTCGGATTCTGGAAAATTACGCACCTCTTATCATATGCTTTGTCTTGAGATGACGGTGGGTTTAATGAGTTTAGTATTGATTTAAACAAAGTCCTGGCACATACAGAGAAATAATTCAACTACTTATGGTTGTGCCATTGAAAGTTATGTTAGATGACATAACATCTAAGATGTTGGACATAACATAGTGAACATCATTAATTTAAATGGCTTGAAAATGGTCTCTTAGCTGAAATCTTGCCAATGTAATAAAATGAAAAATAAAAATGGTGGAATAAACATAGCCAAACCTTATATTATGATATACTTTTTTTTTTATTCTTTACTAATATTACTGAAAACTTTATTAGTATTCATGTCACAACAAAAGTATTGAATATATCTATTAGCCTTTTTGAAATTATTTCCTCAGTAAAATTAGAACTGATTAACATATTCATACATTAAATACAGTTGTAAATTTTTTTAATTATATAATTAATTACATTTTATTAATTACTCAATCCTTTTTTTATCTATTTATTGTAATGTTTAAATAATTTATTTAGGCATTAATTTATTATTTTATTTTATTAAAGTTATTAATTTTAATTTGATTCTGTCTAAATTCGAGAATTCAGAAAGGTGGTTAAAATATAAATTCACAAACCGTCTACAATGGACAACTACGGATCTAGTGATTTGTCTGTTTCAGAGGGGTATCCACTGAGAATGGGATACAAACAATGAATTTGTTGCAGCACATATCAAAATAACTTTATTATTAATTTAAATGAACAAATATTATCAATACGATTTGAATTTTTTAGCTAACTTCTCAGAATTTTTTTTGTTTATTATTGAAATCAAATATTTTTACTTTTTTTTCCGACTACTACTAATATTTTAAGTCAGAAAAACTCTGAAAAGACTAAGGAGTATTGGTTTTTAAAGTTAAAAACTGATAACTGCAAATTAACGAGGAGTACAAATTATAAACATATTACATTGGAATAACTCATTACTATTTTACTCTTCATAATAAATCTCTTATTAAACTGCAAATACTGCGTAAAAGGTTATAAAATGATAATTTCCAAATATGAAGAGATTAGAGTGATAGTAATGAAATTGAACGGTTTTTTTAAATGTGCTTAAAAGATGTATGTATTTAAGGATATACTCTTAAGTACTTTAATGATAAATATGTGTATAACTTAAGTTTATCTTTAAAGTAGGTACATTTATAAAACATTCGCTTTTTGGTAAAAAAAAATTTGATACCATCCCATAATCCTGTCGTATATATATAAAAGTACATGTCGTTTTTTTTTTCAAAAAGTCATTAAGTGACATTTCATAATTTTAAATCATTAGGAATTTTGATGAATTTCCCAATTTAAAAAAAAAATCAGAAAATTGTGTGCTTTTTGTAACTACTATATTAAAATGTTTAAGTTATTTTAAGTACAGATGTTTACTTCATTAATCATCAACCAGTTTGATTGACGTTAATACAATTGATGCCAATGCAACCCTTACACAGTCAATATATTGACTCAATAATATTGACCGCGTAAGGGGTCTTAAGGCTTGAGTTGGAAAGGCTCCAGCTTTCTCGACTCAGCCTGGTTCGAGTCTTAAAAGCTTGGTAGTAAAAGGCTAGAGTCGCAGCTGAAATCCCCATCTCCCAAAACAAAATTATTATTAAAGTAATTATTATTAAAATTAAAATTACAAAATTATTATTAAAGTATTTTTTCATTCATTCATTCAAACCTTACTTCTTTTTTTCTATCTATTTATTTATGTTATTTTTCAAAAATATATCCATATTGTTAATATCAACAGAAAAATAAGATATTCACTTTATATTTCGGAAATGTATTCACACTATTACAACAAACAGAAAAAATATATTTGTTTACGAAAATGTACAATAATTTAATTTTTTTTTTTAAAGATAAATTTATCAAGGCTAGAATCCTATGAGCCTTCATGACTCGAGTCGGAGCTCAAGGGTTATTTTTAGAGCACTAATCTTAGTACACTTATTTTGTTTTATTTATTAATAAATAAGGTCGAAATTCATAAAAAAACGTTTTTAAAACTTGAACTCCATCAAAAATGTACTTAGCAATTTTTTGCAATAAACGAGAAATACTTATTTACAACAAAACCTAAATAATTTAATATGATTTTCAACATTTTGTTCGAGCTTCTGTATTGTCTCCTTTTGTATCATAGAAAAAATAATAGTAAGAAACCTGAATTTAAATTTACTTATAATTCTTAATAATTTTATTTTATTATATTTAAACTATGAAAAATTATATATTACTAATAGTGTGTTTGGATTGTACAGGAATATCAAACGAAACAGGATAGCAAAGGAGGTGGAGGTAGCGCTGGTTCTGCTTCTCCGCAGTCTCCTCTTTTGTCGCCGGCTGGTGGAGGCATCGGTGGACATCAGTCCCACCAACCTTCCCCTCAAACATCGTCGGTCTCCCCAGTAAGACATAGCCCAGCCGGAACACCACATTCACAGGTTTGTCTTTGCGTGTTATAATTATCATAATTTATTAAAAGATACCAAAGTTTTTAGCGTTAATATATTGAAAAAACACAAATAGATTGATAGATAAATATTTTTATTGCTTTCAAGCTCTTCAACTTACAGCAATGAGTAGGTTCTGCCAAATGCATCATGTATTGTTTATAATGCTTATACTTCTAGTATAAGCATTACAAAAACATATATAAACAAAAAATAAGTATAAATAATTACCTTAATTAATTTTATCTATAAATAATTGTTCATAATTAGAGAGATACTTAATACATCACACAAATAATTTTGTCTCTTGATTATTTCTAACTAAGAAATCTCCATGCTTAAAGACATTTCTGAAAAAAAAAAAAAAAATTTCAACTTCTCTCCATCTTTCCTGCTTAGTACAGTGATCAGCTGCAGGTTCTCAGAAGTTCTTCCTGGCTGTTCCTCATACAAGTCCTCAAGCATTCCGCAGACAGTAAGAACATGTGCCATAGTGTCTTCTCCATTTACACATAAGGGGCATAATTTTTCTGCTTAAATAGAGACCTGACTCTAAGCATAGACCTTGCACGTTTATGGCCTGTGATGCATAGTTGTGATATTAGACGAATCTTCCTAATATCAGTTTTCAATACTAAGTGTGGCTGAGAGAGCTCCACCCTGTAAGAGCTAAGTTCTGACAAAACTAAAAGAACTCTTCATTGCAGAATCAACTGCTTTAGAGAACATATGATTATAAGGTTTTTCTATGGTACATTTAATTTTAAAAGAAGAGAAACCAAAAATATATGGTTAGATTAAAGCTGCATATTTTTTTTTTGCACTTTCATTTACTAATCATCCCTTGTTGATTGTCAGCAGATGGGCTGGAATAATCTTGGGACAAGAAAGCAATGAAAAAAAAAAAGATTCAATAAAAAATTTGTTGATTGAAATATGAAAAGTTTTATGGTTAAATCAAAATTGTTTATATGTATTAAACAAGTTTGATTATTGATTAGATCTTTAAAAAATAGTCCTAGGTGAATAAAAACCATATTATGGAGGGGTAGAGTAGAGGTTTTAGGGCGATAAATTGCTAGATTATTATGCCCGTTTCTTATTATGGATACAGAATCATTAAAAAATAAAACTTAATCACCATTTGTTCTAAATTTATTACTGAACCTTGGGTAATATTTAATATTATAAAATATTTTAATATATTAACTAGATATACTCCCTCTCTTTCTAATAGCGTACCTACCCCCATTTTACTAATTATACAATTATTCATTTAATTACATATCGCTACTGTTAGTGTAAAAGGTCATATGTAAAAATTTCTATGTTAATTCTATTTGTGCTCAGGGTGACATTTTGTACTGTATAATATTGCAATTAATAGTCTGCTACTATGGAAAATAGTAGAGAGAAATATAATATGAAATTACCCTTATAAATCATAAAGAAATAATCCATTTTTTTACGAAGAAATACACAACCTCTTTTGTAAAAATATTCAATTTTTATGTACAACTTTTAACACTAACAGTAGCAATATTTGTTGTGCCCCTGTAACCTCCTATTCTTCTAATACAAAGCCTTAGGAGAAGAGCACTAACGAGCTTAGAGTCCCAGGCTGAAAAGTTGAGCTCCTGTAATCTACTCTCCTAATACTAAATAGAGATTTTCATCCTGGTGGTCCGTCTGACTATATATGTAAAATAAAATAAGACAGTCACAAAAAACTTTTATATAATAGGAAGATTTAAAAGTATTATATTTGGAAAAAATTGTTCAATATCCATTCTAAGTGAGTAAGTCTATCTGTCTAATCTAAAAATGATCATCTACATTTAGGAATGGGATTATTTATTAGGTTTTTTATTTTTTATTTAAGCGTTAAGTATTTCTGTAAATTAAAGTTTATTTAAAATGATAACTAGTACTCATTTAAATATTCAAATATGTGTATTATCTACTAATAAAATTATTAAATAAAATACAATTACAACTGAATCAATTTTAAAAGGGGTCACTCCACCTATATTTCAAGTGAAGAGGACAATTTTCAAAATGGATGATTTAATTGGAGTTGTAAAATACAAATTGTTTCATATATGTATTACTTTAATAATCATATAAGATGTCCATGTGAATGCTTAATAAAACAGACAAACCAGACATTAGTAGGCAATTGCAGAGAAATTTAATTTCTGTTGATTATTGCTCAATTAATGACCGAAATATGACCGATTAGTTCTGTTCTTTGTTGAGAAAACTATAATTCCCTAAAGCCCTATCCACATACAGTAGACTTAATTTTAAATAAACAAGATACTGATTCTAAACTATTGTGTTTGTTATTTATTTAAATGAATTTTCTTTAATTTAATCTAACATTATTTTTATTTATTTATTCCTTTTTACATTTTGTTTTCAACTTTTTTTCATTTATTTCAGTTAATTAAAGTTACTTGATCTAAAAATACATATTTTTTTATCTGAATATATGTACATGTTTATATATTATCATTATTTTTTCTGTTTTATTGACCCTCTGATAATTTTGTTTAAAAAATGTTTTTCAAACTTTAGTATAAATTTTTTTTTCAGAGTGGTGATGACAAAAGCGAAGGCAGTGGTCTTCCATCTCCCAGGCCACCCCCCATGACACCCACTCCGCCTAGCCCTCATCAATTCCATCAGATAAGGTTGTTATTCAATTGTTAAACCAACATTTTTTTTTTAAATATTATTGTAATAGACAATACTTAATAAAATGAATATTTTTCAGGCATCCCTCGATGGTGTCAAGGTTTGCCAGATCCCCTGAAGGAGGATTAAGGCCACGTTTGGCTCCTCTCCAAACGTCTGGTTTCAATTCTCCCAGGGGAATGTCGCCTCAACCGCCATCTCCTCAGACAATGAGATTGACTCAACAGCAGCAACTTCTCCTTCAAAGACATCAACTTCAGCAGCAAAAACAGCAGATTCTAGAACAGCATCCTGAAGCGGGGGCTATTCTGAGTAGACAACTCTTGAGACAAGAACCACAGAGACAGTACAGAACATTCCCAGGTCCTCAGAGTCCTGGTTCTCAAGGAGGGTCTCCATTGTATAGTCCTCGTGCTCCACCTAGTCCGATGGTTTACCAAGGACTTCAGACACCGACATCTCCGATGCCTCAGTTTACCCAGCCCACATCTCCAATGCAGTCTCCTCGTTTACAGTATGCACCTAGTAGTCCTCATCAACAGCAATATCGTCCCAACTCCCCCATGGTACCATCCCCTATGAGAAGGCCATCCTCAGCTAGTCCACAAGGAGAAGGTGGTGGAGGAAATCCCTTCAATCCTAACAACCCTATTCCTATACCTCCTGAAATACGGAGGTTAAAATTAGGCTTAAAAGGAGGTTCGCCTATGTGGAGTGATAAGAGAAAAAGGGTGCAACCTAGTACCAGTTCAGAAAAAGTTGCTAGCTTAGTTTGTGTGGACTACAACGATTTTGAAGAGGAATCTCCTCCTATTACTCCACCATCTAAACCTGCCTTAATTAAAAAAACAGAAAATGTTAAAGCTCGACAATCCGAAGACACAGATTCAGAATTAACTGTTTATGATGATATTGTGTTAGTTGAAGGCTGCAAAGAAACTAACTTGGAAGTTGCAGAGTTGCGGTCTGCATTAGAAGGAAATGTCATGTCCACTGTCGTTTCCATGCCAATGGTTATAGATTCGGGCCAGATTCAGATGATGGATGTTGAAGGGGAGTTGCTTGATGACCTTGTAGTTTTGGGTGTAGGAAATGGAACCACCGACAGTGATTGTATTTTAGAAGTGAACAAAGATCTCATTTTGGACGATGATGTTAAAGAAGATGAACTTGATGATGGTTCTCCACCAAGAGCTAGGATGCAAGGTAAAGTTCTTCCTGGTGGAGGCTCTCATAATTCACCTTCTCCTGAATCTAGAAATAACTGTGATATATTCAAAAAAGTCGAGGAAAAGTCTAAAAAACTGGAAAAGGAGAGAAAAAGTACTGATGAAAGGACAGTTCCTGTTCAACCAAACATTGTAGTCTCGCGAACTCCAACAACCTTTACACCTGTCGTTACTCAGAAATCAATACCAATAGCTGACAATCGTCAATTAGCTATGCAGCAAGCAGCTGTTGCTAGCCTTGTCCAAGATGCTGTAAATGCTGCAAAGTTGGCAGCTGAAGCCCAAAATCTGTTGAAATCAAGTCAGGCCAATGAACAGCACAGAAACGCAATTTCCCGTGGCAATTTTGTTCCATTATCGGTTATTACGAGTAAAGCAGCGGATAGCGAACCTCTTGTCAACAATTCCATCAAGTCTGATTTAAGAAAGTCAGAACTGAGCAGGTTTCAAGATGTTGACAACGGGCAAAAAGAGATGCCAGAAAATAAACAAGAACATCAAAAGTTTCGTTTAGAAAATGCAAGTGATTTACGAATAATTAATACTGAGAGTTCAATTATCAAGTATAAAACATCAGAGTCGGTAGATCGTCATCATGCCCATAATGAAATAAATGTAATTAAAGAAAATGAAGAAACTAATGATAAGCGAGATCACAAAATTGTTGAAAGGATTAACCATGTCGCTCCAAAAGTAGAAAATGTCACTCTTCCTTGTGTCAGTTCGAGTATCCTTGAGGCTCAGTTAACATCGATGTTGAGAACGAGTAGTGAACCCACTTCCAATCAAAATTTTATTTATGCAGTTGTTAATCATACTGTCAAAGACCAGAGGAGGGAAGAAAATAATCAGGATGACATGAGGGTCGAAGGTCTTGCTGCTCACTTCCAAAGGACTGTTAAAAATGAAGAGCTTATGTTGACTGAAAGTGATATTTATAAAAATTCTAGGAATCCTCATCTCAATAAAAAACATGGCAACATATATGTGAGTTCTCAGATAAAGACTGATACTGTAATGGTAGGAGGAAAATCTTATAAAATTTATCAAGCTGGTCCACAATCCAGTACGAGTGATATTCTGACCTTAAGGGATGACAAGGAAGAAGCAAATGGCAGAGTTGCCCACAAGGTAAATGATAAGTTTCATACAATTTAGATAATATATATATATATATATATATATATATATATATATATATATATATATATATATATATATATATATATATATATATATATATATATATTTACTACCAAGAAGTTTATTTAATACTCATTCCTCAAACTGATAATATTTTTCTGGTGTATTAATTTAATAAAAACGAGTATGAAAACTTTTCATGATCCAATACTTGGTTAAAAGTTATTTTATACACAATTTTGTTTAAAAGATGACGTTTATTCAAATGTTATGTTAGTAATTTTTAGTATGCCTTTATAACTAGGCTGTTAATTAGATCCCTAACTAGGTTTTAAAAAACCAGTACTTCGTGTTGTGAAAATAAATATTAAAAAATAAATGGTTTCACAAATTATGATTTCATATCTTTAAACTGCGTCTGTTATTATTCATCACCCTTATTTTTGTGAACAGTTTTCATATTTTATTGAATTTCAATTCTATTGCTATGATTTTATGGTATAAATTATGTTTAAACAATAACCTTTTAAATAAATACTAATTGAACATAATTTTTTCATTTTTGAATCAATGTTATATTCAATTTCTTTTGTTGAATAAGTCATTAATGAAGTTTTAATTATATTAGGTGAATACAATAGAGAGAAGGCTCTCTGTCAGTAATGAAAAAGCTGCGAACGAAATGCTTCAACAGAGGGTTGTTTCGAGTTCTGAAACAGCTGAGAAAGAAACACATCATTTGAGTTTCGGTGGGCCAAAAGCACAAGTGGTTGCTCAAAAAGAAGAACCAAAAAAGTTTGTTGCCCTTGCTACGATGTTGTTACCACGGAATAATGAAGAGAAAAGAGTAAGACCTGGCGAAGACTCGCAAAATGTTCTTCTTAAACAGCTGCTTCAGAACACTGCATGTGCTACCACCACCACTGCCTCTCTACCAATTGTACCATCCCTGGAGGCTCAGCTCGCTCGTCCTGTACCTCCAACCCCTTCTTCTCTCTTGCCATCAGTTTTAAATGAACCTCCTAAAGAGATACAGCAGCCAAAACCTCAACACCAGGTACTTACTCTTGCATATTTAAATTAATAGAATTAGACTCTTGCATATTTAAATTATAGAATTAGGAACAAAACCTTGTTATATTTTGACATTTTTTAACTAACAATTTTACTTTTAAAAAATAACAATCTTCTCAAAAAATGATATGTATAAAAAACTGCATAGTTTACTAATTTGGATCTAAGATATGCAGAAATCATGCTTGTGTATGATTTCAGTGGATTTCCATTTTGACTATGATGACTTATTTTCTGCAGAAAGTTTAATTTTTCTTTCTCTCTATAATTTCTTTTTTTTTTTTTTTTTTTTTTTTGTGGGTATTATATTAAATAGCATTTTTAGTATTTTGTATTCGCTTGGTGGTTTCTCGTACAGCAATGTTTTTTAAATATTAATATTTATATTACATGTTTCCTATAATCACTAAAGCTGAACTGAGATACTGATACCTTTCATATAAAATGTGATAAAAAGAAATGATATTATATTTAAGCATTTTTATATATATGTTACTTAGGCCTCTTTTCCACTATGAATGACTACGCATTATGGTGATAAATAACTGATAATTGATTGAAACTTGAAGTATTACAAGACTTAATCGTTAGCCAATGACTTCACAAAGCAGTCTTTCTGTAATGTTTTTTTTCAGTCATTGTGCCTCTTGGTTCGGTATCAATAAATATTCTTGGGTTTAGATTCATTCTCGTTTGACTAAATAGAGGTTCAAGAAAACTGTGAGCAAATAATATTTGAGCTAAAGATGATATTACTTTATAGAAGTTGATGCATTTTTTATTTAACTGATTAATTTTTATACCTGGTTAAACTATAAATAAATAGTAAACTAAAAAAAAAAAAATTTAAAATACTAATCATATAAAATTACCTTATTACTTCACATTCAAGATTACTTAAAAATTTTTACTGAAGTGTTAAAATAAGCAATGAAATATTGTCCAAATTTTCAGGGTTCGATTGCCACCTGGATCAGTTGATATTTATTTGTGAGGATTCCAAGAACTGAATCTTGACACTTCCATTAGAGTTAAAATGGTGCTGCAACCTTTTAGTAGCTTTCTGTGGTAGGAAAAAAGAACCAAAAGTCTCACTTTTTGGACTCGAGCAGAAATAAAATATCTGTACCTTCCTCATTAAGTTTTTTACTTTGTTTCTTCCAAAACAATTTGCATTTTTTAAAGTTATATGAACTTCAACAAAAAATATATTTTTTATTTGAAACCAACTCTTATTTCTTAATGCAACCTTTTTTAATGGTGTATATACTTCAACGAGCTTTTCAATTTGAAAAGATTGCCGGAATAATGCTCTGAGCAACATTAATTAGGACGCATAATAGGCCTTCATGGCTGCAGTGCATTTAGCCACTGTTAAAAAAAAAAAAAAAAAAAAAAATATATATATATATATATATATATCTTAATAGATATGCGAGGGATATACGTCTAGGCTGGGGAGAGAACGACTCGCACCGCGTCTACGTGAGTGAAGCCATGACGCCCACCAATAAACACCTTTATTGGTTAGCCAGGCAGAAGAGGGTGACGGCAAAAATAAGATACGTCTGGTTCAGTGGGGGTAAAATTCGTTGCAGACAATCAGATGGAGGTCCAGTAGTAATTATAGAAAAACCAAGTGATCTGGACGTTTTCAGCTGAACTTTGTATATAAGTTAACTTCAGCTTGCAATTAATTTACTTTCTCTCGCTAGAAATATATTTATTTTATTTTTTTCATTTCCAGCTTTCTTTATTTTTTTATAAATGTAGCTTCTCTTGTTGTTTTTTGTATCAATTTTTACTCATCAGAAATATTATTATTTTAATTTTAAGCTTCTTTTATTTTTGTATAAATTATTTAGAACTTTATTCGATTCCTTGCCAATTTTTATCAATTTATCTAGACCAAGGAGAAATTTATATTTTCTTATGCTATAAATTAATTTTAACTGAATATTTATTTCGAAACACCGAAAATTAATTTTTTTTCATCACAAAGTTTATTTTATGTAAGCATTGGTTTTTTATATTTATAAACTTGACATTATGCTTAAAAAATGCTATATCCTATCCTTTATCCTTGATAATTTTTTTTTTTTTTTTCCAATATCCTACTTCCCAATCCTCCAGTCATGACGAATATCCTGAATTCCTGTCACATCAATGCACAATCCCTTACTTAACACTAGAATTAATTTCAGGAACATTTCCTTGATAATTTTTACCACATAATAGCAATATCGGAAACCTATTTAAAACCTTTTATCCCTTACTCCCAGATTTCCCTACCCAATTATTCCTTCCTACTATTGTAATAGTATAGAAAAGTATAATTGTAAATAGTTACTACTGCAAATCTGTATATAAATTATTAGAGCGTTCTTCATTATTTTTATTTCATGTTTATTTTCAATTTTTTGTTTTTTATTTTTAACTGATCTAAATTAGTAACTTATAATTTTTTCTTTTAATTACTGTATATTTTTGTTTATGTATCTCTAAGGCTCCTTAGCCCATATTATTGTCTTTTTATATTATTCTTAAGGGACTTGTCCCAGAATAAATAAAGCATTATTATTATATGTATATATAATAAGTTTTATATAACTATAAAATAGGAAAACTTAATAAGTTATGGGGGAGGAGGGAGGACATTATTCCAGAAATGGAATCACTTATTTTTTTTTTAACTATTAGAAAAAACTTTTGGTTTCATGGAGGAACTTACTAAAAGAAACCATTCTCAGCTGTCAATAGCTTTTGCTTACATCATCAAAAAATGTATTCTATTTTTAGAGGAATGTTATTCCCATGGTGTGTAGATCTCCCGTAATACATTATTCTATCCTTCTTAAGAATATGCTTATAAACATTAATATATCCAACAGCCAACTAGTTTATTAATATCACAATATCTGCTTACAGATAATAGAATCACCAAAACAAGAAACACGCCCCCACATCGGCCCATCATCGCTAGATGAGCTACTGTCCCCACCACCGCCTCCTCAACAGCTTCAGCACCACCCGCCTTCAGCTATCCAAACAAGTCCAGTAATCAAGCGTGAACCTGTTTTTTCTTTGAGCCAGCCTGGCCCTGTGATGACACCCATGGTGGATGTCAAAAGGGAAGTCGAAGTTAAAAAAGAAGTGATGTCTTCTGATGAAATGTTGTCTCCAGGACTACGTTTGGATCAGATCGACTCCCAACCGCAAGGTAATAATTTAAGTTTACTTAATAGAGCATAACATAGATTATGTAAAACCGAAATCATTATTTATATCTTTATTTTTAGATATCAAAAAATTGAAGAAGCGTCCTTATCACCATCAAAAACGACGCCAAAGTTTAGGAAAAGAAATGATTGGAGGAACACCGAAAAAGAGGCCTCGAAAGGTAATTTTTTACTTTTGATTTATGAAAATATATATAATGGAGTTCAGTATTATTAAACTTTTGGACAAAATATTATGTAATTTAATGATAAAAATCTGACTGAAGATAGTTGCTTACTCAATTTGTGATTTCACTAATATAGAGTATGAATTTTATGGAAGGGTAGGTTATTGATTATCTGTTGCTTTATATGAATAAAAATGTTGATTCATTTAAACTTAATTTAAAAGTTTTATTTTTAAGTACTTTTTTCTCCCAAATAACCAAAGTTGAAAAAGTATGAAATAGGGGAACAAATTGTGGGCAGAGTTTTGGCTGGAGTACTTTAAAGCTCTTAAAATTTGGTAATGATAATTAAAGAAATATTTAAGCAGAATCATGTATGGTTAATGAAATTTCAATACATTAGTTAAAAAAAAAAAAAAAGAAGAAGTAGATAAATATAGTAATTATTATGAATGATAACTATAACAAACCAGTGGTTGAGGGATAATATATTTTCATGATTTATGAACTTTATAAATATTCTCAAAATGTTAAATTAAAAATTGGCAAGCTGCGATAAAATTATAAATTTGGTGGTTGCATCTGATGTCTTTCATCCACTCTGTGTTATCAAAAACACTATCAAATCTGAGTAGTGGTATTATATTAATCTTTATAAGAGAGAGTACATGAGTCAAGAGTGCTTTGTTTAACTGTTGTTATTATTTGTTTACGAGTCTGAAAATTGATCCTGTTTTTTCTTATTTTGTTTGTAATGAAAACAACTACACTATTCTCTTCCCATTTTTATGTTGGGAGAACTGCAATTGAAACAATAGATTATTTATATTTTTGGTTTCTGTATTTTTTTTTTTATTTTTTATTGAAGCTATTGTAACAGACCTTGTAACCTCTTTATTTTGCTGGGACAATGTGGCTTTACTTAGTGAGTGATACTTTCATAACTTTGTTCAAATATAACGTTGGTTTATTGTAAAATGTTGTTAAGTAACATTTTATAAATTTAAATCAATATATCATAAAATAAATATCCTTTGGTGAAATCAGAGTATTGTGTGCTTCGTGTAACTATTTTGACTTAAAATAACGTTTGTGTTATTTTGATGTACTTGTGAAGTTTTTGTGTTGATAAATATTTAAATTCACAAGTATATATTTAAAGGTTCAATTCTATCAAAATTTTACTTCATTATTTTTTATTTAGTTATTATTTTACTTTTGTTAATTTTATATTTTCTGTATATATTGTGTGAATATGTTCATATATCACTATAATGATTGTCCATGTGATTATTATATTTCTAAATAAATAATAAATTACTTTTTTTTTCCAATAAACCAACGATATCTCTTCTTTTATAACAGTAAAATTTATATGATGTCATTTTTTTTTTATAGCTTAAATTTACTTAGCTTAATTTATTTCCAGAGCTCGAAAGTAGAAGAAGATTATGATTCTTTCATAGATTCTGTTATGCATCAACTGAGACAGACTCCCGGAATGTCAATTTGTGAACCCAACCTCACTTATAATTTTACTGGATGCCCGCCATTTGGGGCCGGCGACATGAGCAAAGTCAATTCATGGTAAGTAACCTAATCATTTATAAAACAGAGAATAGATTTTGATTGAATCATATATTAGTAGTACGAAAACCCCAACACGACTCTGAAATGGATTTTTGTTTAAACTTTTAAGTAACCATAATCATCTTTTTGATAATAGTTGTGTTATATAATAATTGATAATAATTAAATTATATAATGGATTGTGGTCTATGGCCCTCAGACAATATTTTTTTTAAACTTTTAAAAAAGACCAGAAATTTTAATAATGCCAATAACTTTAGTCCATGGTACCATACCCCTTTTTATCTACTTATTAACATCCTCCTGAAACTTTGTAAATAGTTTCATCACATAGTAACCCACAACTATTTTATTTACAAAAACTCTCGAAATTGGGTCATTTTAAATCTGGATGGGGACAAACTTTGTTTATTTAATTGCAACTAAAAACTCGTAAATAACGATTTGCTTTCTACTTGGACCATCAGGTAATTTGATCACGAAATCGAGAAAAAAGGTGGCCTTCAAAAATATTGAGCTGTTTGACATGACCTACACCTCCAAATTTTGAAAATAAAGATGTTATATAGAACCAACTACCCAATATTTTTGTAGGCCAACTTTTTTATCGATTTTGTGATCAAATTATCTTACGATCCAAGTAGAAAGCAAATGGGTATTTACGAGTTTTTAGTACATAATTAAATAGACAAAGTTTGTCCCTCTCCAGATTGAAAATGCCACAATTCTAAAAGTTTTTGTAAATAAAATAGTTTAGGTTATGATGAGATGTAACTATTTACGAAGTTTCATGAGGATGTTAATAATTCGATAAAAAGGGGTATGTACCAAGAGCTACAATATTTGAAACTTTTATTAGCTTTATGAAAATCCTAGCTATCCATTTTTATGCACTCAAGAATTTTTGAGACTGGGTAATAAATTAAAAGTAATCGTTTTTTAATAACTATTTAAGAGTTTTTAGATAGTGATAATTTGTAGAGTACTATTGTAAATATCAATAGTTATTAATTGTACTTAATTTTTTTTAACAATCTAGCACACGCCTTGGAGAATTACGTGGTACTTATGGCACCGCTTATTTACCTCATGAAAATGATCATTATAATACATTACCTTTTGGTGATCTTCCACCTAAAGCTCCTTCGACACCAGCTACTCAGCGGGGATTTTATAACGAGGAGTTCGCACCCTTAAAGTTACACACTGCAAAGGATGACTGTAAGTATTATGTTTCTTTTTAAAATGTTTTATGAGTTTTAAAAAAAAAGATATAATTGGTATTCACCTCTTAAATTTGTTAAAGTCGAAAAACAAGATTAGCGTGTTAAATTATGGCCGCTAGCACACCAAATCTTAACATTTTAAAGCTGGTGTTAATTTCATAAATGTGCGGGAAGGGTTATTGTAAGAATTTCATAAACTTTTAACTACTTTTGTATTAAGTGGAATCGAATGTAAGTGAAGGTGTGAAAGGAATCAAAATTGTTGGCAAAAGATTATAATGATCTGTTTACATAATTATGGAAAACCTAATGAAATTCGAAGTGAATCCTTTTTTTTTTTTTTCAAATTTGTTTATAATTTTATTTGTCAATCTTTGTGTAATAAACAGTGTTGAAAAAAAAAAAAAATCCTTACAAATTAAAATCAACAAGTGAAACCCAACATATAACAAATGGAAGTTTGATTTTAACTTATTATATTTTTGCAAGATAGCATGTTGGAGTGATTTGCTCAAGATTCATGCTAACTGTTTAACACAGTAACACATTAATCCTTTATCACAAGTAAATGAATACCCTTATAAATCAACAAAATAAATATCAGCTAAAGTTAAACCTCCTTTTAAAAGTTTTATTATTTTTTCATTTTGTCAAATATTATATTAAGAGGTTCAACTATATTAAAAACAACAGATTTTTTTATTTTTATTTTATGTGCTTATGATAACAATGTTTTGTAATTTTTCTGTAAAATATAATCAATGAATATAATTTAAATTAATGAGTTTTCTTTCATTAATACAGTTGATGATCGGAAATATGATTACAACCGAGATCGTGACAATGATACACCTGATACAATCATAAGTTCCTCCAGTCCTGAGTGTATCATGCCAGAATTCCATCCAAGGTTTCCAGGTAAGTAACATTGCTGTTTTTATATCCATTTAAAAATCAGAAAAATCCGTCTTGTATTTTTATTTGCCTAGTACTGTTCTCCTCCAGTATTAATCTATTTTAAAATCAAAACAAAATCTCAAAAATTCTTAATAAATACAGGCTTTGATGATAATATACAATTTTAAAGAATTACTTAATGATTTCTTGTTAATAACATTGAGATCAAATCATTGCAATTTCTTAATTTTATATATTATCAAAAAGTTTACATATTTTAATTTTGTTTGATTATATATTATGTTTTGGATTGGGGTAGCTCAGTGTTGGGGCACTGATCTTCTAATGCTCCAGGTCCCAGGTTCGAATCCCGACTCATAGCAGAAAAGTTATTTTAATATACCCAAGACCCTTCATGGGTTGTGGTGGTACAGGCTTTTACAATATATTATATTGGAATAGTTTTTTAAGAAATATAGAACAGGGAAGGTTGTTAATATAACATAACACAAATTTTCTTGTTATTTCATTAGCCTATGTGATTGCCAAACTATGTTGTTCATCATCTGGGATTGAATTGAAATTTTACTAAAATGATAATAAATTTAAGTAAATGTTAACTATTAAGAGTGATAGATTAAAATGAGAACAATGCAATAATAAAGGGAGAAGATTATTAGACAAAACACATATATAATATGACATATATTAGTAAACTTTCATTTAATAATATCAGTTAATGAAGTATTTGTGGTTTTAGGTTTACAATTAATAGACTCAGATAATGAAGAAGAAAGATTCCGATTATCCAGGTTTTCTCCAGACATTCCTATCATCGCTCCATTAGCTATAAGGCCGAAGCCTATACGATTCTATAGTGACATGGTAATAGAATTTTCAAACATTTTTTGAAATTTTATTAGTAATCAATTAGAGGAATAATATTTATTCATTGTTATTCACTTTTCAGGATAAGGAAAATGAAACTCCTGACGGCGAGAGAGGTAGAATTAGGGAAAGTGTAACAGTTACTTTAACACTGACTAGTCAAGCAGCTGACGACGTTCTATCTGTATTACGCAATTTAGCCAATGTACTCCGAATACCTGTACCTGCAACGCATAGCATTACGGAAAGGAGTTCCGCATCCCACCGCCTCGGAATATATCGACTGAAGGGCAAAGATGGCAAAGAAGGAGGTATTATGATCAAATAAATAATATTACAATATTCATATCTTTTTCAATCGTTAAATATCTAATAATAAAAATATTTGTCGGAAAGGTCCACCTTAGTCCAAAATGTTTTAAAAACATTTTTCTCTTTTTATCATAGTTTCTTTTTCTAAAATCTCTGATTCTTTATTAGATAATAATTTATGAAGAAATTCGAGACTTCATTTTTATTAATTGGCTATCTAAATCAGATAAAGTATCTTAAAAATAAACAAATAAAAATATAAGTTTTTTTGGTTTTTTTCTCTCTTCTTACTTCTATCCACATCTGTCATAGTAATTTAAATTGGTTCATTTTTTTTTTTATTAATGCATATTCAAATTTATTTGTAAGTGATTATAGCTAAGGTCATTTAGCGATTTCAAATATCATCCGTTATTACCTCATATATTTTATTGTTGACATTTCGGGGCAACACTTCTCATCTTCAGAACATTAACTTGTTATTATCATTTATTAAAGATATCCCGCCACAATTCATATCTAGATAAGATATCCCCCATCAAGCCAATCCAATAACATTTACGATTATTTTTATTTTGTAATAAAAATTGTATCTTATTGGCCCTTTTTTAAATATTATTCATTAGTATTTTTAGAAATGTTAGTATATTCTTTAAAAAAAAAAATGTCTATAAAAGAATTTAGATAATAAATTAAATAATGATCATTTGAGTTATTGGATAGTTGAGTATATGGATGGTACAAAGCTTTTTTTTTTTTTAAATTAATTTTAATATTGCCATTTTCCAATTTTCCCTTTAAGTGTTACTTCTACAATTCTTGTTATTCCTTCTTTACAGGTTTCGATTTTAATTCATTAAAATTTATATAAATCATTCATTTATTTAAAAATAATCCTCTTTGATAGTTAACTTTATTTCATTATATTATTATATTTTTTTTTTAGCTCAAGTCGATATCCAATCTATTCTGAATGGAACTGCCAAGTTTTGTAGGCATTGCGATGTCGTAATAATGAACAATCTTATGAGGAAAAAGGCGTCGGAAATGCCCCTAGTTGCCAGGCAAGGGGAAGAAGATCTTTACTTCTGCAGTACGTCATGTTACATGCAGTTGGCCCTCTCTCATCCACAGGGTCCCAACAAGGAAAAGGTAAAGCATTATCAATTATTCAGAACTTCTAGTAATTAGTTATTAACGCATCCTACCCATACTCGAATCCCACAATATCCCTTCCCATCAGTTTGGATTCCACTCAAGACACTCCACTGTCCAACAAGGCCTTCGCGTTGTGGACCACATATCCTCTGCACTTGAAAACAAGCAATATTGCACTGGTGCCTTTCTGGACGTAGCTCAAGCTTTCGACCGGGTGTGGCGGGTCGATGGCTTGCTTTTCAAGCTCAAAACCCATTTACCTCAACCCTTGTACCTAGTCCACAAATCTTACCTTTCAAATCGCTCCTTTCAAGTCCGCTGCGGCACTGAACTCTCCAAACATTATCCAATTGAGGCTGGTGTTCCACAAGGCAGTGTCTTGGGCCCAGTTCTTTATATCCTTTTCACCGCTGACATCCCTTCAAGTCCTGATACCTTCCTAGCAACATTTGCTGATGATACTGCCATCCTATCCTCCCACTCGGATCCTCTAATAGCGTCCCTGAACCTGCAAAGACACCTCTCCTTCATTGAGCAGTGGTGGAACAACTGGCGCATCAAAATTAATGAATCAAAATGCAAACATGTAACTTTCACTCTTCGACGCAGATCCTGTCCGCCAATCCTTTTTAATTCAATTCCTCTTCCCTACTCAGACAGAGTCCGATACCTTGGCTTCCTTCTGGACAAAAGACTGACTTGGAACCCACATACGAGACTTAAAAGACAAGAGCTTAACTGACGATTTGGTCAGCTATATAGACTACTAAACAGAACATCTCATCTCTCAACAGAAAACAAATTATTAATCTACAAGACCATACTGAAACCTATCAGGACCTACGGACTTGAACTGTGGGGGACAACTAAATCATCGAATATCAAACGCATCCAATCCTTCCAGTCCAAAGTCCTTCGAACAATAGTCACTGCTCCATATTATGTCACGAACAAGACCCTACACCATGGCCTTAACATCCCATATGTCCATGACATCATCCCATCCAGATTCTTCAACTTTCACCAGAACCTCATTTATCATCCCAATCCTCTAGCGCAATCCCTATCCAGCTCCGAGCATCCATACCATCCCCCTCATAGGTTGAAACGGCAGTGGCCTCGAGATCTTTTGTAAATATGCCTTTGGAGTCCTGGCAATGGCCAGCTTCTCCACTCATGTCCTGAGCGTCTGTGGCTGTAGTGCCCTCTTTCAGTCTCCACTGGCTTCTAATACTAGTGATGCGGCTGGAAAAGTGGCACTGGGATCTTCCGGAGTCTTGCTTTGCCTTCCGCGTGTGGAGGGAAAAGCCTGGCTCGGAGATTCTTGGGCAAATGTATATATTGTATATAGCTATGATTGTGTTTAGAAGTTTTTATTTTATTTTATTTGTTTATTTTTATTTTTTATTTTTATTTACCTTCTTCATCAGTATTATTTATTTACTTCTTATATTTATATTTATTTCTTTATTATTTGTATATATTGTATGAATGAGAACTTTTAGCCCTAATGCTTATAGCCTTCCAGCAGTGGCTGATTGTATTATTATTCAATAAATAGATTTTTAAAAAAAATTAGTTATTTATTATTTATGTTATATTTACTCAAAAATGAACATCATATATTCTTAATGTAATGGAACTTTACATAACTGATCTGGTTAAAATAACTATTTATTAATGAGAATTTTAAAGGGTAAAAATGAACGTTTACTACTGTAAGTCATCCAAAGTTTGCAACCGGAGCATTGTACACATTTTAACTTTTATTTTGTTTATAATAATAATACTTATGATTAATATTGATTAGAAATGTACATAATAAAAGTTCAAATATCCAGAATTCTCCAGTTGCAAACTATTTGTAACCTTGCAATGCCTTTTCTCTTATTAATGAGCCTGATATTGAATTAGTAGTTAACTTTTAACAATTCGAATTAAATTTATAAATAATTCCTAACATTAAAAAAAAAGTATTATAAAAATTATACAATAACTCTTTTATATAACCTGTTTTCATAACTCTTTTAACTAGTTTTATCATTTTATTAAATTAAGCTCCTTAGTTGCTATTCTTTTTTTTTTTTCTTTTTTTTTAATAATTAAGCTATTTAAGTGGCTTTATATCAAAGATGAACATCTGCCATTTTCAGGAAGTGTAGAAAAGACCAATTTTTGTTTGATAGGTTCAACTCAAACTGTTTCCGTTGATTTTATTTAAGAATGTTTTAAGTTGATTAAAAAAAAAAAATTTAGAATTACTTTAAATTGTAGCAATGTTACAGAAAATTGTCTTTTTCTCAACTTTTTAAAAACGAATAATGTCCTTCTTTGATATGAAGTCACTCATTTGATTATCTTTATATAAAAAGTCAAAGTCTGAAAGGAAATAAATTTCTGGAAGGTATTTCATTATTCGAGAAGGAGTTAGTTGAGGGTGCGGTCAAATAAATAAAAAATTAAAATATATAAATAATTTTAATTTTTGCCGACGTTTCGACCCACTTTGCAGGTCGTCTTCAGGGCTACAAAAGATACAAACATGTTGAAAAAATAAAAATAAAATAAAAAATAAATATAAGTATATATAAATCACGAAGAAGTTGTCAGATACAGAAATAAAAGATAAAGAAAATAAAAAAATACATGATAAGGAAATAGATAAAAGAAAATAAATACATGAATGTTAATTCATTTATTCGTTAACATTCATGTATTTATTTTCTTTTATCTATTTTCTTATCATGTATTTTTTTATTTTCTTTATCTTTTATTTCTGTATCTGACAACTTCTTCGTGATTTATATATACTTATATTTATTTTTTATTTTATTTTTATTTTTTCAACATGTTTGTATCTTTTGTAGCCCTGAAGACGACCTGCAAAGTGGGTCGAAACGTCGGCAAAAATTAAAATTATTTATATATTTTAATTTTTTATTTATTTGACCGCACCCTCAACTAACTCCTTCTCATATCATATCAACGGTCAACCATCTCTACATCATTATTTCATTATTCATTGATTTACGTTATTATCTCAGTAAAAGTTTCCTGAACTATTCTCTTCATTGAACTGCAGAGCACTTGAATGGCTGTAGCCTTAGAATAAACAATTTTTAAAATTCATTGTTTCATTAACTGAAGGGAAAATTTATAAAAAATAATTAATCATTTATTTTAGGCTTTAACAATAATAGATCATCTAGAAACACCTTCCAAAAAGACGAAAGTTGAATCAACAACTGATTGCAATGCTGTAAAGATCGAACCAAAGAAAGAATTTGTAAGTGAATTTTATATATTTGTATTATTTATATATAATCCATACATATATAATATATATTCCCTTCAGTGTTACACTTGTGAAGTAAGTGTAACACTGTCCTATTGTCAGACATATGACTCAACAAACTTATAGGATCAATGAAATTGCCTAAATTTGTGTTACTATAAATTATATAAACAAAAAGATATACATGACATTTTATTTTATACTTTAAATTAGCTCATGAAGCCAAAATGTCAGAAATAATAAAAATATATTAAAGGAAACAAATTCGTTTGCTGACCTTTGGCCAAAAATCTTTTAAATAATAAACAATAATATGGCACCAAACATAAAATATATTATTTAAGATTCCTTTTGTCTTCAGGTTGGAAAAAGTGGTCACATGCCCCAAAAATTCCTCAAGGAAAAGAAACTTTATTTGAGAAAAATTAAATATTTTTTGTAAATATATTGGTTTAAAACATGAATGAAGTTTTAAAATAATTTTCTTTTCCATAATCGATTACAATTAGCAAACAAATATGAATTGACTCCTCCATCTTATTGTAAATTGCATTATTTGATTTCCTTATTATTTTGTCATTTGTTCATATGCGAATTATTCGCACGAGCCAACCAGTGTGGTTAGAAAATTAATCTAAAGCATAATTATTCTAATTATTTAAAAATAATTAATATTTTTGATGAGTGGCTTCATATCAAAGACGGACGTCTGTCATTTTCAGAAAGTGGAGAAAATTTAATTTTTGTTTTATAGGATCAACCCAAACTATTTCTGATGATTTTATTTATGAACGTTCAAGTAGAATGATGAAAATAAAAAGTTAGATTTTGTTGTAATTGAAGCTTCGTTACACAAAATCTAATGTCTAACGTATATGTTTGAAATGAGGCCATTCATTTCTTAAAATAAAAATGTAATTTCTGGTGATCAGCTGTGAGTTAATAGTTGTTATTTTTTAATCTAATTTTTTTTTTTTTTTTTTAGAAACTTTCTTCGGACCCCTCTTACATGACTACCAGGGGCTCAGGGAAACGTGAAAAACAAAGTAGTGCTTATGATAAAACGGCTGTGACAAATTCCTATGCCTCCCATGCCCTAGGAAAGAAATCTCCTTCAAGATATCGGACATGGACAACGGCAACTATTCCACCTCCTTCCGCCAGGCATAAGAAGCCTACTGACAAGGAAATTACTGAGGTATAAATAGATATAACATTTGGTATGAATTATTTTTTCCAAGAGGGTTATTTTTTCAACACTATGTTAGATTTTAATCATACTTTTTTATTTAAATTACTTTTCCAGTTTATAATATTGCTAAAATGGTTCTGTTCACTCAGATATTTAGAAAATAATGTTAATAAAATTTTTCATTTTGAATTTGAAATCATCTGGTGGGCTAGAACATTGTTTTATCAAGACTAAAGGAAAGTTTCCTCGATTCAAAAATGTTTTAGCCCGCCAGATAATTACGTATTCGATATAAACTCTGGTACAGTCACCCACTTCTCCCAAAGTAACTCCAGTTAATGGTATATTTCTAAAAAAAAAAAAAATATTGATACTTTATCAAATCAGGTACAACTGGATATTTTTTTATATCTTTAGTGATTGATTTGAATAGCTAGTTTAACAAACAAGCAGACCTTTCAGAGAACATTAAAAAATAAAAATCAGTATTAACAAAACACATTGGTATTAGCTTCAAATCACTTAGTAGATGGAATTTCGAGAAATGCCAAAAGTAGTAGCAGAGTTTTGACAATTGTGTTCATATACTATGAACAAACATGTCATTAAATCTTAATTTTACCTTAAATGCTACTGTTTATTTTGAAAAACAATTTTTTTTTTTCATCCTCAATCTGGTTGGTATCATATTTCATAAGTTAATGCCAAACAATAATTTTATAATTGCTGGTAACTTAATATTCACCAGCTTTTTAGAGATAATTTCATTCTGTTCTGAGATCAGATTTCCAAAATCCAAGATTGATTTAGTTTTAAATTACTGCTATTGTTTATATCTGTTTCATCAGTCGTCGATTGGCCTTGGGGTCGGTAGACACACCTATAAAGTGGGTACCCTTAATTAATTATTTAATTAAGGGTACCCACTTAATTACATAATTAATTAAGGGTGAAAACCTGGCGGTTGAGTGTGATCTCTGTCTAATCACCTCCTTACACAACCGTTGATCAAGAAACAGTACTTTTCCTGAATAGTACTAAACCCAAAACCCTTCATGGGATGTTGTGGTACAGTTTTTTTTTTTTCTTTCTTTATTAATATAGAGAATAGTTATTTTCAACTTGAGTGATGTTTAAATTTTTTTTTTTTCCAGATGCTGTTCAAGAGTGGTATCACTGTGATGCCTTTGAAGTTGCCTGAAGATAGTCGACACTGTCTCCTTTGCCATCAAGTTGGCGATGGTGTCACTGATGGTCCTGCAAGGTAAACCTTTCTGTTTCTATCCTTAAATTATTTGGATGTTAATTTTATATTATTCTGTATTCTGTGAGTAATACACAGAGTTTCCTGCAACCTTTAATTTCTTAAAGATCCGGAATTACACTTGAAAACAGTTATCAGATGTTGTGATTTGTTTAAATATGAATTGAATTATAAATATTGAATTATTATTTTTCATTATAAATTTAATGGACACTGAGAGCTTAATTGGTTCATCGACTGTGAATGCTAAGGATCATATAAACGACATTGATACAATTAATATTATATTTAATAAATAAAACATTTATGAACAAATTAAAATTAAATTTATGTTCATATAATGTATTATTACGAAAGAATGTATAAAGTACTGTTTAGTTGGGCTTGTCTTTATGGTAGCTTAAAAAATAGACTGCTCCATCAACTGAAGGTGGACTTCATCTGATATGTACTTTTCTGATGACGTTTCCTCGAAAGCTCTCCGGAACTGACAGATGACTTTTTATCCATCCTAAACAAGACTGAAGTAAAAGTAGGGAGTGGGATTCGCGTCCTCCTCTCTACTACTTCTGACTCTTAACGTATTTTTTAAATTTTAATATTCAATAAATAAAAATCATTCAATAAATAATCACAGGATTATTATCATTTTACTGGAAAAAGTCATTAAGTGCATTTTTGATGGAGCTAAACTTTTAAGAATGTTTTTGTGAACTTATTTATTAATAAAAGTACGTGCACTTAAATGAAGTAAACTATTTTATATCTCAGACTAAGGAGGTACCCCCTTTCTGCCTAACAGCGGATCAATGCCCATTTTACAAGTTATACACCTATTCATTTAATTGTAGTACTCATTGCTCAAATTGTATAAGTGTAACCATGGGTGCAGACTTTGTTGGGGAGGGAGAGAGAGGGGATCGTCTCCCCACCAATAAAAATAGAGAGGAGATTAGAATATCTTTTCGTACCCCTCTCCCAATATTTCGAAAAACATTAATAAAATCGATATCAATAAAAATTAATCTATATGAATGAGTAAAGGATGTAAACTAAAATCAATTATGGAAATAGGAAAAGTCTACTACATGCCTAAGATTAGGACTAGAAGTAGATAAACAAATATTTTACCACATTCCATGTTTCTATTATTGAAATTTTAGTTTATATTCCAAGATAAATTATATGTAATTACATATCCTAGGATTTCATGATTCATTCATCTGCACCCTTCCATTTTTACCTGAAAATCGTATCACATTTTTCGTGATAAATTCCAAGTATCAAAGAATCACGAGTTCATCTTGCTGCTTCAAACCTTTAAATAAAGATAAAAATATATTCTAAATTATATTTTTACTCATCAGTAATTATTCTTGTCATAAATTTACAAAGGTGAAGATTTGGAAGTACTGAATTTGTTCGATTCCCTTCTTCTTACAAAATACCAGCAATATGTAGATAGATAGATAGAAAAAAAAACTTTATTCTGGGACTAAGTCCCTTCAGAATAACAATAACGTACAAAATAATAGAATATTACTGGCCTAAACGTTTGAAACAATAAATAAAATTGATAAAATAAAATAAAAACTAAAGAAAACCTTAAGTGCACAAGCTATATACAATACAGATAAAACTATGTACAGAGCATTTAAAATTATGAACAAAACAATTAAAACTATGAACGAATCACTTGAACTATAAACAAAACTATATATAAGGGTTGAACAACATAAACATACACTTTGAGAAATCAAGAACGAAAAAGAGATAGAATGAGTTCATTTCATAAAAAAAAAAATTTTACTTATATATATATATATATATAAATAAACAGTTAATTATAATTGAATAAAAAAAAATGTATGTATTGAAATTCCTACGTCGATAGTAGGAAATGCATGTACTATCTCTTACCAAGTATTATGATTATATGATTGCTACACAATACATATATAGTATTAATAGTTAGCTGGTATCTGACTGTTTTTAAAACAGGAATTGGAATAGTGTTTTTGGAACAGGAATTGGAATAGGTTTTTGAATGTGTATGGGGAAGAGGCATGTCGAATTTTGATCGGGAGGGAATTCCAAAATTTGACAGAGCGGGCTATAAAGGAATTTTGGAATGAGGCAGATCTATGAGAAGGGATGTATAGGTCAGAGGGTTGAGATCTTGTAGTGAGGGAATGGATTGAGGACTTAAATTGGAGAAGGTTGTAGGCATAAGAAGGACGATGATCGGTAATGATTTGATAAAGGAAAGTGCCTAGGAAATTGTTTTCTTAAGGAGGAGAAGAGCCACCCTAACTCAGTGTAGTGGTGGGAGACACAGGAGCGTTTCGGGGTCCCAATTACAAATCTTACGAAGCTATTCATAAGTCTTTTAATGTATATATACATTTGAGTAATAATCGTAACACAATTATCCCTTGAGTAATTTTCATTATTATATATTATCAAATCTTCATGCATATTCTTGTTTGTATTAATTTAATTTTCTTTGTTACAGATTATTAAATTATGATGTAAATAAGTGGATTCATTTGAATTGTGCCCTTTGGTCTGATGAAGTATATGAAACAGTGAATGGAGGTTTGATGAATGTTGAAATCGCTCTTCAAAATGGCCTTTCAGTTCATTGTGCTTATTGTAACACACCTGGAGCTACTTTAAAATGTTACAAAATGCGCTGTTCCTTAGTTTATCACCTACCGTGCGCAGTCAAAGACCAATGTGTATTTTTCAAAAATAAGGTTAGTGTATCTTTTGTCATAGTATAATGTACAATAGCATAATTTAAAAACTGAAATTGACACATGTAAGTTGTATCAAACAGAATGTGATTTTTGGGGACAACATCTGGATTATCAATAAAACATCATTTAGCGAAGTATTTAAAAATTAATAATTGAAACCAAACTTGAGTTTTGAATTGTACTATATAATTATTATTTATTTTAATGGGAAATCCTTTCAGTTAAATTCCTCTATTATTTTCATTTTTTGAGGTTATATCACTAATACTTGAACTTCATTTTAATTTTATTAATATAATTAAATAAAATGTATACTTGTTATCACTCAGGAGAATGCTGATCATATCAAATTTTAATTATTTTTATTTACATTTAATTAAATCAGACATTTAATACATTTGTATTATACATAAATAATGCTGAAACTAATGTACTGTTATCAATTTTTATGTTGTTAATTTTTTTTTTTTTTTTAAATAAAGTTAAATTTTTAAAGATGCGTTGGATATGGCCTTTATTGACCACAGTATAGAGTTTCTAAAAATTGTCACATTTCTAATACTTTAGTGTGTATTTATTATTAGAGATGGAGATATAATTGACCATAAAATTATGAGGATGACAAATAATTTTAATTTTTAGCCCTGATGGCAACCCATAAAACATCAACAAACTTAATATCAATAACAAAATAATATTAATGACTCCATATCCTAATTATTTGCCATATTTTTACTTTAATTAATTAGTTATTAATTTTTTTCTGTTGGTTTTCTATAAAAAAATAATTTTTCTGAAATTGATAAACAAATATCTTTTAAGGCTTATGTTTGTTATAATAATGTTTTTTATTTGTGCTTAGACGCTGTACTGTAGTAGTCATGTACCAAAGAATGAAAAGGAAAATGAATTGACTACTTTATCCGTAATGAGGCGTGTGTATATATCTCGAGACGAAAATCGCCAAGTGGCAGCCATAATGCACCATTCTGAACAGACATCACTTTTGAGAGTGGGTTCCCTGATTTTTTTATCCGTCGGTCAATTACTTCCTCATCAACTGCAAGCATTTCATACACCAAATTATATTTACCCCGTTGGATATAAAATCGTAAGTAACCATTTTATTCGCATGTGTAGTCAATTTGACTTGTATACAGTGTGGTATTAATTATGTTTTTCTTTATTATTTTTTATAGATAAGAATGTACTGGAGCATGCGCACTGTCAACAAGCGCTGTAGATACATTTGCTCCATTGCAGATGTGGATGGCAAACCTGAGTTCCGTATCACGGTAGAGGAGCGAGGTGAGGCAGATATGGAACTTCGTGACACCACTCCAAGAGGAGTTTGGTTGAAGGTTTTAGAACCTCTGGCTGAGCTTCGGAAAGTTTCCTCGGTTGTTCAATTGTTTTCTCGCTATGTTACGGGAGAAGATCTTTTTGGACTTACTGAACCTGCAATAGTCAGGGTTCTTGAATCTTTGCCAGGTTTGTTCTTTTATTTCTATAAAATAATGTTTTTAAACTTGAAAATTAAATATTAAAATTTATATTTGTTTATCAGTAAAAGAATAACAAATATTTCAGTTAAATCATCCTGAATCATTATTGTCTTATTAGTCGATATGCCATTAGCATTTTATTTATGACTTTAGTGTCGTTAAAACAATATATTATAAGAAGACAAGTAAAGAAAAAAAGAGAAATTGAAAAAAAAATGTACACATTTACTGTATATACTTTTAGGTTATATTTATTATACATGAAGTAAACAAAATGTATCTAACAAATACTTACAGAACTCTAAATATATTCAGGTCGGGTTCTGACAACTACACACTCATTCAAAATTACAAAACACTATACATTAATTTACCATAAATTACACATATCAACAGCCACACTACAAAAGCCTATAAGGACAATTTCTTTGGAAAATGAGATTTTAAATTTTTCTGGTCAATCTTGTCCTGTCGCATATTCTGAACCCACAAAATGAAATCTGCGATGTTTCATTTCTTCTCCATGGTTTTTTGTAAAAACCTGTAATTTAAAAACCTGCAAATTATGATGTAAAGAACTAAGTTATTATTAGGCTAAAATTAATTTTTCTCATAAGCTTTGTATATTTTTTTTAAAATTTCTAATAAGTGGCAGGCTTTTCAAGCTTGGCGCCTCTGTGCAAATGCCATGTTTCCTCTGCTCTGAGATCGGCACTGCTTACAGTGGAACTAGACGAAGCAAAGAAGAGAGTGATAATATAATTTTAAATGGCCTTCAAAACAATTGAAACCTCCTTGAGGCTGCAAAATGAGCTTGACTGGAAAAAAAAGCTACAATGCCGCTGAATTCCAGATAGTGAGAGATAGAGAATTAATTTCATTAATTGGAAAATTTAATATTAGAAAAAAAGAAGAAGAAGAAAGAACTAAATGAAGCAATGAATCTTCGAAGTGGCAAGAAGCTCAGAAATAAAGTGATCTATACATCAGCAGGTTATCTAGAACTTCTCAAGCATTCGTGAATCCAAATATTTCCATATGAAGTTGAGTATGTTAAAAACAAATCTTTCATAGACTACTCCTAAATAGAGATGCCCCTACAGTGAGAGACGAAAAACTGAATAAACCCGTCTGATTAAATAATCGCTTTCCAGTCAAATATTTTACAAATTTTTATTTCTCTAAATTTTGGAAACTGACTTTTCCTGCCATGCTTTCATCATTATTATCAAAGTTATGGATGTTACTAATATCTGTTTTTCAAAGTAACTAAAAAGCTATAAGCTAGAAATAAAGGCTCTAAAAAGTTATTTAGCAGAAACACGATAAACGTAGAGCATTAAATCATTTTTAGGCCTGCAAAAAAAAAAATTGAACCAAAATATAATGCTCGTTGAACACAAATTACGCAAGGTTTTTTTCGTCTCCTGAAAATTTTTAGTTTTTGTTCTCACAGGCTTTTGCAGTGTGGCTGTCTATATAACAATTATAATTGTTTTCAAAACTATTGATTGTCCGTGTGTAAACTTAGCTTCTCTATCCCTCTGGCACAAAAAAATTGTCTATTTTGGCTCTCACTCAGAACCTTCTATCAGTGAAATAAACTATTTTTCTTCATGAATGTTCGAGCGTCTTCGGTACCACTATATGAATTTCAGCTCTTTCATTCTACCAAACCAAAGTATTCACCACTAGAGGCCTCCATTAACTCTTGGACCGTCATATGCTCGTCTTGATGTTCACTACATGGTCTCTGTCTACCCCGTAGACAGCCATATACTTGAACAGGCCTTCACCACTCGCTGGTTGTTTATCTACTTCTTACCTAAGCACATGGTTCTTCCCTCTACCTGTATTGCTCTATCTTATTTTCCCTTTCTCGAAAGTAGTTTCCACTGGCATCACTATTTGCTTTGCTCACCCGTCAATATTGACCAATTATTAATTATTTGTACCCTATTAAATTACAATACATAAATGATACTAGCATTACTTTTCAACATTATCTCCTCCTACTTCTATGCACTTAGTCCATCTTATAGCGAGCATTTTAATTCCTTCCTGGAAGATGATTTTCAGCCTATTGTTCAGAGAATTTTGCACTGCTTTAATGGCTGCTTTATCAGATGAATAATGATTCTCTTGCAACTCCTCTTTTAATCGGCCAAAAAGATAAAAATTCGCTTGAAGCCAAGTCTGGATTGTATGTTGGGTATAGTCTAGCTGCTGAAACTGATATTTTGAAGGCACATGCTTGTGTTTTTGGCCGTATGAGGATAAGCATTATCCTGAAGCAAAATCATTTCTTTTGAAAGTTTATTACGTCTTTAGGATTTGATTTTTTACTTCGATAAACGCAGCAGTCCACAGGAACTATCTGTTGTGTGACCTGTAGGGTTTGAAGTCAACCAAAATTGGACCTTTCAAATCCCAGATTATCGTCATAACCTTGTCTGCAGATATCTGAGTTGAACTGTTCATCACACAGAGAATGAGTTTCTCCTCACTGAAAATGAGTTTCCTCAGTTAGTCAGTGAGGAAAATTTCCCGCAGTTTAAGGATTTCATAAATGGATGGAAGACTGCAGTGGGGCCCGCTCACTTTCATATTGGTGCTCGCAGAAGAAGAGGACAAGCGCCAGGAAGACCTCTAGATTCTGAAAGCTAGGCCGAAAGAAGAAGGAAGAAGATAGAACAGAACTGTGTGCACATCTAGTAGTAGTGTGTTATTAAGTATTCATGCCAAAAACACACTATTGCAAACACCCGTATTGCCATTGTGGCATGGGAGGGTGGAAATAAATAAATCACACAGAGAAATTCTACCACTTTTAAAGCAATCAATCCTTTCATAGGTCTTGCTTCCACTCAAACCTTGCTTCAACTCTCTTCATACAGCTGCTGGATTCGACGAAAAATCTGCTGGTTTCACACCTTCACCACAAACAAATGAGAACAAGATGTGTAAATTTATCTCTCAACCAGTACATAAAAATCTACTGTATTCATACACTCATCACTATCTTTTTTACACTGCCTATTTAAATATAAATTAATTTACAAAATCAGTAAGAGAAAAAGTCGTTGAACGAAGTTTCCGAAATAACTAGATCTTGGACCTATTTTCCTTAAAACATCATACCAGATATTTCACAATTCTTTTTGTATCAAGACATAACTGAGCTTAAAGAAAGCCAAGCATAAAATATATAATGTACATCGCTGGTTGGGATTTTTTAATTTACCTACATTTTTTTTTCTTTAGGCGTTGAAACACTTAGTGACTATAAATTCAAATATGGAAGAAATCCTTTACTGGAATTACCTTTGGCTGTGAACCCAACTGGCTGTGCTCGTTCGGAAGGGAAACCAAAAGGTTGGAAAAGAGCTCATACGCAGAGAGCTACGTCTCTTAGGGGGGGAGGAAGTGGTCCTGCGTTTGCTCCATCTGCTCCACTACCCGGAGAACTTGCCTGCCCCTACTCGAAGCAATTTGTTCATTCTAAATCGAGTCAATATAAGAAAATGAAACAAGAGTGGAGGAATAATGTATTTTTGGCCAGGTAAGAATATTTAACATTTTTGGAATTTTTCCATTATAGAACTGATAATATGAACATTTACTTGATACTGAAAATTTACTCATAATTAGATATGATATTACTTTGAACTTATCCACGTTTGTTTTCTATGCGATTGTATGAATCGTCTGTTTTGTCCATTTATTGAAAGTAAAGTTATTCTTTACTTTACTTTAATATCAAATATGTTCATTAATTTTCAGGTCTAAGATTCAAGGATTAGGATTGTATGCAGCAAGAGATTTGGAGAGGCATACTATGGTTATTGAATACATCGGTGAAATAATCCGATCAGAGCTTGCTGAAACCAGAGAAAAACAATACGAAGCTAAGGTAATTTATCTATTGATCGATATTATAAGATTTATTGAATAAAATGAATTTTGCTATTATAAAGTTATTATTGTTTTCAGAATCGGGGTATTTATATGTTTCGTCTCGACGAAGACCGTGTTGTTGATGCTACGTTGTGTGGAGGATTGGCTCGGTATATCAATCATTCTTGTAGTCCGAACTGTGTTGCAGAAACAGTCGAAGTTGACAGAGATCTCAGAATCATTATTTTTACTAAAAGAAGAATTTCTCGGGGTGAAGAGGTAATTGTCCATTTTGATTTCTTTGTAAATTTTAACTTTTATATTAATACAAAAAAAAATATATATAAATTATCCTGCGACTGATATAGAAATATTGAGTAGAACAATTTTTACTTAATAGCATTATTATATTGATCCTTTAATATAATTTCATCAAAAACAACCTGTGCAACAAATTAAGTGTATTAGAAATTTGAAATTATCTGATGTGAATAATGATAAAATAAATACAAAGAAAAGTATTAATTTAAATATTGGGTTGGCAAATAAGTCCTTTCGGTTTTTCTGTTTATTTTTATGTCACTGAGATACACTTCTTCTCTGATGAATAAATCCCTATGCTGGATTGTTTATCCTGTTTGTAATATTTCAACAACTATATCTGTTAACTCTTTTTGAAACACTGTGAACATGGAAAAAAATATCATTAATTATTAGCATATTTTATTGTTTTATTTTAAAAAAGGTAAGCGTGCTCCAGAAGCTCATAGAAAAATTTACAGTTTTTATGAGGATGATGCCTTAACCGAACTCACCTGCCAAAATTGGATTGCTAAATTTCATTCAGGAAATTTTGACATCAATGATGCTCAATGGTCTGGTTGCCCACATCAATCAATCAATCAATTTCAAATTGAAACATACAATCTTAAGGCCATTAAATCCCACCCAATCAGTACGAGAGATTGCTATGGCCCTAAATGTGTCACACACAAGCGTAGAAAACCATTTGCACAAGCTCGGCTATGTTCCCAGACTTAATGTTTGGGTCCCTCACTCTCTGACCGAAGTCAACTTGACAACAGGCGTTTCTGTTTGTGATTCACCACAGAAACGGCAACAAAACGATCCATTTTTGAAAAGGCTGGTAACAGGAGATGAAAAATGGATATTTTACGATAATGTAGTCCATAAAAAATCTTAGGGACCTAGTTGTGAGGCACCTAGAAGAATGTCAAAACCCGGATTGCATCCAAAGAAGTTAATGCTTTCCATATGGTGGGATTTCAAGGATGTAATTTTCTATGAGCTATTGCCATCAGAACAAACAATTGATTCAACTCTATTCTGCTCACAATTTACAAAATTGGATCAGTCAATTTAAAGTAAACGTCCAGAACTGGCATATCAGTTGAATGTTGTGTTCCTACAAGACAACACTAGGTCCCACACCTCATTGGTCACTCGCAATAAATTATTGAGCCTTGGATGGTACCTTTTGCCCCACCCTCCCTATTTACTAGACCTAGCTCCAAGTGACTATCCCTTATTCCGGTCTCTGCAGATATCCATGAATGGAAAGAAATTCCAAAAAGAAGAGGACATCGAAAACCACTTGGAACAGTTTTTTAACAATAAACTCCAGACATTGTATGAACATGATAGTCAATTATTTATTGAAATACTGCCGCATTTAGGTTCAGGCATTTCAACAATGAGAATATGAACCTTGTAGATGAACCCAGATCAGATTGTTAGTGATGATGTTCTTGAATGTTGAACCAGGACCCATATGAAACTATTTGTGATTTATCGGCCCTTATAGGGTCTTGTAATGCCATGGTGGTTCGTTATCTTAAAAACTTAGGTGAACAGAATTTAAGTCTGAGGTTTAACCCGCATGATTTAGTAGAGAGAGGTCCATAGCTCAGCAGTGAGTTAATATTTGCAACATTTTACTTCAAAATCCAAAAGATGACAGGTTCTGGAAAAAAGTGAAGATTTTTTTCACAAGTGGATATTTTTAACACGTTAGCTGCGGCTATGTTCCCCAGGGCCCGATATTCATCTCGAATATCAAACGGCCGGGATTGTTTCGAATTTTGTCTATCTTACGAAGTCTCTAATACTGTAATTTTTAAAAATATTCGAATGGGAGTTGGATAGATGTAAAGATATGAGTGTAACTAATCATTATGCCTGATAAAAAGCTTTTGGATGCCAGGGACCAATACCATACCAGACTGATAAAAAATGATTTCACTACAGTATCATCCCCTGGCGTCCGATACATGCAGGCAAGATAGTGCACATGCATCGTCTTGTCATTTTCCGGCTTCTGTCGCATAGTAGTCGGAGACCACTCCTACAATTGCTGGCCACTTATGAGGACACAATCAACAGATAGAGACTCTGAATAAGAAATTTAGTTTACCTCTGTTGTCAAAAAAAAGCAGTATACCTCGAAGCTGATGCATGTTTCCGGGGACCGATATCGTTGTGAAAGACATTTAAGAGATATGCTCAGCAGCTAATGTGTTAAAAACTCGATAGCTAACATAAGCAGTGCGTTCAACCAGATGCAGTAGTCTTCAGTGCAATGCAAAGTACACCGCTTTGATCAACAGGAACCAAGCCATTTTGCAATACGACAATGCCCATGTACATTGTTCTCCTTCGACCAAGGAAAAGTTATTGAAACTGCAAGCGGTAAACATTTTGCATCCTCTTTTATTTAGAATTATTGCACCATCATGTTACGGTTTGTTTAGATCAATGTCTCATTTTTTAAAAGGCCGGATCTTTGATAATTTTTAGAATGTTAAAATTGGATATGAAGAGTTCTTTGTCTCAAAACCAATGGCATGTTACCAGCATCAAATCCAATTACTTGATAAAAGATGGGTGAATTTAGCAGAAAAAAAGTACTTAATTTGAAGAGTAGAATTGAATAATGATTCAAATATTTAATATGAATTAAAGCTATACTTATGCACAAGAACTTTTGTGACAATCTAGTAAAAGAGTTCCGGTCATTTTGATGCTCTTACTGTGTTATATCGATAAAAAAGGTCAAAATGTACTTAACAGTTTAGGTTTATCAAAAATATACTTAGTGGAATTTTGCAATAAATGAAATTTTTTCTTTAAAATAAAACTTCAAATCACTAATATTTAATCAAATCTCTAATCCTATTATTTGTTTCATTGAACACCGTTTACTAAGTTCTTACTAGGCTTGACCATCATTGGCACATTAAATGTTTTGTTTATTTAGATTAATAGTTTTTTGTCATAAGAAAACTGTTCTGAAAATATGTATTTAATTTTTTGTAATTAAACTTCAGTGTTGTTAAACATGGTGGATTTAGGAAGAAAATTTAGATTGAGAGAGAGAAAATACATGACAGAATGAACAGCTTTGGGTTAGTCTTATCTAATTTCATTTAATTAGCCACTATTTAAGTGGTATTATTTTTACTGTCATATAATTATGTTTACTCGATATTAAAGAAATTATTGTTTGAAATTTTCTAACACATAAGTATTATATTCAAATGAAATATGGTTTAATTTTGTATCTTCTCTCTGTGATTCTGTTAATTTATATGTGTGTGTACACACATGGACATCAATTATGTTTATTTATCACAGTTAAGAATGTGTTAATTTATGATTATATTTATAAGTTTTTTTATTATTATTAATTTAACTGTTTCTTGATATTTTAATGACCTCTGACTTGACTATCTGTTTCAGCTTGCTTACGATTACAAATTTGATATCGAAGACGACCAACATAAGATACCGTGCATGTGCGGTGCCCCCAACTGTCGAAAATGGATGAATTAACTAGGGAATAAATATTATATATTTTACAAAGTAGATAGAATTTATATATATTTATAAATATATAAAACCATATACATAAATATAAATATATACATAGCTTTATAAATATGTACATTTTTTGGGAAAAAAATATATTTAAGGATAATTAAAGTTGTATAGATAATGCCTTTTGCACTGTGTAATAATGTCTATAAATGTAAAGAGTTGTAAAGAGAGACATTTGTACAAAATATCTAATTGTGATATAAAAACTGTTATAATTAACCTCTTCTTGCCAAGAGAGGGAGAAGAATGAATTGATCTAATATGTAAAGTTAGTCTCAGTTTTGTCCTACATATACATATACACATTAATTATTGTATTTACTCTCTGTGTGTATATGTGCATGTTATCTGAAATATGATAATTGCTTATTACAATATTCTTTCTAGTGCCTATTACCTACATATATATATATATATATATTTATATTGAATATAACCTATTTAGAATCGTGAGTGACATTAAAAAAAAAAGAAAAAAAAACTTAACGATTTCTAAGAAAACGCCTTATTACATAAACAATTTTATCCTTACTATTTTATCCACAAAAATATATAAGTATTATAGTACAAAAGATTTTCTAATAATGGAGAATCGTGTATTAATTGGTCGTGTTTTAATTTTATTTAGATTTATTTTATTTTTGTGGGTTAAAAATAAAAGGGTCCAATGTACACATTTTATTTTATCTAAACACTGAGACAATTATTAATATTTATTTTTAAACTTTATTTGAATTTCTCTTGGAATTATTTTAAATATAAAAAGTGAACCTGTAAATAGGGCACTATCTAGTCTTATAATTCAGAGGCAGTTGATGTTTTTCTTTCTTTTTTTTTTCTTTTTAAATAATCGTATTCTCCAAGACTATCATATATTTTTTGATAGTAATATACATATATATATATAAAATTGTATTATACATGTAATTACACAAAACTTTGTTCATCATAACTTAATTCACTATATATTTGTATATCGATTTTTGATAGTTTCTCAAAGGTTGTAATAATTAAGTAATATATATATATATATTTATACGTATATGTACATATATACATATATTTATAAATATATAAATGTAATTATGTTGACTAATGATAGGGTAACTTAGTTTATTATTGTATATGTTTTATATATTTTGTGTATCGTCTTTTTTACAGAGTTTAGGATGATGTGCAAATATGAATAGTATATCAGCTATATATAATTCTTCCCCTCCCCCATGTAATATGTATCATTTAAACCTGATTATCGTTCTGTATAATTTTATTTTTGTTTATTTTGATTTTGTATATATGAGTATGGTTACCGTAAAATAAGAGAGAAAATATGAAATTTTATCAAATCTTTTTTTTTTATTTGAATTTTAGTATGTTTACTTCTATGGACTGTCGTATATATAGAAGATGTTTTAAATTAAAAATTAATTATATCTAAATATTTGAAAATAATATTGTTTTTAATTTAGATCTGTTTTTTTTTTTTTTTTTTTTTAATAAGCTTTCGTATACAAATCACTTCGAAAATCAACCATAAAATATTCATCGGAAGAATAGTTAGTCTTAATTTTTTTTTTTTTTTTTTTGAGATATATAATAATTAAAAGTTATTTTAGTATCGTTTCTTCAGTCGAAGGAAATATCCAATACGAAAGCTTAAAGAAATTAATTTAAATGTAGATATAATTAATTTTTTCTTATATATTTATATATATGACATTTAGTTTAATTTTTCTTGTTTTCTTTTATCTTAAAACACAATGAGCTAGTGGTTGATTTTTACATATTTAAAAATGTGTGTAGGCGTTAATGTTTTAATATGTCTAAACACAAATTATCGCGAAATCCAATGCAGCAATAGAAGTATAGAACATCGGTTATTGTTGCTTTAAATTCAACCATGTATTGCATCATTGTATGCAATGATCGCATTGTGCCTATTTTCAAAAAAATTAATAAAAAATTAAAAAAAAAATTGCGATTGTAAATTTATACAGTTTTAAGTTGTATAAAGTATTTATATCTTAGATTTTAAATAGGGAAAATAAATATATAGATATGATTTGCACTGCAAAGTTGTTTAGTGCAGATAGGTTTTTTGTTTTTTTTTCTTCCAAAATTATTCTCAGTAAGGAAAAAAAAAGAAAAAAAATTGATTATGTCATTGTGTTATTCTGATATCGGGGTATTTGATTTTAGTCTTTTGTGTGTTCAAAATGTCGACCATCACTAACACACCTGTATTTTTATTATTTTTTTTTTTTAAAGAAAATAATTTTAATGAATGATGCATTGGAATGACCCTTGACATAAAATGAAATCGAAGCACTTTAAATATAGAAAAATATTGTATTTAATTAGCGAAATGTAACTTATGTTGTTTTACATTTTGTATATCTACATATTGTTAAATTTGGCATATGTTAATTTTGTTTCATTAAAATAGTTACTTTTATTTTACAATTATATTATATAGATGCTTTATTTAAGAAGAACATTATTTGAACTGTCTACAGATTCTCATATATTGTAGTATAAGAGATATTTTCAAAAAAAAACTTAAAAAAAAAAAACAAACTGTTGAAAATTATATGTTGTATAAATAAGTGTTGTTTTTTTGTTTTGATTTTTTTTTCATGAAAAAAAAGAAAAAAATCATTAACCCTTTCTTTCTATTTTTAATTATTATAACATTTTATTCTCACATTGACCACTGTCAAGTCTACAACGTGCCGTAGATGTCGTAAATTAAATTAAAACGTTTTGAGAAACTTCGGAATAAGTCTTACAAGATATGTGCTGTAATACATCTTAGTACCCTAGTATTCAGGGCCTAAAATTTTAAAATTGAAATTTTAAAAAGAGGAAAAAACATATTAATACCAATCCTTTATTTTTTAAAATCGATTAGAAGTAATTATTCACACATAAATTTGGAAACAATACAATGGATCCATAATAATAATTCAATGGTAAAAGAATTCAAAAAATTGGATTTCTAACATTCCTAATTTCAACATTTAGTACTGGCATATTAATACCAGGCTAATTTTCTGGATCCTCAAAGAAAAGTTAAGTTGATCCATTTGTCTAATGTAATGAAATGACCTGGATGTTCTTAAGATACTAGTGTCTTATTCCTAACAGAATGGCGAGGTATTAAGAAAAAAAGTGAATTTTATTCTGGAACATTTAGTATAACTATAATGAACAACGAAATGACAATTGTCTGTCTGGCTTTAGAATAAAAATAAAAATAAATTGATTTACAAAGTTATATTAAAATAAAGAAAGGACACTGTAGTAGATATATGATCTTGCAGTAGACATGAATTTAAAGATAAATACATACAAGTGAGTTCATGTATTTGTACAAATAAGCAATATGGAATATACATGGCTGTCCCCAAAATAGTAAATTGTGGCTGACATCTCTAAAATAGAGTATAACATTCTTTTTACATGTATTCGGAAGATTGATTACTGAGGAGAGAGGAAAATAAATGGTGTTTGAATGAGGTCAAGGAGGGTTTCCATTGGTAGGGAATTCCAAAACAAGGGAGCACGTATGATGAAGGATTTTTTAAAGGAAAGAGTTCTACGAGAAGGAATAAACAGGTTTGAGGGTTGATTGAATGAACAGAGGAACAAGGAGTAAAAAATCAAGGTTTTTTGGTTGTAAAGGCTCGGAAAAGGAATAGACCAAGGAAATATTGCTGTCGGAAAACTGGATAGAGCCACTTCAACTCGGCATATTATGGGAACGCCTGGGGACTCCAAAAATAAATCTAATGAAACAATTCATTAACCTCTTTAATCTGATCTCAAGTCCACTGTATACAAGGCAGCCATAATCGAAGTGAGGAAACTGAGAGAGGAAACTAGGATTCCTAGATTTATAGGACAGAATTGTGAAATTATCCAAAAAATTTTAGTTTGATATTAATGATTTGGGAAAAGACAAGAGTTTTGGCCTTATGTGATAAGGTATGTGCATATAGTATAAAGTCTATATTTTTATTATATCTAATATTCACCGCAACAACAACCAGTGAAGGATCTTAATTGAGAAAATCATTAATAATAATAAGTATGTTTCTCAACCAACATTGTACAAGAGGATAAGGTAAGTCATGCTCAATCACCCATTACTAACTGGCCTTATGGAGTGGTGGGATCAGTAGCAGATCTATAGGGGAGCTTTTGGGCTGAAGCCTCCCCCCCCCCCCCCAATAGGAACATTTATTGTTTTTCATTGGTTTATATTTGTTACTATGAGTGATCTAATCAAATACTTTAACAAAGTTCTATTTCGTAAATTATAATGTGTATACAACTACTAAATTATACATAAAAGTATTATTGTTAGTGTAATTACATTTCTTTTTTTTAATTGAACTTCAAGACTCAGTTAAACATCATTTCCTATCGGTAGTATTTCGTTTTCTTCCAAAGTTATCATTATATACAATATATAAAAAAAAAATTCTGAAAATTAAGCTGAAGCTGTCCCAAAATTAAATGCTGGATCCACTACTGGATGGTATTATAACTAAAAGGGACAAAATGTATAAGTGAATAAAGAGAGGGTTAATGGAGAAAAAATGCTTGTTATTTTTCATTTGTTAAATCAATGTCACAGACATCACTAGGACCAGAAGATGTGATCATTCCCTCACCTTTCCAATATTTGGAAATACAAAAAGTTGGAAGATTTGAGAACCTAATTTCTATCTGAGCCTACTGCAAAACATTCTCTCAAAATGTTACTAAAATTTAAAACCAATACCTAACTTTAGCCTTTAGGAATTGGAATTTTATAACATGTAGTTTTAATAGCAAATAAAATTACTGTCATGAAATAACAACATTTTAAACAAGTAAATAAGCTCAAATCCAAAAGGGTTGTTAAAATAAAAATATTATTTTTAATGAATCGTAATTTTTGAATTCCCTGACATTTTCTTCAAATTTTTAATATTGTCGGATATACAATTTTGTAATCTGTTAAAAAGGATTTAAGTAAATAAATAAAATTCTAATCTGCATGGCGTTAATTAAGATCATTATGGAATTTCGTTAATATATTGATTATAGGGTGAAAGTACCTAGTAACAATAATATTACATCAATAAAATTGGCTGGAATAAGTTTATTTGTATTCTTTTCAAGATTTTTCTATATAATTTTCGGTTTTTATTTATTAAAGTCTTTGGAATTATCTCCTAATTTATTTATACATACATAATACATTTTATTATAATAATAAAAACTATAAATACATATAGCAATATTTTAGTAAAATGAGAATTGTGTTGACAATTCTGGAGACCAGAAATATATTTTGTTAGTTACGTCCTTGGTTTCTCCAAAGAAGTAGGTAGATACTTTCTTTCTTTTTCCTGAACATGAATAATGGTAAATTTGATATCACTCCAATTGCCTTGGCTATGGCATTAAAAGGTAAGATCATATAATAAAAATATCTTCCTATTTTATTATTGCAATCTATGTTTATATTGGTTGTCCCATAAGTACTGGGGAATATTTAAATAGCTGATAGTAATCCTCAAGAGCTACAAAACATAATACAGAGGCCACAGTCTGATTTCGCACTGTTGTAATTAGTTCCAAGTAAAACCTCTAAGTTTTTTTTTTTCCAAGCCACATTTTGTATTATTTAGTGGAGGAGATGAATCAGGCGAACGCGTAGTCTCGGGGAATGTGCACGAAGGGAGCCCGGGCTGGGCTACAATGTTTTGTTTTTAACTTTTAAATTTACAATAAAATGAAGTATAGATAACATTACATATATTATATAATCTCTTTACATCGTATTTTTGTTTCATACATTATAAAAGACGAAGATGGGTTTTAATGGCAATTTTAATATTTGACAGGGACCTAGAATAATTATCTCTGAGATCCTCGATTTATCATCAAGGCCAGGAAGCGATAACTAAAAAAATATTTAACTAAGGTAATTACATCTTGATTATTTAATAAACTAAATTACTTAATTACATAGAAAACTGGACTAAATTTGTTTCAAATATAAACACAATTTGTCTTTGTTAAAACCCTTTCAAGAGGGCTTTTAAGCAGCTAAGCTACGCTAAATTCTATTTTCCATAAAACCAGGGATTATTCCCGTTTTTTTCTCTCTTAATTTTATACAAAAATCAATAAACTTTTCAGGCCTTTGTCGTGTTTACTAGACTATGAATTTGAACAAATCAATCGAAATACATTGCATTAATTATTATTATTTTTTATATTTCTTATTAGCGCCTGGTATTTATTTTCTCTCTTTCGTTAAAATAAATGTTTTATAACGAAAACGTTTTTCAATTATTTAAATAGATTATATTTAAATGTAATTATAATTATATTATTAATTTATTTTATAAATCATAGTTTTAGGCAAAACTTTTGGAACTGGAACTTCAGATTATGGGAAAGTTCCAAAACTCACCGCTGAGCTCATCGAAGGCATCGGACCCGTTTCTAAACTGGAGAAATGATTACCATCCATTGGACTTGGAGGAACTTGCGTTCGTTAACGTTCTTCTCAGAGATTAGGTTCCAAATAACCGTTCCACAGTTCCATAACATTCATATTCATCACTTCTGGCAGCTAGTACAATTTTAGCGAGATAATAGTCAAAATGGATCAAATTGGTTAGAAAAACATTCTTGTCCTGTTTTCTTTTTTATGGCATGTTATTGTTGTTATAAAATTTGGATTAATTTATAAGGTTTTGGTTTTTTCTTGATAAAGTTTTTTAAATATTTAAACGTTAATTTTCATATAAATTTAAATGCAGTTTATCTTTGACTTATTTTTATTTTCCTTTTCTTCCAGTTCATAATTTACTAAAAACTTGAAATTTCTGAGGACGCTGTTTAGAATTAGATCGAGGTGTAAATAAAACTCAAATTATTGTTGTTTTAATTATTCTCAATCTATGTTCCAATACCCCTTCAACTCAAGTGAAACATACATTCGAAAATAAAATATAAAAACTAGAGAAATATTAAGGAATCTGATATGTTTTCAGTCTGCACTGTGAACCGAAACTTTGACAAGATCAATTTAACACTACACTTGTGAATTTTATTAATATGTTGACTCCATCATTTCATCATGTTAAGAAACTTCTATTTAATTAGATTAGTCCTGTTGGTTTGTTATAAGTTGTCTTTTAATTAATGAAAAACACTTTGTTGTTGCATTCTTAGTGGCACCTTGTTATTTAAGTTTCTAGTTTACTGTATTATTAATTTTTGATCTATTTGCATCTGTAGTTATGTTATAAATATATTTTTGAACTATTTGAATACTGACATTGTAGATTAATTATTTAATTATAGATAAAATCAATACATGGAAAAAAGGTTGACAGTTTTATTTATATAATTAGAGAAGTTGTTATTTTGTATTTGCTTAGCCCTGATGAAGGCCTAAAACGTCGACATGAAGAAAATAAACAATCTTTTCTTATTTAAATGCAATTCTCCTCCCTCCTCCCCAGCCAACTTCTCTTACAATAGCAATCTACTATCAACCACTTCTTTATCAGTTTTATTTATATTTAGTTTTAACAATTGATCATCTCTTGTGAATATTGGTTATTTCATTATATTTTAAAATCTACAAAGTTCTCAGATAGTGTAATTATACCATATACATATATTTGTCATGTCTTTTATTTAATTTTTCAGTTGTAAGTAACCCATGTGTTTCTGTGAAAGAAGAAATCACAGATGAAGCTGAGTCTTCTTGTAAGTATTCTGCATTTCAAAGTTTTTCAATTATTTCTAATGTTGTCTCTAATCCTTACAATATTTATTAGTTTTTGAAGCTTTTTATTCTGGAATGAGGTTTCTTTTTATATCCAGTATAAGGATACTTATTTCATTTCATTCATAATAATTCAAATTGAAAAATATATTATAATCTCCTGTCAGTAAGATAATATTAAAGATGTATCAATAATAAGTTTACTAGAAGATTGTTAGGATTTGGTCTAATTTATATTCCTTTACATTTGTTTTATAAGTAATATTGTTTTATCATTATTTTAATATTATATTTTGAGTAACATTGACTAATTATTCAAAATATAATAATAGAAAATGAAAATATTGGTGAAATTTTGTTGATTTTTAAAATTTAACATTCGTTTTATTTTGCCATAGTTTCCTCATTGGATTTCAAAGAAGAGAAAGGACCACAGACATACCATGGTAAGGAAAATTTGATATTATTCTATATCTCATGAAGAGAAGTTATAATTAATTACATTTGTAATTTTTTCCTTGCTTGACATTGACTCTTATAAGATTTTTTTTTTCTTTTAATATTACCTTCTTTAAGATACTATTTACATGTTGGCAGATGGACTTATCCATGTTAAACAAGAGGAGGAAATGCTTATACCATATGATGGTGAGAAACATCTTAATTATCTTTCAAGAGACAATCATACAAATAAAGTTGCTTTACATTTTATCTTTACCTTTTTGATCTTCGCCCTTTATTACCTTGATCTGTTTCTTGAACAAATATTCTATTTACCTCCTTCAGAGATTCTGTTTTCTCCTGATTTTTTAAAATTAGTTTTCCTAAAATATTTGCTTAAAAAGATTTTCTGTGAAATAATATTTATTCTTTCATAGATTTATTTTGAAATTCTTTTTTTTTATGCAAGTCATTGGGGGAGGAGGGGAGGGGACTTTTTATACATAAGACTCCAAGCACTCCAGTGAAAACTGTCATAGGGTAAGCGCGAGTTTGAATTTGAAAATCAATCTCCAGAAATAACATCCAGAAGGTATACGTGTAATATATCATAGAAAATCAGAGAATTTTAGAAAAAATAGTATCAAATAAATAGAAGGTAACAGAGATTGACGAAAAATATATAAATAATAATTTCAGAAAACTTAACATTATTTAACATAAATCATCTGTTTCCAAGGAAAGTAAATTAAATTTTCTTACTAAATATAGACTTTTAAATTTTTTCTGAGAAAAAAAAAAGTATTTAAAATCCACCGAATCAAGCCAATGCTATTGTTTAAAATACTATTTCATTGTACTTGTGTGAAAGAAGAAGTGAAATATAAAAATATTTTATGGATATGTTTATAACCTTAAATACATTTACTGTTGTTTAATAACTCTAGATATGATATTATATTTAAATAATCAGGTATCTGACAGTAGAAATCATTTTAGAAAATTTAATTAGTGAATAATTTGATGAATTTTCTCTTTGTGAAATCCCGACATTATCCACTTACAATTTTTGACCTATCCATGACAGGCAATAAAAATCTCTTAATTTCATTTTACAATGGGAAATAACAGTTTAATAACTAATAGTCATACAATCCATAATCAATTAAAGATTAAATATTCAAGTATACTTTAAAATCTGTGGCAAAATGTATATCTTTATTCACAGTTCTATATTTCAACACTGCAAACACTCTGAAATCAACTTACTCACTGTCTGTATAGATATAACTTTTCCAACTAGAAATATCACTAAAATGACATTACTCAAAAATGTTGAAATTGGAGTTAGTCATTCTGTCAACTGAAAAGCTCAGAGACTGAAGTTGTGTGGTTTATAAAAGCAGATGGAATAACTAGATTTTTATTGCCTACTGTCGATATAATAAATAGACTTTTTTTAATTTTAATGGTCTTAATGATTTGTTATTTATAAGCTTTAAGCTTTAGCTCTGTTTAAAATGCACTTCAAAAATTATATAATAGCCCAACGTTGCCAGAAAATAATTTATATTCAAAGTAGAGTTGTAATTGAAAATTGTGTGTTGCGCGCACCAGATTTTTAAAAATTAATAATTGACATGTGAAGGACATAGCTAAGAAATTTTTTTTTTTTTGCTTATGCTGCTGTAATTATTTTCGTTGTAAACTTCCTCTTTGAACATTTAGAATTTCTAGGGTTCCCTTTTTCTATTTAACTCTTTATAGTTGAAAAAATATTCAATTATGGAGGTATAATCACCATTAAAAAAAACAAAAACACCTTTTTGCATTAATGATGGACACCCCGAAAATTCAATTGTTCTAGTAATGGATAGGGGATGAGTACCAGTGATGTACATATGTCAGAAAAATTCTAAAATCTTTAACTATAAAGATAACATAACATAAATGTTCAACTTACTCTTAGCAAAACTGTTAGTAGGGAGATATGAAACACTGATCTCAAGAGCACTATAGAAACAACACAGATAGGCATTCTAAAATTTTCTTTTGAGAACTTAGTTCATATAGTTGTCAATAGAGGGAATTGTTCTTCAATCTAGAAAAAAACTGGAACCTTTACATCAACAAGGAAGCTTATTATTTACATTTAAAGTCCAACCTGTCCATCAATGGCACCCTGTCCATAACTGGTGCGTTCACCCTAGTTGTATTACAGATACAAATATGTTTTAATTATTGATCACCTAGAAGAAAATTGTAATATTCAACCAAGAGATAGGTTAAAAGTTTGAATTTTCTAAATTGAAAATGCAACAACGAGGCAACCATAGAGATAAGAATATCTATTTGGTAAAACAACATTTATTAATAATTTATAAATATAATTGTTTAAATATAAATGTTAAAAACAGCAATGATCTTTGACTATTATTTTGACTATTTATTTGTTTTTCTCTTCGCCTCAGGTTGTGCTTTTTCTTTTGGGGTATATATGTTTATATTTTATACTTTTTGTCTCTCTGTGTACCAATATGAGTATGTACGTATACATAGTTCTTTTTTTGCTCTTTATACCACAAGTAATCCTGAGATTTTATTTTATCTTAGTGTTTGCTTATTATTATATGAATCACTGTAGATATTATTACATCTTGTATTAAATTATTTTTCTATTAGATAGCCTATTGTTTATAAATTGTGCAGTAATGTATATATAGATATGAAATTTCTTTTCTTTTTTTTTTTCATCACAATAATATGTAATTTTGAGAAGATTTTATATTCATTTATATGTATGTATATATATATATATATATTTTTTTTTTTTTTTTTTTTTTTTTTTTTTTTTTTTTTTTTGTTTATTTCTTAGTGGTTACATTCTACTTTTTAAATAATGTATATAATGTTAGAATTTTTATAAGTTAATTTTTGGCCGGATTTGTATTTTATTTTGTATTAATTCATCTTTGTTATTCTAAGAGGACTTAGTCCCAGGCTAAAGTTCAATTTTCAATTCTTAAAAAAAAAAAAAAAAAAAAAATAAGAAATACATTTGACATTTTTTTTTCTATAATTTAGAGATGTATTGATGAAAACAAATAATTGATATTTATTTTTTGTAAAAAGGAACGAAAAATAGCTCCCAAATCGGCACTTCTTTTACCTTTATTGTCTTTTGCTATACCTTATAAACTATTTTGAAATTTGAATGTGATGTTAAACATAAAAATTATTTTGCATCAAGAAGTTTTATTGATTATATTTAATCTATAACTTTGTCTTGAATTTTATTTTTAATGTTATTTTTTCTTAGTAAAATAATAATTATTAAGTTTTGATAAATATTGGCCAATTTTTAAAATAAAATAAATATTTTTTTTTTTAGTTGCAGTTCCAACTGTTGTTATCAAAGTAGAGGATGGGCTGCAGGTTGATTGTGGTGAGGAAAATTTATAATTTTTATGTGTTTTAGAAGTTTTTAATCAGTTTATTTTTATTAATTTAATTTATATGAGGAGGTATACTGGAAAATTATAACTATTGGCTTTCTTAATTAATTAACAAATTACCATAAGATGGAGATAACGTTGGGACAGCGGGTATAATTTAGTTTTAGTAATTCCCTGTTGGAAACACTGTGTTGGTTCAGTCTGCAAAAACTTGCCTTGTGTACATGTACTGTGCTACTACCTTGCGGCAGTTTGAGAACCTGCACTCACTTTGCAGTTAGGTTTTATTTATTTCCATAGCTTTTTTCAAAATTCTTGTTTTCATGAAACTTTCCCTTGTGCCTCAAGAACTGGAAACATCAGATTATTGAAGTATTAATATCAGTCATGAATCAACAAGGAATCTTAATGACTTAACCCTATTAGGATTATGATATACATATAATGTTTCTTTTTAATAGATGACTAACATCACTATCATATTATGTTAAATGTGGTTTTGTATGAAACTGATTGTGTATGGGTTTTATAGATGGCTTGAAAATGGCATCATAGCCGAAATGTAGTTGATGTGGAAGAAAAATGAAAATAAATGTTGTAAAAAAAGCAGCCTTTCTTTATATGAATTAATTTTTCATATAATAATAAAAATTTGTAATTCATTAGTAAACATGAATTTATGGTAATATTTATTGTTTAATAGGTGACAAGGATCCTCTCATGAAGGAAGAGGATATCAATCAGTACGACTTAGAAGATAATGTGAACATGGCTTTAAATGAAGACGCGACCTCCGATAAGCCTCATCAATGCCCTCATTGTGATCATAAAGCAGTAACAAATGACAATTTAAAAACACATATAAAGCACTGTCATGCAAATGAGAAGTCCCATCAATGTCCTCATTGTGATTATAAAACTGTAAGATTAGAATGTTTAAAATCACATGTAATGGCTCGTCATACAGGTGAGAAACGTCATCAATGTCCTCATTGCGATTATAGGTCAATAAGTTCTGGGCATATGAAAAGGCATATAAAGTTTCGCCATACGAGCGAGAGGCCTCATCAGTGTCCTGATTGTGATTATAAAGCCGTATTGTATCAACAATTGAAAAAACATATTATGGACCATCACACGGGTGACAAGCCCCATCACTGTCCTCAGTGTGATTATAAAGCAGTGTTAGCGTATCGTTTGAAAGAACATATAATGTACCGCCACACAGATAAGAAACCTCACCAATGCCCTTATTGCGAATTTCAAGCAATACAGACTGGCTATTTAAAAAAACACATAATGGCCCGTCACACTGGCGAGAAGCCTTATCAATGCCCTTATTGCGATTATAGGTCAGTATTATCTCAACAATTGAAAAAACATATAATGTCGCATCACACAGATCAGAGCCCTCATCAATGTACATACTGTGAATATAAAACAGTCGATTCTTACACTTTGAAGAAACATATCATGGCCTGTCATACGGGTGAAAAGCCTCATCAATGCCCCCATTGCGAATACAAAGCAGTTCAAGTAGGTAATTTAAAACTACATATATTAAACCATCATACAACTGAAAAGCCACATCATTGTCCCCATTGCGATTTTAAAGCAGTGTCGCCTCAAAAACTTAAAAGGCATGTAATGGGCCGTCATACAGGTGAGAAGCCTTTTCAATGTCCGCATTGCGAATATAAAGCCGTACAAATTAGTAATTTGAAAACGCATGTAAAGCACCGCCATACGGGGGAGAAGCCGTTTCAATGTCCTCATTGCGAATATAAAGCGGTACAAATTGCTAATTTAACAAACCATATAAAGCACCATCATGCAGTTTAAAAGCCTCATTAATGTCCTTATTGTGACTATAAAGCTGTATTATTGCTAATTTGAATTGTATAATGTCTTACCACACAGGTAAGAAGTTTTATCAATATTATTGAAGACTATAATAATTAGTGATTTCAGACTATTATACAGATAAGATGGCTTATCACTATCCTCAATAGGATGATTAAGTATTATTATTATGTTGTTTGAATGAATAATTATTATTTTTTCATATTGTTGAGAAAATTCCATGCATGACTTACATCCTTTTTGAGCCTTTAAGGACTTAACTATTGAGATGAACTCGGAAAACAACTTTCCCTAGCTAATGAGTAAGGACTGCTACCCTTACTAAAAAGCATTAGTGTGCGGAGAAACAGTGGTGCCTTACTTCTTTTAAACTCCTGTAATAGAACAAGTTATAGGAAGAATTATAATGGAATAGAAGAATGAAAGAATTAAAATTTTAAGTAGAAGATTGCTTATTGATTTGTTGATTAGAGTTGGCATGCATATTGCTGTTTCTTCTGAATCTCATGTTGCCAAGAGACAAGAAAGTAAAAAAAAAAAAGGCTAAGAAAATATCTGTCTCTTGATTATGAAGTAGCAAGAATCGCTTGTAGGAAATCACAAGGTTTATTTTTTCTTTTATTTTAAATTTTATAGGATTATAACTTTGCTAATGAAATAGTTAAGGGAGCGGGGTAGCTCAGTGGGTGAGCAATGACTTCCAGAGCTCATGGTCCCAGCCGCCCAGGTTTGAATCCGGCTGATGACTAGTAATTTTTCATCAGCTGTGGGTCGACCCTGGGGCCGGGAGACCCTTCCTGGGACAAACTAATCCTCTATAAATTTGGTACCCTTAATTAAATAATTACTTAAGGTGGAAAAACTGGCGGATGAGCGTGATATTGGTCCGTCACCTCTCTGCACAACCATTGGCCTTGTAACAGTACTTCCTCACATTGTACTGGACCCATGACTCTTCATGGGCTGTTAGTGGTACAGGTTTTTTTTTATAGTAAAATAGTATACTAAATTAAATTAATATAAACAAAATTTTGAAAGTTTAAAAATAGAAAATGCTTGTTAATTTACGGTTTTAAAATTACTCCTGTTTGCTGCTGCTGGTATGCTGTAGTATAAAGGTTTGTATAATTCACAGTTTTGGTTTATGCTGTATTTTCATATTTAATAAATAACAAAAATGAGTTTTTTTTTTATTATTTCCTAACCTGAAAAATGTTCAAATAAAATCATATTATGATGGGGATATACTTTATGATAGATGTAATCAGAGAGAAGATATGGGCAAGTTTCTGAACTCAGTACCGAGATCATCGATGAGCATCAGAAATCCATCAAGTGCTGAGTTTAGAAACTCCCTAGTAACACAACATGAGGAGAAACCTTTTAGGTCTCATGTGCCTAACAATAATCTTTTGTTAGTGAAATAGCAATCCAGGTATGAATTAGCACAATCAATTAAAATAATATAAAATAAATCATACTGTTAAAAGACAAAAAAGGTATTTGACAAGGTAGATTTCAAATTATTTGTAGTGAGAAGGCTTTTCGTTCGAGTATAACCGTTAACCTATGGTTCCATCTAAAAGGTTATCTCTTAATTTGTTTGTCTATAATTTGATTTGTGGTTGATTAGAAAAGAAGAACCCAGAAAGGTAATAACTTTAATTTGTACCGAAATTTCAACTTAATATTAATTTTTTATAATTTTCTTTCTTTGTCAATTCTCATGAAATGAAAAAGGAGATTCTTTTTAAACACAGGTATGATCATTGTTTTAAATGATAAATGGTTCCCACTTTATAATATTGATATGTTTTTTAAATCTGGTATAATAAATATATTTTGGTTCCTTTTAATGTAGGCGTTGATTAGCTATACACTGATATTGTGTTATATTGACACAATATTCATTAGCTGTAAGTAAATAAATTAACTAGTTGAAACACTGGGTCAATAAGTAACAGAAATCAGTTTATTAAATACAGTAATGGGAAGTACTGGAAATATAAGAATTACATCACTGTATGAGATTGTTTTAATTAAATTTAATTGGCAGTTGAAGCCAAACCTTGGAAACTCTTGATTTCTTTCCACAGCCCTGTCCACCTGCCATTTGTTCAGAAAAAGCCTTATTATACAACATTGATGAGTTAATAAGTCTATAAACTCTTGTAGGCAGTTCTACAAGACTATTTCATTTAAACTTTTTGAAGAGAAACATTTCATGTAATTCTGTAGAACATGTCTTTCATTACTGTATATTCTTCTTAGATGAAAATATTCAGCAACTTAGAAAGCCCAAGAAGAAAAACTCATACATGTCTTCTGAATGCAAATTTATTTTATTTATAAGAGAACAATAGTTTATTAGTAACTATTCTATGAATTGTGTTATAGTAATAAATAAAATGGAATAGGAAATTATAGTAAATCAAGATTATTTATTTTTTGAAAAATTCATTTATTTTAGATATAAATAAAAAAACAAAAACCCATGATGGAGAAAAATATATATAATTAGGCCTTGAAATGTGATAAAATGCTTTTCATGGTATTTTCTCTGAATTTGTAGTGTTCTTTGATGAAGAGATCTTCAAAAATATAAAACTAATTTAATAAGAAAAATTTAGTTTCCAGATTTTATTTTTTTACTGATCCCTGTCTTATTTTTATTTATGAAAATTAATCTAATATGAATAATCTTATATTTAAAATTAATGAAATCTAATTAGAATCAATGAATAATCTAATATGAAAATTAAGCAAATAAATAATTAAGTTTAAAGTCTATCAGTTCCATTGTGAAGAGTAAGTTTAATCAAGGTTTTTTCAGTAACCGATTGAATGCCAAAGAAGTCTAATTTATGGTGAAGAAGAAACTTAAAAATCAAAATATTTAAAAGTATGATATAGTTATGTCAAAAAGTAATGATTTATTTAATTTTATTGCTGGAATTCAAACATTTTAGTATCAATAAAAAAAAATATTAAAAATTTATTATATAAACTTATAATTAATAACAAATAAAAATGTAGAATGGTTTCCTTATGATGTATATGCATACTTCTCTTTTTTTTCCATTAAAGAACTATTATTTCTTTGATGAAACTCAATTATTCATGTATTCATTAATTATACTAGACTACAAATCTTATCGAAACTGAGGCAGTGAAATTATTGTAAAATTAATTATTATCCATTGATTTTTTTAAATTTTAAACTATCTTCAATTATATAGTTGAATTTAATTTGTATCATTTATTGATTAACATTATTATTATTATAAATTAATAATTACTTAACTGCAAGGCTCCATAATGGCGATTGTCAAAAAGGTTTGTTATGATAAGGAAGCTATTCAAATGTACCATCGTCAAATGCATCATCATATTCAAACATAATTTTAACTTAATTTTTTTGTTTATATGAAATTCTTGTTTTCCCATTTATGAATCTGAATTTGTTTCAAGGACCTTCTGTAAACCAAGCAGAGAATCCATTTCAGATAACTATACTTTTAGAGACAGTAAGAGAAAGTAACTTGGCTCAAAAAAAGATCTGATCTGTATATTATTTATTTTATATAAATGAAACCAATGAAACCAAAAGAAAACAATAAATAAATTGTTTTTTAAATAGTAGTTAAATAACCGTCAAAACATTATTTATTTTCTATAAATGAGAAACACTTAACATTTTCGACAAATTTGAAAGTTTATTTTAGTCCTCTCCAAGATTTAATCTCGAATTTTCTATATTATAGATAATATGCTACACTTGGTAAGTACTAACTACTTTCAGAATTGTTAAAACACTTTTTCAACCAAATTGAACGAATATCATAGTCAAAAACCATATTTTTTAAAAAATACCTTTCTGTAGAAAGATACCTTTGTTTTGAGGGCAATAAATAGTAAAGATTTCAAAAGTTTTAGTACATATGTCAACTATTTTTTAAATAAAAACAACTATATTAAACATTTAAATAGTATAATTCTGAATTTTTACATTTAAAAGCTATATTTTCTGAATTTGTAACATTTAAAAACTAATTTTCTTGAATTTTTAACATTAAAAAAAACTAATTTTCCTTAATTTTTAACATTTAAACCTATATTTCCTGATTTTTAACATTTAAAGACTATATTTCCTGAATTTTTAACATTCAAAACTATATTTATGAACTTTTACATTTAAAAACTACATTTTCTGAATTTTTAACATTAAAAAACAATTTTACTGAATTTTTTACATTAAGTAACTAATTTTCCTTAATTTTTTACATTCAACACTATATTTCCTGATTTTTAACATTTAAAAACTATATTTCCTGAATTTTTAACATTTAAAACTATACTTATGAACTTTTACATTTAAAAACTACATTTTCTGAATTTTTAACATTAAAAAAACAATTTTACTGAATTTTTTACATTAAGTAACTAATTTTCCTTAATTTTTAACATTCAACACTATATTTCCTAATTTTTAATATTTAAAACTATATTTCCTAAATTTTTAACATTTAAAAGAAAAATGTACGGCAAATAATAGAATTTAAACAATAAAACTAAACATTTGTCAAAAATATATGAATTACCGTTGCAATAATTTAAAAACTAAACTGTGTATTATAGGAAAAATCATTTATGAATTTAATGGAAATCGTGTTATTCGGATGTAATTGTATTTTATTTACTTCTTTAATAACTCTGAAAATGACTAATTTGTCATAAAAATGTATTATTTGAAAAATAACGATTTAGTTATGAAAATTGTCAAAAGACAGCAGCACTAATCAAGAAACCTTAAAAAAAAAAAATAATAGTTCAATTTAATGCCGCAAGAGGCCAGCACCATCCAGACATGTATTATGTTCCGAAGCGGAATTCCTACGGAATATTTTTAAATTTGTATTAGGATAGTGGGAGGTTAAAGGAGCTCACTAGTAGAGCTCATGGCTTGTCTGGATGGTGCTGCTACCTTGCGGCAGTCACAAGAACTACAAGTGCATGTGTACTTAGAGCATACCTACTAGTTGAGCTCCTTTGACCTCCCACTATCCTGATACAAAATTAAAAAATTTTGCTCGGATTCGGCTCGGAAATACATGTCTCTTGCTAGAATTATTATTTTTAAAGGTTTCTTGATTGGTGCTGCTATCTTTTGATAACTTTTAAAACTAATTATTATTTTTTAAATTATGCCTTATTATGACAAATTAGACATTTTCAGAGTTATTTGAATAGTAAATAAGATACGATTGCCAGTTTAATGTTTAAATTCACTTATTTATGGTATATTTTTGCCTTAAATGTTATAAATTCAGGAAATATTGTATTTAAATGTTAAAAATCAGCAAATATAGTGTTAAATGTTATCAATTCTGGAAAATTAATTCTTAAATGTTAAAAATTCAGGAAAATTCTTTTTTTAATGGCAAAAATATAGAAAATATAGCTTTTAAATGTAAAAATTCAAGGAGTATATTTTTTTTAATGTTAAAAATCAGCAAATATAGTGTTAAATGTTATCAATTCGAGAAAATTAGTTCTTAAATGTTAAAAATTCAGGAAAATTCTTTTTTTAATGGCAAAAATATAGAAAATATAGCTTTTAAATGTAAAAATTCAAGGAGTATATTTTTTTAAATGTTAAAAATCAGCAAATATAGTGTTAAATGTTATCAATTCGGGAAAATTAGTTCTTAAATGTTAAATATTCAGGAAAATTCTTTTTTTAATGGCAAAAATATAGAAAATATAGCTTTTAAATGTAAAAATTCAAGGAGTATATTTTTTTTAATGTTAAAAATCAGCAAATATAGTGTTAAATGTTATCAATTCTGGAAAATTAATTCTTAACTGTTAAAAATTCAGGAAAATTCTTTTTTTAATGGCAAAAATATAGAAAATATAGCTTTTAAATGTAAAAATTCAAGGAGTATATTTTTTTAAATGTTAAAAATCAGCAAATATAGTGTTAAATGTTATCAATTCGAGAAAATTAGTTCTTAAATGTTAAAAATTCAGGAAAATTCTTTTTTTAATGGCAAAAATATAGAAAATATAGCTTTTAAATGTAAAAATTCAAGGAGTATATTTTTTTAAATGTTAAAAATCAGCAAATATAGTGTTAAATGTTATCAATTCGGGAAAATTAGTTCTTAAATGTTAAATATTCAGGAAAATTCTTTTTTTAATGGCAAAAATATAGAAAATATAGCTTTTAAATGTAAAAATTCAAGGAGTATATTTTTTTTAATGTTAAAAATCAGCAAATATAGTGTTAAATGTTATCAATTCTGGAAAATTAGTTCTTAAATGTTAAATATTCAGGAAAATTCTTTTTTTAATGGCAAAAATATAGAAAATATAGCTTTTAAATGTAAAAATTCAAGGAGTATATTTTTTTTAATGTTAAAAATCAGCAAATATAGTGTTAAATGTTATCAATTCTGGAAAATTAGTTCTTAAATGTTAAATATTCAGGAAAATTCTTTTTTTAATGGCAAAAATATAGAAAATATAGCTTTTAAATGTAAAAATTCAAGGAGTATATTTTTTTTAATGTTAAAAATCAGCAAATATAGTGTTAAATGTTATCAATTCGGGAAAATTAGTTCTTAAATGTTAAATATTCAGGAAAATTCTTTTTTTAATGGCAAACATATGGAAAATATAGCTTTTAAATGTAATAATTCAAGGAGTATATTTTTTTAAATGTTAAAAATCAGCAAATATAGTGTTAAATGTTATCAATTCGGGAAAATTAGTTCTTAAATGTTAAATATTCAGGAAAATTCTTTTTTTAATGGCAAAAATATAGAAAATATAGCTTTTAAATGTAAAAATTCAAGGAGTATATTTTTTTATATGTTAAAAATCAGCAAATATAGTGTTAAATGTTATCAATTCAGGAAAATTAGTTCTTAAATGTTAAATATTCAGGAAAATTCTTTTTTTAATGGCAAAAATATAGAAAATATAGCTTTTAAATGTAAAAATTCAAGGAGTATATTTTTTTATATGTTAAAAATCAGCAAATATAGTGTTAAATGTTATCAATTCAGGAAAATTAGTTCTTAAATGTTAAATATTCAGGAAAATTCTTTTTTTAATGGCAAAAATATAGAAAATATAGCTTTTAAATGTAAAAATTCAAGGAGTATATTTTTTTAAATGTTAAAAATCAGCAAATATAGTGTTAAATGTTATCAATTCTGGAAAATTAGTTCTTAAATGTTAAAAATTCAGGAAAATTCTTTCTTTAATGGCAAAAATATAGAAAATATAGCTTTTAAATGTAAAAATTCAAGTAGTATATTTTTTTAAATGTTAAAAATCAGCAAATATAGTGTTAAATGTTATCAATTTGGGAAAACTAGTTCTTAAATGTTAAAAATTCAAGAAAATTCTTCTTTTAATGGTAAAAATATAGCTTTTAAATGTAAAAATTCAAGAAGTATATTTTTTTAAATGTTAAATGTAAGTTTATTTCATTAAAACACAGTTTACTTATGTAATAAAAGTTTTGACACAGAAATCTTTCTATTGAGAGGTATTTATAAAAAAAATATGATTATTGACAATAATATTCGTTTGATTTGGTAGAAATATCGTATTAGTAGTTTTGAAAGCAGTTTGTACTTATCAAGAGTATCTGTATTATAGAAAATTTGAGATTAAATCTTTTAGAGGTCAAAAAGAACCTTTCAACTATGTTGAAAATGTTAATCATTTCTCATTTATAGAAAATAAATAATGTTTTGAAGTTTATTTAGCTACTATAAAAACCAATTTATTCATTGTTTTCTTTTGGTTTTATTTATTATTAGACATAATTATTTATGTGTGTATTTAATAATTTATTATTGGTAGCAATTGATTAATTATATATTCTTTAAAGGAAATCAATAATCATGCAGATAATATCTAAAATAACGAAATGTATAAGAACTAGTATATTGGAAATTCCAAATAAACTATTATTCTGATTACTATTCAATAATTATGTTGTTATGTTATAGTATGTTAAACAGATCTATAAAATCTTGCTTTCGAAGCTGTTTTCAAATGATATTTGCACATGAAAAAATGCATTTAGATAAAAAAATATATACAAAAATGCAATCTTTTTTTAGAAAGCAGTGATTTGTTTTGGAATAATTATAAATTACCTGAAATACTAATAATTGTGTTAACAAAAAAAAAAAAAAAATAAAGAGGTAAGTTAAAGAAATCCGATTGCACATGAATATTTGATGTTATTGAGGGTTAAAATATTGTTAAATTGTGTGATGTGTATTAGCTACAGAAGTAATTCGGTAATGGAAGAAAGGACATTTGGATCTTTTGAGTAAATCTTCTACGAATTTATATCTGAATTATTTGTATTTCTAGGAAGTATTGTAGATTGTTTAAAATGTTACTTAAATTGAATCTCTATTCACAGCTATCAATCATTGGTGAAGAAAATCAGTGAATTGGAGGAATAATAACATAAGGACATGGAAAAGGCATGAAGAGATGAGTTGTAAATAGTCTTTGTTAGATATAAACATTAATAGTTGCTTGACGAGTTTTCTCAGAATTTAATTTGATATTGTGTTTCAAAATGAATCAAAATATGGAGATAATTACTCATGGAGACCATTTAGTATTGAGAAAACTATATTTCTTTCTTTAAATATTATATTTAATTAGACAATATCTATTTAAATTAAATTTTGAACAATTATAATATATAATTACACATGTATTTGTCCAATATTAATAGCTAGTACAAATTTAACTTAAAATAGATATTGCTATAAATAAGTACAGCCATTACATGTAAATATTATCAATACATTTTTGAAAAAAACAAAAAAAAAACAGATCAGTATATAAATTTAAACAGTTATGATCAGTTAGCATTTTGTATGAAAGTAAAGTCATGGTCATACAAATTCCATCACTTATTTCTTTTGATTCTTATGTTGATAACGTTGATTCCATTGAATATTTTTCTTTTTCTTTACTTATTAAGGTTACAAGAAAACTTTAAAAAATTTTCTCAGTTCAGTTTTAACTAATATATAAAGTCAGAATAAAAGCTGTTATTATGCCCAATATAAAAAACTGCCCTCTTCAAAAAACCATTAAAATTGTGACATTACATGAAGTTAAGGAATTTGCATGGGAAAAAGTAATGAGGGTAGGGTACCATCAATCGATGGTAGTCATAGTTTTGAAAAAAAAGGCACTATGGAGTGAAAGAAAGAAACTGGGAGGAGAATTAGACTGCTCAATGGTGCGATTGTTTTTAGAATATCCTTTCTTAACTGACAAAGAAATATTCAGAGATCTTACAGTAGTAATCTGGTAAATAAAATAAAATTTATTGTGAAACAATCTCTATGACTGCGCCTGTATAATGCCATCTAGTCTCATTATTTAAGAAAGAAATTATTATATATTTTCTACTTGTTTACTTTATAAAACCTAAAGGCTTATGTATAAAAGTATAATTCAGTTTTCTAACAACAATAAAAAAAACAACTAAATAACCATGAAAACAGTATTTATGTGTAACTTTTAAATAAGCCTGTTATTTCTATATACAAATAAGCGTGTGAAAATCATATCCAGCAGATTCATCCTGATACCAGTCTAATCTTGGCTATTTATTTCATGAATCATTAGAAGGCAGACACACCTATATATTTGAAAAGTAACTTGTGAACCATAAAAAGAGTTATCAGTTATTGTGACATAATATTTGTTATCATTTAGATATTTTTTTATATTAATATATTGTTCTTTTTTTCTTTGTTCTAGGTGAAAGTAGCTCCTTTTGATTGTGTTTCATTTATCACCTGTTTAGGATGGTTTTATACAATCATTATTGTTAGTAGGCCTCATCAGGATATAAATCTCTGTTATTAGTATCATTTAAAATATTAGACTACTTATATTAGTGGCAATTCCAAAAAACTTTAATTTTTCAGAGAAATCGGAAAAAGTTATTGTGGTTATTTAAAGCTGTTAAAATAGAACTGTAATGCATTAAATTGCTGTATTTTAAAAATAAACTTTTAATTGGAATGAGAGCCACTATACATGATTCAGGGACAAAATTAATGAAGATGGTTTTAAAAATAACGTTATGTTATTACTTGTGCATTTGATACATAAACAAAGAGCAAAAAGTGTCAAAAGTTGCAATACAAAATAGTATCTAGCCAAGATATTTTTTCTTTGTTTTTAATTGGTTTATATTTGTTTATCTTAAAAGGATATGAAATTTAAATTAATTTTAATTAAAATACAAATAATTTTTGAAATGAAAATAAAACAAACCATTAAATTTTTAGCATTTTTATAGCATAAGCATTAGCAACTTTTAGCATTAGTATAGCATAAAAATCGGCTTACTTATGTCTAAATGTACAGCTCTCTTTTGATATTTCAATAAGTACTTTTTAAAAAATAACTAGTTAAAAAAATGAGTCTCTATTTTTTAAAAAAAATTATGATATCTCCTCAACAACTTGTTCAGAAAATAAATTAAATTTTTTTGAAAAGGGAATAACAGCTGTTAATATTTGTATTTTTATTTTAAAATAGGGAATTTACAATAGATTTTGAGCGAATGATTTTTGTTGTTATTATTACTATTTTATTTAAGTTTGTTTTTTTATTTTTAACTTCATAATAGAATAACTCTTCCTCTGACTTATAAAATAACTCTGAGTTTTGTTTTTAAATTGTTATATTTAATCTTAATTGTACATTTTACTATTATCCCTTGTCATATTTCAATATATTTGAGTTAATGTATAGCATTCTTTGATGTATTTGTGTCTATATCTATAACCAAAACAATAGATAGTCCTTTGAAATGCCAGTGGATTATATAAAATATATATAAAACAAAGCATTCATATGATTGATTGCATTGTATTATATGAAATCAAATTAAATATATATAAACCATATGATTGAAAGTATTGTATTATATAGAACAAAATTAAATATACATAAAATGAAGCATAAGAGTGATTGTGTTGTGATTTATAAAATAAAATATTGTATATATTAAATGAAGACTTTATTGATAGTATACAACAAAATAAAATATATAAAATGAAACAAATTTTTTCTTCTTTATCTTGGTCTTCCCTCTTCTACTGCAGTGCATTTTTATATTCTTTATTTCTAGGAAACAAAAAAAAAAAAAGTAATTTATCAGTAAATACTCTTGACCTTCCTTTGTAAATTTCTAATTTAATAAAACAAAAACTTGTAATTTAGTGTTTTTTATTTTTAATTAGATGTTTCGGGGATTATTTTTTTCCCTCTTCAACATATCTTTTTGCCCCCTCTTTAGAATATATGTTCCATTCTCGAGTTCCATTTTGATAGAAAAATTCCCTTTTTATGTAAATTCCAAAGTTGGGAGAAGAAAAAAAGCTAAACTATTTTTATAACCAAAGAAAAATCTGAGCACATTTTAATATATTTTTTAAATAATATAAGTAAATCATACATAAAATGAGTATTTACATATATCATTTTGTATATACTTGGACCGAAGGCATTATTAAATTCTTTCTTCGTCGTAAATCCATATAGAATACCTGTCCTACATGTTGTACCTTTAATAGATGCTCCAGCGTGTATCTCTGTATAAGATTTGCAACATGCTCAAGGTCGCTTTATCCTAGTTGAACATCACCTGGACATAAGCGCTGAACTTGGACTTAGCCCTAACTTACCCAATGACTATGTATCTGCAAAGACAAGCTTACCGATCAGCTCACGAGTACTTAATCGATTCACTGTCGAGCGCTTATGATAGGACAATCAGTGCCTCTAGAGAGGCGTGACGCCATTACACTGTACAACCGAAGACTAGTGTCATATTGTATCTTAGAGACGTTGTAAGTTAGATAAGGATTGGGTAGTATGTGGTGGCTCTGAGTTGGGGCTCCACTAAACCATTCTTAATTCCTTCGCATCATCCTTACGATTAGAATCCTTCGGTTAAAAATCCTCATTTCTCCTTACTTTGGCCACTAATTGAATATAGCATTAAGGATCTTATGTGGTCCTTATGTTTCAGATCTGGCCCAATCCAGATGAACTTTTCTTCCCTAGGTGAATTGAGGTTAAGATGATGCAATTCCAACCCTCTCGTTGAGGATGTAGTCTACCTGTAGTTCTCTTCAATTAAAGCGCGGTGGAGAGTTAACCCTCCGAGGAAGAGGATTGGCAGTGTTAAAAAGAGGATGGCCTGCTGTTGGAATCGGGTCCGAAGTTGTAGTATAGTCCCATTGGAGTGCGTACCATGGGGGGTGGTTACTCTGCAAATGTATATTTCATTGTCAATTATATCTATCATTGATCCAATATGTCTACTTGGGTTGTAAGTTATGTAATTAAGTTGTTTATGTCATTGGAAGATATAAAAGTATATCTTTCTAGTTATGAGGGTATAACGGTGTAGAATCTATGAAGGACCCAATGGGCTTTGTTTAATTTAGAGATAGGTGATTATCAGAGGGGTAACACTGGTTTCCAGGGGATATATATAAGAATGTTGGATGTAATGTAGGTGTGTTCAGTCATATAACAAAATTATTCTGGAACTAACCCAATACTAGAGTATATTATATGATGATGTACAAGTATCAATAAAAGACATTATAAATTACAATTTTGTTTAATTAAATTATATCTTCAGGCAAGGCAAGAAGAGGAAGTAAAAATGTAATATTAAATAACAACTTTAAGGCTTTTATACATTTACATTGTTGTTTTTTATATTAACAGACAATAAACATTTTTAATTGATAATAACAAGACACATCATTATTCAAGAAGAATAATTACACTTTGAAAAAAATTGAAGGTCTAACCAATACTACACACATATGCACATACCTCTTTTATTAGATTTAATCAAATTAAGTATAATATTATGTATTAACCTTAAGACATGATACAGATTGAAAACAAAATGAGTAAGAAATATACATTTATAAATAGGGAACAAAATTTGACCCTTTTAAAGAAAGAAGTCACAATAACAGATAAAGTTGTACTGTTCAAGAAATAAATCATACTTATAAACACAACCTGCTTTATTATTATTTTTAATTATTAAATCTACAATGAATAATTAGTATGTTCAATAAATAGCCCTTAATAAATTATCAGGTATATTGTGTTTTTAAGGTTTTAAAATTTAATGACTAGATTTGCCTTAATGTCGAACAAATCTTCATGAAAATTTGTTTGTTAAGATTAACATATAGATGGATAGATAGATAGAAAATAACTTTATACTGGAACAAAGCTTCTTGAGAATAACAAACAGGTAAAAAAAATAAAAGATTACTTCTGGCCTAAGGTTCAAAACAATAAAAAGATAAAAAGTAAAGAAAACATTAAGAGAACATGCTATATATATAAAATAAAACTATAAACAAAACACAAAACATAGCTCAACTATGTACAAGACACTTAAAACTATAAATAATTATAAAACAATATAAATATACACTTCTAAGAATAAATAAATTAAAATTCTTCTCATCAATAAGCTCTGAGTTTCCACTAAGAAAACTTATTCCGTCCATATAAAATCTCTAAGTATATAAATGTTAAAATAATATGTAAATACATCTAAATAAATAATAATCTACTAATACATCATAGGAAGAGCATGAACATTTCATAACATAATTATACCTAAGAATTTAAATTATCTATAACATAAATAAATAATAGTAATAATTATTTATACTATATACAATAAATTACTGTCCCAAAGGTAAAATCATGAATGTTCAAATTCATAATTTTGAAAAAAAGAGGTCTGAAGATTCTTATTTAAAAAATCAAAGTAATAATGCCTGATATTTTACTTGCATGAATGATTTATGAATCATTACAGGTTCATTCATATATTTTATGTTGAAAAGTTATTAATTGAATATATTTTTTTAAAATTTATTTATTTATAAAAATATAACAATCTGTCACCTGGACAATAATTATAGTGTTATATGAACACATTCATACCATATATACAGAAAATATAAAATTAACCAAAGTAAAATGATAATCAAAAACTATGTACAATAAAAAATAAAATAACCTTAAGATAAGTAAAGTAAGTAATATTTAGGAATCAAATTAAAACATCTATATAACAAAATTAACAAACTTTTTTTTTTTTGAATTTTACAGTTCCTTGGGCGTTACCTTAAGGGTACATCAAAATGTTGTTCCAACAAATAGAACAGCTCAACTTGTGGCTTATCGAAATTATTTTTATCTGAAACAAGAAAATAGTAAAACTTCATTTCAATGAAATAAATATTTATATAATAGTAGGAAATAAATAGAAACACTTCCAAGACAATAAGGAATGAAAATTTCTTAAGCAAGTATGATAAGAGAAGCTTTTGTGTTATGGAGCCTGGAGAAACAAATATAACATACATTTCCAATCTAAATAGCTTTTCCATACCATACACAGCCATTCTGGAATAGAAAATATATTTAATACACATATAATAATTAATTTAATACACATATCATCTATGTATAGATTTAATATATATGAAAGGATAATAAAAAAAATTAAAAAAACTACACAAAAGTAAGCACTACCTTGTTATGGGATTTCTTAGCTATCTTCATTTCTAAAACAACATCATTAACTTCATTTAAACATGAATTATTTCTCTTTATCCTCAATCATCAAGAATCCACATGTACATATTTAATTTTTTCATATGTTAAAATAATTTAAAAAATAAAGAAACAAAAAATTGTTTTATTGTTATCACATTGCAATTATTTTCATTGTTTCTTGGTGTACACTTGTAAATATACCAATATATGATGTTCTGGGTATACATTTTTATATGTATGTATGTGTAATAGATTTTCATTTATTTATTTACAGTGAGTGTAAGTCTTGAGACACCTAATCCAATTTAAAAAAAAAAATGAAATTTATTGAAAATGAATATATTTTTTTTAAAATTCCAACAGTATAATTTCTGCTTGAGTACTTTTATGATAAAATTTTATCATATTATATTAACATTTTAACATCAGGTAATAAAGAGATGTTTTAAGCCAGCACAAAAATAGTAAGCTGTTTTTGCATAATCCTATAACCAACCAATTCATTAAAATACATTCCACTGCATAAAATTTGAAGGTTGCCCATAATATGAATGTTGCCTAGTAAGAACTCATGAGAGTTATTTGCCTTGCCTTAATTTAAAATTTGAAAAGTCGCCTAAACAGGTACATATAGTTTATCTTTAATCCTTTTGTTATTATTTACTTCACTAATCCTTCTTTCTCATTCTATATTGTTTTTCTCATGTTTGTTGTAATAGCCTAAACAATTACCATATGTTTACTTGTATTATAATGAATGTACATCATATGTTTTTAGTAGCAGGATTTATTGAATGTGTTGATATGTTTGTGTTAAAAACACAAGTGTAATAAATTTCAACTTATTCCATTTCTAAGAATAACAGATATTCCCAGAATTTCCAATACAATCAAGTCACAACAAATTGGCGACGAGGAACAAAAAGGAAAAAGAAGTAAATAAATAAATTTCACTGCGATAGCGTGAGTTATAATTATATTATTTTCAATTTTATTCAAAGAAATAAAAAAAAAAATGGAGCCTCAACAATTTCAAAAATTTTTAGAAGTTATTAATGCAAATCAACAATCATTATTACACCAGTTTCAATCCCAGGGAACTCCGGATGAAGTACCGATAAATCTAAATTCAATATTACCTTTTGATAATTTTCATGCAAAACAAGAAACTTTTAAAAATTACATAGAACGCTTTGAAAATTATTTAATGATAAAAGGTGTCACAAGTGAGCAAAAAAAGTCACAGATATTATAAGTGTCTATTATTCTAACTCATTACAATAATTTGTCTCCATTCTTATGCCCCGATAAACCTTGTAATACCTTCAAGTATGATGAAATTGTTTCAGCATTGACAGAAATGTTAACACCATTTAAGAGCAAAATTCTTCTACAGCATTATTTCTTCAATATAAATCAAAAAGGCAATACAAATATTTCTGATTTTGTTGCTGATCTCAGACGGGGTTTACTTGACTGTGATTTTTGCATCACATGTTCTTGTAGCAATAACGTTTCATTTGCCGATGTCCTACGCAGAGCTCAATTTATTCTAGGGTTGATAGAAAACTGGATAAGAGAACACCTGCTACAATCTGAATGCAAGAAATTCGATGCATTTGTCACCAAAGCGATAGCTTTAGAAGCTGCTAGGTTAGAAAGTAACGAGCTAACCAAACTAACATGTGATTCTAGTGTAGACTCAACTAGTATCAATAAAATTGCTAGAACCATGCATAAGCGCAGGAGTCAAAATCGAAGTAATTCAAATCAAAGATGCCATCGTTCACAGAGCCCACTCACAGATTTTGTAAAAATAAAATTGAATTTCGTTCTTTAGAAATAAAAAACTTATGCTTCAACTATGGAAATTCTAACCATACTGCTAAAGACTGTCGTGGGCAGCGTAATAGATTAAAATGTAATTCATGCGGGAAAATTGGACACATAACCAAATATGTATTTCGACATTGCTACAAAATAATAATAATAATAAACAAAATAGATCTCATTCCAGTACTATTAAACAGATCGCTGATGTTCAAAATGAAAAAGAAAACCTTTGTTACGGTATCAATAAAATTACATCTAATCCTTCAGAACATTCACATTCGCAGGAAACTATAGATTTATTTGAAGTAGCTCGAGATCTCAGTAAATATTTTGTCACAGTAAAATTAAATGGTATGCCTCAGCGTTTTGAGGTAAGTTCCGGCGCTCGTTTCTCTGGGAATGATTTTCGAAAATTGAATTTAAATATTCCAGTTCAAGAAACAAATATCAATTTTCGTTTCTACTCCTACCATCTAATAAAACCTTTGGGAAAGATTATTGTCGTATCTTACAAAGATAAAATTATAAATGAAGAAATGTTTATTGTACAGCAAGGTCATGATGCTTTATTAGGTAGAATATGGATAAGAAATCTAAAGTTGGAAATAAAAGACATTGATGAAGAAATACAAACTGTAATCCAATCAAACTTAGTTTACTCAATACATTCGGTTGAAGTTATTATCAAAGAATACGCCCCAATGTTTTTACAAAAAGTAGGATGCCTACCGAACTACGAACTTAAATTACAACTCCGACTTAATGTGAAACCAAGTTTGAACCGGAAACGGGATGTTCCATATGCATTGCGTGAGAAAGTCAAAAAAGAGCTTGAATCATTAGAAACAGCAGGAATTATTACACCAGTAGCAACATGTGATTGGGGATCTCCTTTAGTAATTATTCCAAAACCAGATGATGGATTTCGTTTATGTGTAGATTATAAATGTGGAGTAAATGAACGATTAGTTTCCTCAAACCGCCGTATACGAAGAATCGACGATGTGTTACATAGTCTTCGGCGTTCAAAATACTTCTGTAAGCTAGATCTTTTTAAAGCTTACCTTCACTTAAAAGTATATGGAAAAAACAGCGAAATTCAGACAATGGTTACTAACAGAGGAACAAACAAGGTGAATAGATTCAGTTTTGGTATTAAAACTGCTCCATCTGAATTTAACCGAGTGCTATGCAATATTTTACAAGGACTTCCAAATACTAAAGCTTACTTCGATGACATCATAGTACATGGATTTGCAGAAGAAGAATGTTCAAAAAACTTGAAAGCTTGTTTAAATAGACTTTTAGAATATGATTTACATTTGAACAAAAACAAGTACTTGTTTTTTAAACTGAAAATTAATTATCTCGAACATGTGGTTGAATATAATAAAATAAGTAAATCTCCAGAAAAGGTTCGAAGGCCATGGTGGAAATGCCACGTCCCTCCAACATCGATGAATTGAGACAGACTTCTTGGAATGGTCACTTATAATTCCCATTTTATACCAGATTTTTCTACACTCACATACCCTTTACGTTGTCTTTTAAGGAAGAATCGACATTTTTTTTTTTGGTCTGCTTTGTGTGAATCGACTTTTCTTAAATTGAAAACTGAACTTTGCCGTGATCGTGTACTCAAATCTTTTGATCCTTCTTTACCCCTGTCTCTAACGACCGATGCCAGTCCTACTGGGATCGCAGCTGTTCTCAGTCATGAAGTTGATGGTCAGGAAAACCCGATAGCTTACGCATCAAGATCTCTCACAACAACAGAGTGTAATTATAGCCAGTTAGACCGCGAAGCTTTAGCCATTATTTTTTTAATCAATTATTTTTACAAGTATGTTTTTGGTAGAAATTTCACCCTTACTACGGACAATGAGCCTATAACTAGGATGTTCCATCACAACAAAGCACTCCCAAAAATGACATCTGCTAGACTTCTTCGTTATGCAGCATTCCTGTCTGGTTTTGACTACACCGTTAGATTCAAGAAGGGCGAGAAAAACAAAAATGCTGATTGTTTATCTCGTGCACCTGTACCTCATTCAAATATTTCAACAAATCTTTTGACCAATGAAGAAGTAGCTCAGTTATATTCACAGACAATATTTCAAATATCTACTGAAGAAATTACGTATGAAACTGTAGCAAATGAAACTTACGAAGATCCAGAACTTCGATTAATACTACAACGTCTCAGATCCCAGTCTACTGATGAACCCTATACCATTTCAGACGGAATTTTACATCGCCAGGATCGCGTTGTTATCCCCAAAAAATTACAACTCATAGTACTTAATGAATTGCATTCTACGCATATCGAAATTACAAAGATGAAGCAACTTGCTAGACGATATGTATATGGGACGAAAAAGACATTGAATGATTGGTCAAATCCTGTGAAAACTGCGCTCGTACAAGAAATAGTCCACCAAAAGCTGCGGCACACCCATGGGACGAGCCAGAATCAAATTGGGAACGCTTGCATGTTGATTATGCCGGTCCTTCCGATAATCACCATTTTCTGTTATGCATTGATGCCAAATGTAAATGGACTGAAGTCAAGATTTCACGAGAAACTCCTACCACAGAGACACCTATAAATTTTCTGGAAGATTTTTTTTCTACCCACGGATATCCACTTATAATCCACGGATAAGTTCTTGTCTCCAACAATGGTACTGTATTTACTAACTGAGAGTTCAGAACATTTTGCAAAGGTGTTGGCATAGTCCAAAAATTCTTCGCACCTGGATATCCTTCACCCAATGGACTTGCTGAACGTAATGTTCAAACTCTCAAACACCGTCTTAAAGCTGCAGTCACGACCCTATCCCTTTACCTGTCAAAATTCGTCAGATTCTTTTTAGATATCGGGCAACACCCTTAGCAAGTGGACAGTCACCAGCGGAAAATTGCCTAAATAGAAGACTTCGAATCGAACTAGATTCATTGCGACCTAATCCTAATGCCTACGAATCAACAATTCCGGAATTCGACATCAGGAAATTCGAAGAGGGGGAGAGAGTACAGGCACTTTATTTAAACAATCGCAACGTCTGGTTATTTGGTGTTGTAAAACGTAAGTTAGGTCAGCGACATTACATAATTGAACTGGAACAGTGGGAGGACACTGAAACGTCATGTAGACCAATCACGTTCATGTCTTGCATGGCCTGCATCACATTCCATTCCAGTGTGACTTACTTCCAGAAATGTATGTCGTATTTCTTCGATAGTTGCTGATTCATGGAAAAAAA